GAATTAAAAGCTTGTATGCATTGGTTTGAATAGTCATTCTCGTAGTTGTACATACCATATTAAATCAAATGTCTATCAAAGATTGAATTCACAGGCTATACCCTCTTTTTTTTTCCCACAGGCTATACACTTTTGTTCATGGTTAAAAGTTAAAACTACAAAATATACATTAGAGATGAAATCTTCAATCTTCAATCTTAAAAAACTGTGTATGTTTAAAAAAAAAACTGTGTATAGGTTAGTTAAATCATAAAATTCATATATTAACATATGAACCTTTTTTTTTTTTGAACACTATTAACATATGAACCAATTGGTTAATTTATATATTGATTATTAAATCCGAGATAATTCAATTGTCATATAAAACATACTGTATATAAATATTGGTGTACAATCCAAAAGAGGAAAGTTATTGGTGTAACTAATCCATTGCCAAGAAACTGTTGGTAAGATATCAATTTACTTGGGTGAGGTTCTTACATTTTTTGAAATAAGTTATTTAGCAAATCACGCGTTGTCTTCGATGTCTGATAGTATTATTTTGCTGTATAACGATGGTTTTGTAGTATGTATATTATGATATGAAAATCATTACGCCACTCATGCCTCCCACATTCCCATTTGAGAATTGAGGAATACTATATTATTACTACTAGCGTGGTCCAAAAAACTATATAACTTTTAACCACATCCCTGCATCAATTATTACTGGCAAGCTAAGCCTATTTTATTTACTTAAAACCTATTTAGTTTTTTTTTTTTGGTTGAAAAAATCGTATTGTACGATAAGTCCCATGAAAAAAGTGTAGCTTTGTATCGAGGAAAAAATAAGTACGATATATTTCTACAAAACGTATTTGTTTTTCTTTTCAAGATTTTTTATAAATTAAATGTCGCAATAATTCCATTAAAACATCAAAATTGACAGAAACATAAAGTCCTATATTCTCCTCTACCATTTTTACTTTGAATTCTAAAAGTATAAAGTTATACAGCTGAAACCAGGATATAAGGCACTGAATCTACACCGGTATAACAGTGACCTGTCCGGTTTACCAAAACTGATGCGGGTGAAGCGCTGATAACCGGACCTGCTGGTTCAACTTCCGTAGAGAGGAAGAAAACTCTATGCGGTTTTCAATTAAAAGCTAGATGAAGGTCGGGGCTTACCTTGAATGGAGTTTAAGTGTTGAGTAACGAAAATAACTGCCATCACTACTAAGAGACAACCCACCAACGAACTGAAGAACAGAGCCCCTGGCTGTCTGGTTTGAACGAACCCGTAAACCCCATTTGATGTCATCACAATCACATCCGTCAGACCATCGTTCGAGAAGTCGTCAGTGATAAGTGCATGAGTCGGCTGAGACGGTAACTCGATGGAAGCTAATATGCTTCCTCCCGGAGAGATGATGACTGCTGCTTGATCTCCTCCGGCAAGGATCATAGGCTGGTTATCATGAATGCGCAACGAGAACGGTTTCAGGGTTGGGACCACAGTCCCTGATTCAGTTAAACCCGATGGAGACGGGAGATTCGACCATGTGGCTTCTGTCTGAAGCTGCCATTGCCAGACTGCATCGTGGCCGTGCACATCAGGCGTGTATGATGTCACCTGATACGGCGCAGCGATGAGCTATTATTAAACTAAATTCAAAGTTCAAGAAATTAGGATCTTCATATATAGAAAGGAAAAACGTACCTCTCCACGGTTTGTTAAGAAGATTACATCTCCGTGACTTCCTCTGCGGTGTTTGTGTCCATCGTCTCTGGGGATGAGAATGGGAGTTGCAATCTCCAGAGTAGAGGTGTCTCTTGCCTGGGCGAAGTGTCGTGAATAATCTCCTCCATAGTGCAAGAAGTTGAAAGGGGAGTGATGGCAGATCGAGACGTTGAACAGCTGTTCGCGGATGGGAACACCTGAGGTTGCCACTGCCCAGCAAGGCTTCAACACTTCCATTGATCCGCTCACTACAGTTCTCTCTCCAACATTGCCTCCAACAGTCTAAGTGGACAGAGAATATTTATGGTCGTAAAAGTTGAAGATCCATGAGAAGTCTAATGAACCAAAAGCGGCAGTAGTGTCTGATGTGTGTACCTGGACATGATCGAGTACACCATCTCCGTTTATGTCGGCGTGAAGTCCACCTTCAAGAAGAGAAAGCTGGGAACGGGAAGAATTTAAATAAGCTGACTAAGTAAGTAATGGGTACTTGAAATAGTAACCTTGTTAATGATCTGAAGGAATAGCTATACTAGGACCTACCTTGCAAAGTGTTCGACCAGTAGGCAAATGAATAGCTTCAATTCCTTCCTTTTGATGAGCCACAACAACATTAGGAACCCACCAAAGCTTCGTGTAATTAGTTATAGTCGGAATGTATTGCATACCCTGCATCAACATGTTGATTTGCTATCATAAACCAATTTTGGTATTTTTCATGTGGCTGTGGGTAGTTTACGTTTTATAAGAGCTGCACCTTCTTGGGTTTTGCCGAGCCAGCATAGCGTGCAGCCTTTCCAATCAATTTTGGAATCTTTCTTGACAAGTCCTTCCCAGCGGGTGTGTGTTCCTCAGGTTTGTGAAACGGATAAGCTGTAGACTTACTACCAGCCTGCTTCTTCAATGTTTTCCTCTTGTGTCGCCTGAAATGAGCAAGCTTCAATAATGTATCTTCACGTCGGTCCTGGTGCAAAGACAACAATGTACTTTGAAACAATTTTTCTAAGCATATTACACTAACGAAGTATGTGTAGTAGGAGGCATAAGACTTACCCAGTGATGGGGCATGACACTAAGAATTGATTCTCTAAATTCCCTGCATTCAAACTTCAGTCCAGAAAAGCTTTCAAATTATGATAGTGCAATAGAAATCTCTTAAGAAAGAACTAAGGAAAGGTTAACTATATTGCTCCATAATCAATGGAGAACGAACGAGTTAATTTTACCTCTCCTGGGTGACGGCTATTTAGAGCATGCACATCAAGCTTGTAATTGTGTTGTGGAATTAGTTGTGAAGCATCTGAGGTGTGAGCTTCAACATCCTAGATGCGAAGGAAAAAATATTATATCAATCTGACCACCAAATTTGTTGCAGGTTGAATGTAGTTAAGGAATATGTAGGTAAAGAAATGAGCAGAAAAGAATAAATAACTGACATCAGTCTTTTTACTCCATCGAAGAAGGCCAGTCTTGCCAGCAAATGCATAGACAGAAAAGTGACGCAAGTTTATCGCTCCAGAATCTTCAGAGGCCTGAAAGGAAGCTTAAAATTCTTCTAAACAGTCCAAACAAAGTTCTTATGCACAGTGGAATATGTATAACTACAAATGAATAGCTCATTCTTCATAATTGTGCAGTTCCAGAGAAAATGCGTCAGGAAACCACACAGCTAAGAAACAGTCCAAGGAAACTATAATGTAGGCATACCTGATTCTCAGTAGCACTTCTTCTGTGTTGCTCAGCATTTTGTGCTGTCATGCCAAGTTCCTCAAATGGGTCCATGTGATTCTAAAATGAAAAGAATAATCTATTGGAAATATATGGAAGATAAACAGAAAACCAACAGAGAAATTTTTTTCTCCTACATACATATGGCTGCATCTCCATCCGTCCACCAACAATAACCAAACCCGTATCACCATGCTTCAATGTGTAATTGCTTATCGAAATTGCTATCTCTCTATGGTGTGCATTATGTGGGAAATCCTCCTGTCATTCCACCAACAAGGGTAAGTAAAAGAAGCATCAATATTACTGAACCAAGACAAACTCTTATGCGGAACATTAGATAAAGAACGAAGAAGATAAAAACCTGCAGATTCGTTTCCCACAGCTTTTTCAGGTTGTGATCAAAGCAGAGCACAGACCAACCTGAGGTAACAACGACCACAACCTGCTTCTGTGGAGTTCCATCTTTATAGTACCTATCAATAACACCTGTAGCCATGGCCACAGCACGTCTCCCTGACGCAATACGGATCTTGTCAGGCAAAAGAGGGATCTCTGCAAGAACACGTGCTTCACTAAAACCTTCATCCACACGCCTGGAATGAGGCTCCAGAACCTAATCCGACCACAACATCAACAGTCTCACAACTTAATCAACACATAACAGCAAACCATAAAAGAGAAATGCATAAGCACTAAGCCTCACATCATTGGTTGGACAAAACTGCTCTATAACAACAAAGAGAAATGCATAAGCACTAAGCTGTAAACTGCAATCATTCATTCTAACGACCGAAATCGCCAGCAATGCTCTATAAAAATTAGCGAGAAAGATCGAAAACAAAGCAAGAAAAGTGCAGAGATGAGAATTAAACAAATAAGATACCTGAATTTTGGCATCATTAGTAGCAACGAGAACCTCCTTCTTTCCATCACCATTAAGATCAGCTACAATAGGTGGTGGGAGACGATCAGCTTCGTATTTGACTGGGTATTCATCATACAAATGAAACCATGCTTCTTTGAACGCAAAATCACCCTCGTGCTGCAAACAAACCAAGAATCAAGCTAACATGACACTACTTATGGATTGAATTGGCAGTCGAAACTCTACCCACAAAGGAAAATTCAAAGCTTGATCTAGTAAACAGATCGATCAAGGGTTCTAGAAGTTCTCTATGCTAGAATTTGAACTAAGAAAGAATAAGAAGAAGACGATTAGATTAGTGTGTAAAAATCACCTGAAGAGTGAAGAATATAGCAAATCCAGAGAGCATCAAAATTGCTAAATCGCGTTTCCTCATCTTTGCCCTAACCTCAAGCAGATGTATCAATGGCAGATTTGCATCAGTAGGTAGGTAGCAGTCCCAAATCTCCTCCCCCGAGCAAGAGAGAGCGATGAAGAATAGTCGACAACTTCAAAACTACGTCGTATTAAAAATATCTGACGTTTTATAGCTAAACAGCCTGCCGTTGTCGTTATAGTTGGCCGAACGTTATGTCGTTATATTACTATCCTTGAAACGGAGAAGATATCCTCGGATAGGATTAGTTTAAACCAATGAGCCAAACACGTTCTTTAGCCATCGTTCGTAAAATTGGGGCCGAGAGAGAAACACAAATTTTCCAGGCAAAGGCAGTGATTGAATCACTCTGCTAAACGAAAGAAAATTTGTGTTAGATCTGATTTAATCTCGTCTTTGTCGCTTGAACTGGTACGCTTTATCTATTCTTTATGAAAAAGTTTCGGAATCCAGGTCTATGAAGATGCTTTGATGTTGACTCGTTGCTAGTTGGATTGTGCATCTTTAATGGCGTTTTTCTAGGGATCCATCGTTTAGTGTTTAAGACCCGTGATTCATAGAACCACGAAAATTGTTTACTTAGCTTTCTCTGTAGTGGTTTTTGGTCGTAGTGTTGTTTAGCACAATGTGTTGATACAAAATCAATTAGGTTTTTAATGTTGTGCAATGTTTTTGCTATAACTATAGAGTTTACTTGTGTAGCTTGGTATATATATGCAAAGATGATGCATCTATGTTTTGGGTTCAATGTAAATGAATGATATGCATCATCTATTCGAGAACAACTTTTACATGTCAAATCTCAGTGCTTTATTGAGTCTTTACTTATCTGGGGATCACTGGACGTGTTGTTGTTTTGAGTACAGAGGATCAAATAACTGAACCCAACTGGACTTGGAAATGGGAGAGACAGTAATAGATTCAGAACATGGCATGACGATCGGCTTATCAGATCCCATGAAAATTGATCCTAGAAGAGATCGGTTCCCATGCTGCATTGTTTGGACACCTCTTCCCTTAATTTCATGGCTGGTTCCCTTTATCGGCCATGTGGGTATTTGCAGAGAAGACGGTGTCATCCTCGACTTTGCAGGACCTAATTTCGTCTGTGTTGATAATTTTGCATTTGGAGCTGTTGCTCGATATATTCAAATCAACAAGAGAAAGGTAACGTTGCTTTCAATTTCAAGTATTTTTACCTTGATGCAACTCTATTTACATTTTGGACTTGGATAATTAATCAGGAATCATCTCGTTCTTCCGGTTCACGTATGTTCAATGGTGAGAGCAGATATGAACAAGAAGAAGGCAGTCATGAGAAAGAGCCAATGTGGGATGATGCACTGAGAAAAGGCACACAAGAGTACCAACATCACTCATATAACATATTCACATGCAACTGTCATTCCTTTGTAGCCAACAACCTGAACCGTCTAGCTGTAAAGTCAGGCGGGTGGAACGTGGTGAATCTAGCGGCACTTGTGTTCTTCAAGGGACGTTGGGTGAGCAAAGCGGCTATAGTAAAGTCGTTGTTGCCTCCAGTCATAGTCTACACTATAGGAATCTTACTTGGTGGTTGGACTTTCATAGCTTCCTGCTCAATTCTAGCGGTTTTGCTTACTGCTTGGTTCATCATGGGAACGTATTGTTTCAAGAAACTGATCCAGTTATAGTTTGAATAATAATGTACAAATGATGTCTACAGAATGTTTTTACTTTTTACGATGGATATTTACAACTTTGCTTTGTTTGTGGTTAATTTGTTAAAAAAGCAAAAATTTGAGGAGTAAAGTGGGAATATATATATGATTTGGATAAAGAAGGAAAGTAGAAAATTTGGTGGATGTAATTATGGGAAACAAAATCACGCGTCGAATAAAGGAGAAAGAGAAAAACTATTGTTGGCAAAATTGTGACGCGCATGCTAAGTAATTGAAAAAACGCAAAAGAGGAGGAGAAACAGAACATAGGAGATAAGAGAGAAGATGGCTTCGGAAGAAGGACAAGTGATCGCGTGCCATACCGTTGAAACATGGAACGAGCAACTCCAGAAGGCTAATGAATCCAAAACTCTTGTAATCTTCTTCTCCAAAATTTTCTTGATTTTACTTTGTTTTTGTTGAGATATGGATTTAATTTGTTTGTCTTTTATTATTCTTGATTTTGGTTTGTTTGGGTTGCTTCTTTGATCTCTCATATAGACGCAATGTTATCATTTGATTCTTTTGGTATAAATTCATGTTTGAATTTTTTTTGAATCTGAATTAACCATAGATTAGATTCTAGGATTTGTATAGAGATCATAATGACTAGATTACCACAAGGCATATTGATATTTCTATGAAACTAAGGGATCCCTAGGAAAATGTTTACCCTGAAGAGTGAAGATGAATGTAACGTTCTCAATTCTTATGTTTATGTTTATTTGATTTAAGACATTAAAAGGTAATATCAGTGTAAATGGTTTTTCAATGAAAATGATTCATGATATGATTGGTTATATTGTTGAAGGTGGTGGTTGATTTCACGGCTTCTTGGTGTGGACCATGTCGTTTTATCGCGCCATTCTTTGCTGATTTGGCTAAGAAACTCCCCAATGTGCTTTTCCTCAAGGTTGACACTGATGAATTGAAGGTACACATTCACCAAAATTTTCCCTTCTTCATGAGAGAAAATGTTTTCTTCGATCACAATACCTTTTATGTTTTTGTTGGAACAGTCGGTGGCAAGTGATTGGGCGATACAGGCGATGCCAACCTTCATGTTTTTGAAGGAAGGTAAGATTTTGGACAAAGTTGTTGGAGCCAAGAAAGATGAGCTTCAATCTACCATTGCCAAACACTTGGCTTAAGCTTTCGGCTCTTATATATGTCTTAAGATGTTCGATTAATTAATTGCTCTAGTACTCTTGACATGTTATAACTCGTTCCCTTTTGTTATATGTTTCTGGTCAAATTCATCTGATGATAAGATTGTGACTAGTGTGAATTTGAAAATTGCTTTGTTTATCCATTAAATCAATTGCTTTTAATTACTTTGTACTTCAAAGTATATTTGAAAACTAATTTCTACATTTATCCTCAAACACTTTTTCTACGCAATGGACGTGAATAAAGAGAGCATTATTGTATGTTCTTAAAAATAAGACAGCTCCGGGTCATTCAGTAGGTCATTGTGTTTCTGAAAACGGTTCGAATATTGGACAAGTGAAATCATTGGCCATGTTGGATACATGGCAATTGGCAAATCTGTTCAAGTCATGCATTGGCCATGTTCGATAGATGGGATTTTTTTTATGTAGTATTATATTGCAAAAGGATCTACACATATAATAGTAAGTTAATTTTATGATTTGATACTAATAAATTATCAGAACGGTTCATGGAAACACAATCTGATAAATCCGTTTTCATCTAAGAAAAGAGAGATTTTCCCTCCGCGAAATCATTTCGAAAGATATTCCAGAAGCAATTGTTTATCCATAGGTAAAATATGAAACTTTTTTTTGATAAAACTTTTTAGGTAGATCATTTTGAAAGATACTACCGAAACTATTTAGGTAAATTATGCAGCTTAACAAAAGATAATGCAAACTTGAAACATCCCATTCTGTTATGGGTTTATAAGAACCCTAACATCAATGAATATCATCGGATTCATACAAAAACACAAATTAACTAAAAACACCAAAAAGAAAAACAGAGAATATCAATCCTCCTCGAATTCTCTTCTGCTTGTAAAACGCAGAGAGAATATCCATCCCACTAGTAAAAAAAAAAAAAACAGGTTTTTTCGGATACAAGCAGAAAACCCTAATTTAGGTAAAAATAAATGGGGTTTGCTCGATCTCGACATAGTTTTAAATACTACAAAACCATCCTAATAGCTCTAATAATAACCGTAGTTATTATATCCACCGGAAAATGGATATTGATGATGGTAAGGTTGCATCGCCGAGCCGGCCGGTGGGTAGTACCCTGGCCATTGGCCAAAGTATGAGTTTTGACAATTGTTGTAAAAATTGGGATCATGATGATGATGATGTTGAGGATGGTGCGTTCCGGTTCTCACAAAAGCCATTTCAGCATCTTTGCCTCTCTTTGAACCCATTAGTTTCAGTAGCTTGTTTGGATCGCCTTGACCCGTTACGTATGCCATTCCTTCGTCCACATCTATCCAAAAATTCCCTCCTAAACATAATCAGAAAAAGAGAGATTGAGTATACAAAAACGTACGATATATATGCTTATAGAATAAGAACAAACCTTTGATTTTCTTAAGGATTTTCGTCATGCTCTTGTGCCATTCGGGAGAGTTAGTGTTCACTTTAAACCCACAAGTCTGCAAGAACACGTTCGAAAATAAGTAATTAACGAATTAGCAAAGGATAAAATGAGATATATGATTATGAGTATGCATGTAATGATAGATTGAAAACGGACCAGGCTTGTAGATCCAGGACGACTTGAAGAAAACATGTTTGTCACCTTTTGTGTATAAAGAAAAAAAAAGTATGATGTTGTTTATGCAAAATGAACGAGGGTGATGTATATTTATATTGGTTTGAAGATTATAATTTGGATTTTTAATTTATTTTTATATGGTAACTATATCTATATATTACTAAAATGGTTCCATGTTTCGAGTTAGTGTCGTTAATGGTATAATATTTTCTTTCCTTATGTGGTGTACTCACTAATCCAAATTCTAAAATCGTTATAAAATTACGATGCAAGTCTCTTCTAGCTCCATAATTACACTATATCTTTAGGCAATATACCCATAATTCTCGCCAAAAAATTTAATGAGATTTGGAGACGATAATTAGTAATATCTGCACGATTTATTGATTTTAATTCTTATAGAATACAACAAAATCGTTTAATTTAATAATTAGTATTTTCCTTGCGACCCAATGTTCAATTATGAGCCCAATACACTTAATAGGCCCATAAGGCCCATTAGTGTTTGAGTAGGCTATTCAGGGTTTAGCGGAGAGTTCTTCGTTTCAAGTCTCAGACTTTGGTGGAATCGGCGAAGTGAAAATTTCGAAGCTTGATCGGTAAAGCTAACAGCTTTTGGATCGCAATCTGTTCGCTGATGCTTTGGTGAAAATGGGTTTCGGTGCAATTAGATCGATTTTTCGTCCATTATCGAGAACCTTGGTTTCGCGTGCCGTCGCTAACTATTCGTCTGCGCCGTTCCCTGCGAAGATTCCGGCTGCGAAACCAGAGTTATGCTCCTTCTTCGGTGGATCTATGACTCATTTGAGGTTACCATGGATTCCAATGGCTAACCATTTTCATAGCTTAAGCTTAACTGATACTCGGCTACCGAAGAGACGACCCATGACTCATCCCAAGAGGAAAAGATCCAAATTGAAACCTCCAGGTTCGCCAGTTTGTTTTTGATGTGTGATTTGGGCTTATGTTTGTTCAGTTTGAGTTTCATTTTTAGTCTGGGGTTGCAAAAATTGATGCTTTGTTTGTGGAATTAGGGATGAGTGTTGTGTGATTCAGGAATGGAGTTAGTGTAATCTTCATAGTGTAGTTTTGTTTATGTTGTTTTAAGATTAGCATTTTGTGGGTTTAGTATAAACCTCGTGTACTCTTTAAGTGGAAAGTGATTGTTTTGAGTCTCATATTGTGTGTTGTTACTGAACAATTGATATAGCTAGAGAGAATCTAAGGTGGGATTGTTTAGATGAATTAACAGATTTGAGGAAAATGCAGGGCCTTATGCATATGTTCAATATACACCTGGCCAGCCAATTTCTTCAAACAATCCTAACGAGGGCAGTGTGAAGAGAAGGAATGCGAAGAAGCGGATAGCGCAGCGTCGTGCTTTTATACTGGTTTGTCTGATTTGCTTTCTAGCTTGTTTTAAGAAATTTGACACCTTTTTGATCTTTGCATAGCTTTACATTGTTAGATGAGAAATGTTAGAATGTTGATTTTATAGATTGTACAGATGAGAAATCAAAAGTAACCTATGGGATAATAGAAGGCTGTATCTCTCTTAGCTTCTTAAACAATCTGCAATGTTTCTTATTTCGTTTACTAATAAGATTTCTTGTGTACAATTTTCGCAGTCTGAGAAAAAGAAGAGGCAAGCGCTGGTGCAAGAGGCGAAGAGGAAGAAGAGAATTAAGCAAGTGGAACGTAAGATGGCTGCTGTCGCTAGGGACCGAGCTTGGGCTGAAAGACTGACTGAGCTTAAGCAGTTCGAAGAAGAGAAGAAGAACTCAATGTCTTCTTGAGATTGCTTTCGATAAATCAAACATAGAAATAATCCCAAATGACAATCTCTTTTCTTTTCTTGAGTTTAGAATTACGCTTCTTTGTTGTGTTTGGCGTGTCCTCTTAAGAGTTACTTGACGTTTCTGTTCTTTATATTCAGTCATGTGTTTCTTGTTTCATGAATTTGGCTGACGTTCTTTTACTTACGGCAACTCATGAAACTGAATCAGAACCAGTGACCGCCACGTGTAATCTAATTAGAGGCTTTAATCTCATTCGCCGCCACGACACGTGTACATCCATTTCTCAACTCTTGTAATAAAGTCTTCAGCTTGGTCGCTGATTTTTCTTCTCTCTCACAACTATCAAGATCAAGAATCATGACGAGCTCTCTTAGAGAGAAGAAAGTAAAGACCAACGGGATATGGTTAAACGTTGCTGAGAAAGGAGACACAGAAGGGCCTTTGGTCCTGTTACTTCATGGTTTCCCTGAGACATGGTACTCTTGGCGTCACCAGATCGATTTCTTGTCTAGCCATGGTTACCACGTGGTTGCTCCAGATCTCAGAGGCTACGGTGACTCCGATTCTCTTCCGAGCCATGAGTCTTACACTGTGAGCCACCTCGTCGCTGATGTCATCGGTTTGCTCGATCACTACGGCACTGCTCAGGTGAAATATGATCTTCTTGACAATCCAACGTTTAGATTTAGATAGATAGATTTCTGGAAAAGAAAAAAGTACATTTTTACTGTGGTAGGCTTTTGTGGCTGGGCATGACTGGGGAGCAATCATAGGTTGGTGTCTGTGCTTATTTAGACCAGACCGAGTCAAAGGTTACATAAGTCTCTCTGTTCCATATTTCCCAAGAGATCGAAAACTCAAACCTTCAGACTTTTTCAAGAGTTTTGGAGATGGTTTATACATCTCTCAGTTTCAGGTAAAACCAAAATAACTTTCAAGATTTATGGTGTTAGTGTTACTACTCGTTGATTCGATTTCTCGGTTCTGCTTTTACAAGAAACCCGGAAGAGCTGAGGCTGCATTTGCCAAGCATGATTGCTTAACGGTTATGAAGAAGTTCTTGCTGATAACAAGAACAGACTACTTAGTGGCTCCTCCTGATACAGAGATCATCGATCATCTTGAGATACCATCGACGATTCCAGATTGGATAACAGAAGAAGAGATTCAAGTGTATGCAGAAAAGTTTCAAAGATCTGGATTCACAGGCCCTTTGAATTACTACAGAGCCATGGATCTGTAAGTTGTTCACTTCTCTCTCTTTCTCTCACTTCATCTCCAGTCTTTGTTGTTACAAAAACAATTATTGAAACCGCAATGACAGGAATTGGGAGATATTGGCGCCGTGGCAAGACTCCAAAGTCGTCGTTCCTACTAAGTTTATAGCGGGAGACAAAGATATCGGAAATGAAGGACCCAATGGAACAATGGAGTATGTAAAAGGAGAGATGTTCAAGAGTGTTGTACCTAACCTTGAGATTGTTGTTATTGAAGATGGTCATCATTTTATCCAGCAGGAGAAGTCTGAACAAGTCTCTCAAGAGATTCTCTCTTTCTTAAACAAGTTAAGCAAAACAGAGTAAAATCATGCCGTTATGTGGCCTTATAGAAGAACCATGGTCTTAAGTAAACTACTAATAAATAATAATGTGTATCCAAGAATGATAACCGTGTGTGATCTCCGCAATAATAATGGTTCTTAAAAGTAAAGAAAGATCTAAGCTTTTCTATGTGCTTCTTTGAACATGGAAGTATAACATGAAGCAAGAGCCAAGAGTATTAAATTTACTCAAAACTCAATTTGTAAAAAATGACTTGGTTACTCCTATCTCACTTCCAATGTCAAAACTTTCTAACAATAAAATTTAATGAGGCCAAGTTACATAAAAAAATTGAACTTTTGCAACATCACTCCTTAAGTTATAAGCACCTTAAATACATTCCAATTATATACATCCATAAATACGAGAAAGATATTGTACCTAATGGAGTTGTCATGTCAAAATTTGTATTGTTGAGGATAGGCACATCACATTCCAAATTCATTAGCAAATTCAGTTGCAATAAAAATCGTTATTTTTTTGGCCTTTTGGGTATACCATACAATCACCAAACTCATAAATTACTTAAAAACAAATAAAAATAAATTAAACAGAAGGCCAACAGTAATCAAACTTAACAAAAAATATTAACGTTAACCAAAACATTTAACTTTAACTATCCAATAAAGAAACTCACTCAAAAATCATGGTTAACCCTCCGGCAGATCCTCCTGATCTCACCATCTGTCCCCGTCAACGGTGAGATGTTCCCCATCTTCACAATCGACTTCGCGAACTGCTCAAAGAAGGCTTCCTCATTCTCCGCGTAAAACTTGACCATCTCCATGGTCTCACTGCTTTGCGTGAACAAAATCTCATCAGAACTCAAGAGTCCTCTAAAGTTCACCAGATTCTTGAAGTAGTAATTGTCAAACTTAGTTGGCGTCACGTAGTCAAGATTAAAGAGGTTCTGGTCGTTGCCCGAAATCGGACATCCCTGCTGCAACATAGAGGCGTAGTCTTGATTCAAAGTCTGGTCGGGATCGTTGTTTCCAGTATGGTTGTATAACCTTTGTCGGAAACCAATACACCTCGAGTTTCCTATCGTGTGACTCCCTACATTTAAATCATGGTTATTAGTTTTAGAAATGATAATTTATCAATATGTGTTAGTTTATATCTTTAATCTTTAATAGAACTTGTGAGAGATAAGATAACGTTTTTTTATCCAATCACAATCACACATCGTTATTTATAACATTTCTTTATTCTCTTACTTAAGTTTCTTTATTCTCAAAAAAAAAAAAAAAAAAAAAAAAAAAAAAGTTTCTTCCATAAAAAGTTCTCTTGGATACCATATATATATACCTAAGAGGGCAACAAGATCGGTGAGATCAAGTCCTTGAAGGTTGAACATGTTGACAATTGTTTGTAACGTGGACTCGGGAGAAGGAATGTTCTCCATGGAACCACTCAAACTTGCTTCCCTTGCATCTCTTCTTCCAAGATTTACTTCCCAACTAGGTCCACCACACTGTAGATAATTACAAAATTAACGAGTGTTTGTAACAATTATATATTAGTTCTATACTTCTATTGTTAGAGAATTGACTTACAATAACAATGGAGTCTCTAGCAACGAGAGCCAATAGATCGGCGCAAGAAACTGTTTCAGGACATTCATTTTCCAAGGCCGACTTGATCTCGTCAATGACTTCGAACCCTCGAGCAGAGTCTCGATTTGCATTTGATCGTTTCTCGCTTTCCATGGTTCCACTACTGTCCAATAGTACGGAAGCATCACATCCCTGCACCAACCAAAGTCTATATATCAACTAACATTTGTCCTTATTTATATCAAACATTATATATTTGAAGAATAGACTAGATTTTGTCAAACATTAACGAAACAGTCATGGAAATGGAGCCTAAGAATTGAGGCAGCCATGCGAGGGTCATTGGAATATGCTTTGGCGACGTAAGATTGAACGATGGCTTGTGCGTTTGGGCACGAGTTGTCGTAAAACTGAGGGGATAGAGAGGCAGAACTCGTGCTTTCATGTGTTTGATAACATATACAAAGAGGAAACAGCGCAACAAGTGGGATTTGGGCAAGAACAACCATTGACTTCACCATTTTTGTATTCATATTGTGTGAATGACGATGAATACATGGTTGATTAATTTATAGAGGAAAGCTAAACAAGTATGATTTGTTACGTCAACTTGGCTTTTAATTTGTTGGATGGGATACATTAATTGTGAGTGTTAGTTTGGATATAGGATTCGTTACATCTACATATGGTTTCCAATTATCTCTTCTTTTTTGTCTTCCTTTGTGTTGGGAATAGAAAACGTCAATGTCCCTTTCTTATTTTAAATGCAAAGATCGATTAGAATTGTGAACCGATCCGTGTGCTAAAATTACCTTAATTTGCATCACTCAAAAACAATAGAAACCTAAAACTAGGCCTGGGAATTCAAACCGAACCGATTTATCCGAACCAAACCGAACCGAGGTTTGGGTAAATCGGTTCGGTTTCCATTAATTAGGTCAAACCAATCGGAAAAATTTAAAATTATTTCGGTTAACCGAGATTTTTCGGTTCGGTTCGTCCGAACCGACGGTTAACCGAATAACACAAAACCCTAACCTATTATTGTCATAGCCACGTTTCTTCACTTATTCTTCTTTATTTTCTTCGATTTCTCCTCTTCTTCTCCTTCTTGCCCTCCGATTATCATCATCATCTCCCATACATCTTCATTCATCATCTTCTTCTTCTTCTTCTTTTTCTTCTTCTTTTTCTTCTTCTTCTTTCGAAATGAACAATCTCGTCTCAGTTTTGATGATTACAAAGAAAGGTTTCCACAAATCGTTTGGATGGAGCCGTTTTCGTTGATGACTTGACTAACAACAATAACAATGGTAGCAATCGTTTGAAAGGTATTCCAGATTCGAATAAAATGGAGAGATTGAGGCTTAGCTTTTTCGATTCTCCGGCGTTTAAGTCGCCGGAAAAAGTCTCTCCAGGCAGATCTGGTTTGTCTGGCGGCTAGGGTTGTCAAGACTGAGAGAGTTGCACCTTGCAACAAATGGGCTGGGCCTTTAAAATTTCTTTTTTTAATTTGTTTTGGGTGGCCCAATCAATTAAAATAAAAAAAGACATAAGTTTCGGTTATATCGGTTTTAAACCGGAAAAACCGAACCGAACCGAAATCTTATTCGGTTAGTTTCGGTAGAGATTTCAATTTCTGAAATACCCGAAAAACCGAAAAACCGAAACCGAATTACCTGATCGGGTCGGATTCGCAGGCCTACCTAAAACCATAAATGACAGAAAAAAGAGGGTTTATATTTATATTTCTTCCATGCAACGACCATAAGCGTATCTACGTCATATTATTTTTGGTTAAGAGCCACACCAAATTATTAGGTGTATAATACATATAGTACTATATAACCAGTGTTCAAGAAAGCGCTAGGCGCTAAGCGGGCGGTGACCCAGTGCCTAGCGCCTAGAACGTCTAATCGGGGCCTAGACGATTTTTTAGGCGGTTTAGACGTTTATAACATAAAACATTATCAATATGATATTATATAAAATATCTATATAAAACTAAAAATTATGAAATTATAAATAAAAATTAGATAAAATATTTATTTATATTTATATTAAACAATATATGAATATTTATAACTATATATATAAATAAAACTCTAATTGAAATTGAAAAAATACATTAAACAAGATCTATGTAATTTTAGGCGGTCAAAGCGGTTATCTAGGCGTCGCATGAGAGCCTAGCGCCTAGTCGGGACCTAGGCGACCGCCTAGACCGCTTTTTAGAACACTGTATATAACATACGCAAAAAAAAAAAAAAAAAAAAAATTGTACCAAAAAAAAAAAACATACGCAAAAAAGTTGATTAAAATGAAACTAATGATGACCACCCGGAAGCTTCTCTTTGATCTTCTCCATCATGCCTTTCTTCTCGTGGTGAACGGTGCCGGTATCATAGGCCGTCGTGGTAGAAGCTAAAGAAGTCTTGTTGGACTCGTGATGACCCGGCAGCTTCTCTTTAATCTTCTCGGTTATTCCCTTCTTCTTCCTCCTCCTTCCACCTAGTCCATCGTCCTCCTTCATGCATGCACACCACGTGTTAAATCAGTAGTAAATCATCATGGAAAGCTACAAGTATATGCAACACTTTCCATATTTTATCTCGTAATTTTTAAATACTGTAGGATATGGTGGTATACCTTGAATATAATTCAAATTATAAACAAAAACTTATCATCACAAAAAATGGTTTATATAAAAATTATCAATTGAACACAAAAAATGGTTTATAAAACAATATGTATATATGTTACAAAAAAAATGTATATATGTACTTAGTTAATCTAAAATATGTTTCCTAATTTTTTCCAGTTAGGTGAAGTCAAATTAAATGAAACAACTTATATATGGTGATATAGGAAGAGTAAGCATTTGCGGAAAACAGAGGTATACCGAGCTAGAACTAGAGCTACTCCCCGAACGGTGAAGCATGCCACTCAAACCACCACCTTCCGCCATGACCGGAGCTCCACCTGCAGTTCCATAGGCTCCGGTGGTGGCTGGAAATGGAATTCCAAATTGGTCAAGCTGTTGGTGAGTCTGCTGCGCTCCGGACTGGTTTTGGTAAGACTCCATCTTCCTTTTACAATTGAAACTTTAACTTCTTATGCCTTTTTTAGCTATAGACAAAATTATTCTCGACGAAATTAAGACAATGATTGATGATGATTCATACGCTTGAATGGTACTTTTTTATAGAACCGTCATTTTGGATAGGGATCATAATCACATATATTATCAAATCGTGTTGAAGTGACACACGTGGCGTTAACGTAAGACGTTGGTTTTGTGGTTAGAGTGACACATGTCATTGTCACATGTCCGTTAAGCCAGCCAGCCACACATTTTATAATTAAATATCCGTAAAATAGCTTATTTGGGCCGTATGGGCCTAAATTTTTAACCCTAATAATACATGCCAAACAAACGCGGTCGTTTCGTTGATGTTTCCACCTATGAGAGATGTTTCATCAATGATCATATTATTACATAAAAAATAAAAGGTCGCCTCAGAGGCCAAAGCATCTCCAAACCAATATTATAAATATTTTTAATATAATTGTGTTACTTAAATTTTAAATGATACAAAATTTGATCCAATTATCATAAAACAAGCGGTATAAAAAGATTCTAAACAAGAACTCAGAGATTTTTAAATGAAACATCACTCTCTTTTATTTTCTATTATTTTTGTGTTATTTTAATTTTAAAAACCCTCTATTGGAGGTGTTCTCACAACTAATGAGCAATCGAATTTTGCTTTACATCGTCAGAAAATTCCAATAAGAAAACGAAAAATCGAAACTAACCAAAAACTAGTACAGTTGAAACTTGGAACGATAGAAAGCTATAACAATAAACAAACCAAAAGTAAATACTTTATATTAATTCAACAACACAATCACTTACATATACTATTAGTTAGCGATAAAACAAAAGAAAACACCGCATAACGCGCTTTCTTAAAAACCACTTAATACTAGTTTGTTTTTTTTTTAATAAGAAACAAACCATCATATTATTAGACCACACAAAGACTTAAATATTTTTAAACAAATTGCTAAAATAAATTTAGTGATGACCACCGGGAAGCTTCTCTTTAATCTTATCAATCGTACTCTTCTTTTCGTGGTGAACAACGCCAGTATTACCATAATTTGCAGTGGTTCCAGTTTGGTGAGCTCCATGATGACCTGGCAACTGCTCTTTAATTTTTTCAGCTATACCTTTTTTCTGATGGTGAACGACATTAGTGTTAGTAGCACCATAACCCGTGTTAGTACCCGTTTGGTGTGACCCCTGATGACCTGGTAGTTTCTCCATAACTTTTTCGGTCATACTTTTTTTCTCGTGGTGAACACCGCCAGTGTTACCATAACCCGTGTTGGTTCCATGAGTCTGGTGAGTTCCATGATGACCTGGTAGCTGCTCCATAACTTTCTCAGTCATACCTTTCCTCTCGTGGTGAACACCGCCAGTGTTACCATAACCCGTGTTGGTTCCATGAGTCTGGTGAGTTCCATGATGACCTGGTAGCTGCTCCATAACTTTCTCAGTCATACCTTTCTTCTCGTGGTGAACACCACCAGTGTTACCATAACCCGTGTTGGTTCCATGAGTCTGATGAGTTCCATGATGACCTGGTAGCTTCTCCATGATTTTCTCCGTCATCCCTTTCTTTGGCACTCCGGTTTGGTTCTGGTAAGAATCCATTTTCTTCTTCGAATTTAAAATAAACTTGCTACTCTTTTGTTAGCTATAGATGAAATTAAAGACTTTGATCGTTGAAGATTAATGAGCTCTTGAATGATACTTTTATAGACCCGCAAGTTTTCATATTGGATAGGAATTCATCATATAGATATTTTACGCAATACGTGTTGGCCAACATCACAAAAGTAATAGATTTAATCCGTAGTTGATTAAAGTGACACACATGGCATCTAAATAAGATAAGACGTCGGTCTAGTAGTAGTTGTTAGCCACCGACGTAAATAGCTTAAGTGGGCCTCATGGGCTTTTAGATACGGAAGGCCCAATAATATATACCTTTTACCAAATGGAAAACGATGTCGTTTGGTATGTTTCCACCTTTGTTGTTCGTCATCTTTTTTGTTTTTGGGCGCTCCAGATTTGAAATCGTTAGTAAACAAACAAAAACAAAAAGCTCTAATTTCGATTTCTCAAGCTGTGCTTTTTTTTGTTCTTCTTCTTCGCATCGAGGCATGTACAATTCGTGGAGACAAGTTTCCCGTTTCAACAAAAAGCTTCTCCGATGCAGATTGGGCACGAGATAATGATGACTACCTCTCCACAAACGCATACATTGTCTACTTTGGCGGCAGTCCGATTTCGTGGTCTTCAAAGAAACAAAAGAGTGTAGCCCGATCTTCCACAGAGGCTGAATATCGGGCTGTCGCAAACACGGCCTCTGAACTACGGTGGATATGCTCATTACTCTTTGAAATGGGAATTTCCTTGCCAACAGCACCGGTGATATACTGTGATAATATGGGAGCCACATACCTATGTGCCAATCCAGTTTTCCATTCGAGAATGAAATATGTTGCTCTTGACTATCATTTTGTTCGTGGGAATATTCAGTCTGGCGCACTTCGAGTCTCTTATGTATCAACTAAAGATCAATTGGCAGACGCACTTACAAAACCGCTACCAAGACCAAGGTTTCAAGAACTCAATTCCAAGATTGGAGTCAAGGAATTGCCTCCATCTTGAGGGGGTGTATAAGGTGTGATATAGTTTAAGGATCTAATTGTAATTCTTAATTAGTTAAACCTAGTGTAGAGACTATATAAGTTGTACATTTACCTAATGAAAGGAATGAGAACTCTCTTAATTAATAGAAGGAATTGAAAAAGGTATGATTATTAAGCTTTAGCTTTCGTTTATCTCTGAATCCTAATGCTTTTCGTGTTGTTGTTTCAGATTTTTGGTGTTCAAAGATGGATCCAGATGCAGTGAAATCGACTCTCTAGAATCTAGCATTCGGAAATGTAATGGTGGCTGCTGCAAGAAATTATCAAAAGGTAAAAAAAAATTTTCTTTGAGTTTTTGGTTAATCCATCGAATTCGATTTCATAGTTACCTTTTTCTCTAAATTTTTTGGAAATTGTTCGATTATATCTACGTTTTCGTGTTTCAAGCATATGATGTTGGTAAGTTTCTTTCTTTGTGCATATGTTAATTGATTGATCTGTGTTTAATGTTTGTAAAAGTTGTAGACTTTATGAGTTTTTTGATGTTTTTTTGGCTGTGTAGATAACCTGTGAGTACTTGTATGTTTTTGATGATTTCTTTATAGGAAGTTCTTGCCAATGAGAAGGCGCAAGGATCAAATCCCGTTTTGATACTTGTCCCGTTACTCGCCCTGTTGTCCCGTTACTCGCCCCATTTTATATTACAAGATATAAACTATAAAGCCCAACTACCATTAAACCCAACTACTAAAACTATAAAGCTCAACGTTATAAACTAAAACTATAAAGGCCAACGTTAGTAACAACTAACAATACAATATATAAAGCCTATTAAACTCAATTACTTTTAAACCCAATAACAAAAGAACAATCGAGAGAAGACTTTCGATTTCAGAAATTTTTTAGGGTTTGGATGTTTGAATGTGTTGTTATTCTATGATGTTTTGAACTTTAATGTTTAGTGATTTTATGATGTTTAAAATTCTGAATGTTTTGTAATATGTATAAGATTGTTTTTATATTTAAATTTTTTAGTTCAAGACTTCAAATAACAAGTACCTTACAAGTAACAAGTCAAGTCAAGTTATCTTGCAAGTAACAAGCCGGGTCAAGTTACTTGCAAGTAACAAGATTTTAAACCGGTACTTGTTATAGCAAGTATTTGCTCAAACAAGTTGAGTAACAAGCCGGAATTTCAATTACTTGTACAAGTCAAGTCGAGTCACAAGTACTTGAAAAACAGCAAGTACTTGTCTTGTGCCCAAGCCTACATGCAACGACCCTAAGCGTAACTACGTCATATTCTTTTTGGTTAAGAGCCACACCAAATTATTAGTTTGTACAATACACACAGTACTATACTACTATATAACATACGCAAACAAGTTGATTAAAATGAAACTAATGATGACCACCCGGAAGCTTCTCTTTGATCTTCTCCATCATGCCTTTCTTCTCGTGGTGAACGGTGCCGGTATCATAGGCCGTCGTGGTAGAACCTAAAGAAGTCTTGTTGGATTCGTGATGACCCGGCAGCATCTCTTTAATCTTCTCCTTTATTCCTTTCTTCTTCCTCCTCCTTCCACCTAGTCCATCGTCCTCCATCATGCATGCATACACGTGTTAAATCAATAGAATATCATTAAATGCTATAAATTGTTGCAACACTTTCCATATTTTATCTAGTAATTTTTAAATATGTGCTCTACTTTGAAAATAGTTCAAATAAATTCTAAAACAATTTATCATTTCAACACAAGCTGTTGGTGAGTCTGCTGCGCTCCGGACTGGTTTTAGTAAGACTCCATGTTCCTTTTACAATTGAAACTTAACTTCTTATGCCTTTTTTAGCTATAGACAAAATTATTCTCGACGAAATTAAGACAATGATTGATGATGATTCATACGCTCTTGAATGGTACTTTTTATACATACATTATCAAATCGTGTTGAAGTGACACACGTGGCGTTTACGTTAGACAATCGTTTTGTGGTTAGAGTGACACATGTCATTGTCACATGTCCGTTATAAACCAGCCAGCCACACATCTTATAATTAAATATCCGTAAAATAGCTTATTTGGGCCGTTTGGGCCTAAATTTTTAACCCTAATAATCCATATAGCCGAACAAACGCGGTCGTTTTGTTGATGTTTCCACCTTTGATGTTCATCTTTTGATCATATTATTTATTACTTAAAAAATAAAAGGTCGCCTCAGAGGCCAAAGCATCTCCAAACCAATATTATAAATATATTTAGTATAATTTTGTTATTTAATTCATTTTTAAATAAAAAGTTGATCCAATTATAGTAAAACAAGTGGTGTAAAAAAATTCTAAATATTGACAAAAAAAAAAAAAATTAAACAAGACTCACAGGTTTGTAAATGAAAACCTATACTGTCTTTTTAAAATTTTTTTTTTTTTGTTATTTTAATTTTAAAAACCTTCTACTGGAGGTGTTCTCACAACTAATGAGCGATCGAATTTTGCTTTACATCGTCAGAAAATTCCAAAAGAAAACGGAAAATCGAAACTAACCAAAAACTAGTACAGTTGAAAGTAAATAGTAAATACTTTATATTAATTCAACAACACAAATCACTTACATATATTATTAGTTAGCGAAACAACAAAAGGAAACACTGCATAACGTGCTTTATTAAAAACCACCTAATAACTAGTCTGCTTTTTATTTTATTTTTAAATAGAAAAGCCACACCATCATATTATTACACCACACAAAGACTTAATAGTCTTAAGCAAATTTAGTGATGACCACCGGGAAGCTTCTCTTTAGTCTTATCAATCATACTTTTCTTCTCGTGGTGAACAACGTCAGTGTTACCATGATTTGCAGTGGTTCCAGTCTGGTGAGTTCCATGATTACCTGGTAGCTGCTCTTTAAGTTTTTCAGCTATACCTTTTTCCTCATGGTGAACGACATTAGTATTAGTACCAGTTTGGTGTGACCCCTGATGACCTGGTAGCTGCTCCATAACTTTCTCCGTCATACCTTCCTTCTCGTGGTGAAGACCGCCAGTGTTACCATAGCCCGTGTTGGTTCCAGTCTGGTGAATTCCATGATTACCTGGTAGCTGCTCCATAACTTTCTCCGGCATCCCTTTCTTCTCGGGGTGTACACCGCCGGTGCTAGTAGCACCATCATGGCCTGGTAGCTTCTCCATGATTTTCTCCGTCATCCCCTTCTTTGGCACTCCGGTTTGGTTCTGGTAAGAATCCATTTTCTTCTTCGAATATAAAATAAACTTGTTACTCTTTCGTTAGTTATAGATGAAATTAAAGACTTTGATCGATGAAGATTAATGAGCTCTTGAATGATACTTTTATAGAACCGCAAATTTTCACTTTGGATAGGAATTCAACATATAGATATTTTACTCAATACGTGTTGGCCGACATCACAAAAGTACTAATAGATTTAATCCTTAGTTGATTAAAGTGACACACATGGCATCTAAAGACGTCGGTGTAGTAGTAGTTGTTAGCGACCGACGTAAATATATCTGGGCCTAATGGGCTTTAGATACGGAAGGCCCAATAATACATATCTTTTACCAAACCGAAAAACGATGTCGTCTGGTGTGTTTCCATCTTTGTTGTTCATCATCTTTTTTTTTTTTTTTTGTTTTTGGGCGCTCCAGATTTGAAATCGTTAGTAAAAAAAACAAAAAGCTTTAATTTCGATATCTCAAGCTGTGTTTTTTTTTCTTCTTCGCATCAGGAAGGAATTGAAAAAGGTATGATTTTTTAAGTTTTAGCTTTCATTTTATCTCTGAATCCTAATGCTTTTCGTGTTGTTGTTTCAGATTTTTGGTGTTAAAAGATGGATCCGGATGCAGTCAAATCGACTCTCTCGAATCTAGCTTCGGAAATGTAATGGCGGCAGCTGCAAGAAATTATCAAAAGGTAAATAATATTCTCTTTTGAGTTTTTGGTTAATCCATCAAATTCGATTATATCTATGGTTACGTGTTTCAAGCATATGCTCTTGGTAGGTTTCTTTCTTTATGCATATGCTAATCACAGAATTAATTGATCAGTGTTTGATGTCTGTTAAAGTGATAGACTTTATGTGTTTTTTTGATGTTTTTTTGTCTGTGTAGATAACCTGTGAGTACTTACTTGTATGTTTTTGATGAGTTCTTTATATGGATTTTGTAGGAAGTTCTTGCCAATGAGAAGGCGCAAGGATCAAATCCTGTTAATGAAGAGGTTGATCTTGATGAACTTATGGATGTAAGTACAATTTTTGCTTTTTGTGACTGTTTTTATTTTGTTGCGGTGTGTAAGAGTTTTAAGCTTCTGTCTCTATGGTAGACTTATTTGTTTATGTTCTGTAGGATCCAGAGCTAGAAAGGTTGCACGCAGATAGGATTGCAGCACTAAAGGTTATATCTTTGGCATTGTATTGTGGCCTATATAATAATAAATTATGCAGCTTTTTGGTAGGAACTAAAACCTTCAAGATTTTATCTTGACAGAGAGAAGTTGAGAAGAGAGAAGCGTTTAAAAGACAAGGACATGGTGAATATCGAGAGGTAAGCGAAGGAGATTTCTTGGGTGAAGTCACCAGGAGTGAGAAAGTGATATGTCATTTCTACCATAAGGAATTTTACCGGTGCAAGTAAGATCTCTCATCAGCTTATTTTTTGTTCGTCTTCTGATATGTGAGCTCATAATCAAACATATGGACTGCATCATTATAGGATTATGGACGAGCATCTGAAGACTCTTGCACCTAGACATGTGGACACAAAGTTCATTAAAGTGGACGCAGAGGTTAGTGAAGAACCACTTGATTAAGTTAGAAAAAAGGAAATGGCTTTTCAACAATCCTTTGCTGAAGCTAATGCTTGGCTGAAATAATTGCAGAATGCTCCTTTCTTTGTCACGAAGCTTGCAATAAAGACGTTGCCTTGCGTTGTGCTTTTCAGGTTTTGCCTCTTTCTATTCATTCTTACATACAGGGCTTGTTGTTAGGTGTATAATAAAATACGAGTTTCTTTATCATTCTTAGCAAGGGAATCACGATGGATAGGCTAGTTGGGTTCCAGGATCTGGGCACTAAGGACGATTTCACCACGAATAAACTAGAGAACGTACTGGTTAAAAAGGGTATGAAGAATCTCACACCCACCTTTTTTATAAATAGAACTCAGTTAAGAGAATTTTTGCTTAAAGAGTGCAAATCTTTAACAGGAATGCTCAGCAAGAAGAAGAAAGAGGAAGATGATGAAGACGCCGAATATCAAGAGAGCATACGGCGATCTGTTAGGTCTTCAGAGAATCTGGACTCTGATTCTGACTGATCAAGCAGTTGATATCAAAGATCTGCCATTGATGCTAGTCTCTGTTTTGCCCTTGTTCTCTTTTGTTATATGTTTATTAGAAAAGAAAATTGCGATATGAAATCCAAACGGTCAAATGCAACATTACATTGTATCAAGGTATATGTAATACACCAACTTATTGTCACTGTTTAATAAACATTGATTTAGTTGCTTTAAACGTGCCATCAGGTTCTGTGCAGTGGTGTTTTCGTCCACACTCCGCCTCTAAAGCCGACATCTTCGATTGGGAAAGACTCTAGCTCTGGACACCAGTTTGCGGTCACGGTCCTCAGGTACGGCATTGACTGTTGCAGCGCTTCCCAGTCCATGTCTAGGTCCGACAACGAACTTAACATTAAACTTTCGATTCTCCAGTGAGTATTCTCAATTCCCCAGAATCGTTCATGCATTTTCACCAAATTACCTGAGCATATTGACATGTACCTCAACATCGGAAGCTTGTGAGGACTCAACCACGATGGACTCGACTTTCCAGGATAGAATTGTAGAGAAAGCTCATGGAGCTGGTGTGGAGGAGTGAGCGCATCAATTTTAGTTATGAGATCATCGCCGTAGCTATCGTAGCAGCTGATCGAAATGGACATAAGCTTGCTTAAGTTTATCAAAGAATTAAGCTCATCCTCTTCGATCTGATCGCCACGAGTCAGAGAAAGACCAAGTTTCCGGAGGTTTGTGAGATTTTTCACTTCACTGAGCTTGCACCCATTGTTGGACCTGGCTGGCTTAAATCCCAACAGTACTTCGAGGTTCACGAGACTTCCAATACCCTTGGGGAAGCACTCAAGTGATCCACAATTCGTCATGTCAAGTACAAGGAGTTTCTTGAACAAGACAATGCAAGGTTGAAGTTGTTTCAGATTCTGACAGTAGCTTGCGTCTAGAATCTGAAGATTGTGGAGATCTTCCATGGAACGAGGAAACTGGATCAGCGGATGTGTGTTGCTCATACTAAGACATGCTAAGTGTTGAAGGCTTGCAATCTCATCCAAAATCTGAGACAGAGGAGCATCAAATATTGACTTCGAGATATCGAGAACCCGAAGATATTTGCAATCTGTGAATTTCTTAGCTAAGTCTGAGTTGAGTTTGTTCACCTCACCTGTCTTAGTTGTTGACACAACGCCTCTCAGCTTATAATTAACTTTGATCTGCTGCTCATCAAAGTTTCCACTAATCCCAAGGTGACGACAGTTGAGGCCTTCTGGGTTAGAGAAGGAATCCTTCTTGGCTATATCAATCACCAAATCACGAACCATGTCATGAATCTTGCAAGTGATGATGGTTCCACTATAGGTTTTGTCAACAACTTCTATTAGACACCTGTTTGTGAGCCCGGAAAAGCAGTCTTCTCCAGATTCAGTTGCAGATCTTCCGTTTCTCCATATGACAAAACCTTCTCCGATCCATCCATGTACGAGTTGCTGTTTTGGTATAACACAGTCTTCTGGATAGAGAGAAAGCGTGAGAAAGCACGACTTAAGGTGGGGAGGGAGTTCGTCGTAGCTCAATTGGAGAGAAGACATCACATTGTCAGTTTCAGAAGTGTTTCCTCTTAGCTCATCCTGAAAATGATCTGCTATTCGTCTCCATTCATGATAGACATGGTCTTTGCACAAAAGTAATCCACCAACTGCTTTGATTGTCAAAGGCAAACCTTTGCATTTTGTTACAATCTCCTTGCCGACATCCTCTAGCTCGGGACGCTCACAAGTACCGTCATTTGCTGCAAATGCCACCTTACAAAACAGCAGCCAACTGTTATCAGAACTGAGGAGCTGTGGTCGGTGAGTCTTGTCTCTCGCTTGCACCCTTACCGCGACAGATTCCGACCTTGTGGTCACGATAACGCTACCACCTTGTCCTCTAGGCAGTCCTTGGTAGATCTTGTCCCACCAACTCAAATTCTTGTCCCACACATCGTCCATAACAATCAAGTACCTTTTCCCCAAAAGATACTGCTGGATTTTTCTCAGCAATGTTCCAAGATCATCTCCAACGCTCGCGTCCCCCAAGTTCCGCAATATGCTTCTCATGATCTGTTCTTCGGTAAAAGTCTGGGACACAGACACCCATATCCTTCTTTCGAAACGATGTTCGATCTCTTTGTCATTGAACACTTCTTGAGCTATCGTAGTTTTACCTAATCCTCCCATCCCTACAAAGGCCATGATCAATAGCTCGCTCTCGTTTGATCGAAAGAGCCACTCCTTGATTTTTCTTTTATCTCCTTCCAAACCAACCACCTGAGTATGATTATACACCGGAGAGCTCCACCGATCAGTTCCATTATCTCTTCCAACATTACTCGGCGTTCTGAATTTAAAATAAGGCTCTACTTGACTCTTTATCTTCGATATCCTCTCATTGATCTCTTTCAAACGTTTGCTTTTCTTGTACTGCAACGAAACCCGGGGAGGATTAAACCGCGAAAGCCACGCATTTGATGACCTTTGCTCGTTACCATCATCATCAGCATCACCATCCGCGAGCTGACAATCCACAAGTATGTCCTCAGCTTCATAAACCAGTTCTCGTAAATCCGTCACAAGATTACGCAACATTTCATTAGTTCTCTTCTGCCTCTCTGCATCCTTGAGAAAAGACTGCATATATTGCAACTCCCTTTGCAAATCTTCTAACTGTTTTCGGTAGTCCGATACGGTTCGGCCTTTTTCTTCGAGGATGTTCATGGCTTTCTCTAAACACACTGTTACAACAGCGTCCACCATTTTCTCAGACCCTGCAACTTCAAGAAATATCTCTAATTGTTACACAATTTCCAAGCAATAATTCAATCGGTTATGTGTATCATCATTAGATCGAACTTTCTAAAAATCAATCAACCAACGACTATAGAATCTCAATAACCAAAGATTGGATTAATCTTTAACTAATCCTTATCTTCTCAAGAAACATGTAGAATCCTAGAACATCGAAACAAATCTAACCAAAGTAAAAGTCAATCTCATGATAAGAGAACACTTACAAGGTGTGACTTAGCTCTTAGCCGATGAGGATCTGAAGCTTCAGATCATTGGATCGTTTTAGCAAACTTGTTTCAAGAATGAGCTTAAAAGATAAATGAAGTCAATGGTTTAACAATTATAAGTCAAGAGTCAACCTTACTCGGTTTCTTGGTTACTACTTGCTGCCGACTACGAAACTTAAGACATGTTCTTTTTTTTTTTTTTTTGTCGGAGATAGGATTTAGTTGACAAATTCAACATTCTATTGGTCTCTCTGACCACATAAAATAATATCAACATTTCCCTTAGGAATTTTTTTTTTCTTCTTTTTTACATATTCTGCAACAAATTTATAACCAATAAATAATAGCATGATAGTTATTTAACAAAGAAACAAGTAAAAAAAAAGAGAACTACTCAATTTCTTCTAAGCTTTTTAATCATTTATTTGTTTCTTGGCTTTTAAGAACTCAACAAGTCCTTGGAGTACTTTATCCACAGAGTCACTCCTCATCAACTGTTCAGCTACTTCTGCTGGTGTAACTTCAATTTCTCGGATAAATTCTTCAATCTGCTCGAAAAGAATATGATCTTGAATCTCGAGATAATTCGAAGCCAAAACCTTAAAAGCAGCTGGTGTGCAATACGACATGTGAATGTGCATGTCCATACGTCCTGGCCTCAACAATGCTGGATCCAATTTTTCTCTGTAGTTAGTGGTAAACACTATAATCCGCTCGTTACCACAACTTGACCATAGTCCATCTACAAAATTCAATAAACCAGAGAGTGTGACCTGAAAATGACCAACCAAAACATTAGTTATGCTAATAAGCAAAAGACATACAACATAAGTGATAGTGAATCAAAATGCATCACCGTTTTATGCAGCGGATCGTTGTTTTCCTGATCAGTAGACCGATCTTTTAACTCGATTGAACAATCTATATCTTCGACAACTAGAATGGAACGATTTGAAGTAGACATAAGTAACCTCCTGAGCTCAGCATTGTTGTTAAGTGATGTCAAGTCTAAGTCATAGATATCAAAGTTAAGATGATTAGCGATGGCTGCGATCAAGCTTGATTTTCCAGTACCGGGTGGACCATACAACAAATACCCTCTCTTCCAAGCTTTTCCCACCCTCCCGTAAAAGCCTTTTCGCTGCACGAATCGATCAAGATCATCCACCAAGTTTTTCTTCACCTCGGGATCCATAGCGAGAGTGCGAAACGTGGAAGGATGGTCGAGAGTCACAGAGGTCCACTCTACGGAGTAAGAATCAACAGTAAAGATCTTCAACGTCTTAATCTTTTCTTTCATAGAAGCAGCTTGTTCCACAACAAACGGTAAATAAGATTCAAGAACCATGTTCTTGAACTTCTTTCGGAAACTAAGCTCGTAAGTACGCACTTCTGATTTCAAAGTGGAGTTGAGATCTCGCGGGTTACGAAAATCCTTTTTATCGACATGGCGACATACAAGGATCCAACTAAGCTTGACGCCATCAAAAGTATCCACAACTTCCTCATCACGTTCAACAGTAACACTATAATTGCTCTGTTTCTCAAGTTTGTTCACTTTGATTCTTCTAGTGGAATTAGATATCTTGGTGGAGAGATAAGCCTCTGCAGCTTCAAACACTTGATTGTGTTCAAAACCTCCAAATTCTTCAATAACAGCAGTCATCTGATAAGAGAAGTAGCTGAAGAATCTGCGAAACCCGTAAGAGATAAACTCATGAACCTCGCTTGGCATGTAATCTTGAACCACTGATCGAGCTAGCATTGCGGCTGCAGCCACTGATGCAACTGCTGTGAGAGCTGTTTTGGCGGTGGCTAGATGAGATTCACTAGAGGATGAAACAGAGGAACTCATTTCCTTCAATCTTATCGATAATAAATTGAAAAAACAAAAAAAAAATCACTGGTAAAGTTAGTTCACAGAAATTAGAGTCAGAAACAAGAAAAATTAACCTAAAAAAAAAGATTGTGTATAATGATTACAGAAAAAGTTAAGGAATGATATAAATTCGAGTATCATAAATCTGATTCGATGCTATATAAGTTTTCCATGATGAATAACAAAATTGAAATTCTAACAATTCAAAAAGATAAAAATTTGAGGCTTAAAGAGAAGATACCTTGATACCACTATACCAGCACTTCTGCGATCACTGAACTTTCACGATACCTCAGAAAATTAGGGATGAAAAATTATATATTTAATTGGGTTGAAGATGATAAAAGTGAAACGAATTGTATATAGTGGGCTAATATCTACGGCCCATTTAGTAAGTATAGTTTGTTTTAATTTAATTTATTTGCTTTGCCTAAAACTAATTCAAATATCTCTCATTTAAAACTTATTGATATTAGTTTTTTTTTTAAACTCAACTTATTGTTATTAGTTAATAAGTAGTATTGAACATATAAATCATTAATTTTTAGAAAAAAGAGCTAGAAAATATTTTTTTCATGAAAAAGAGGGTATGGAAGAAGATATAACTAGGAAGGTTTATTTAAATCAGAAAAGAAAAATGTATTAGAAAATCCCTAAGTCCGCCCAGGGCCGGCGTTTGGGGTGCTCGAGAGGAGCAAATGTGCAGGACCCAATTTTTTTGGGTAAATTTAAGGATCCAAATTTTTTTATTAGTATGAAAAAATGTAATTTTTAAAATTTTAAGATATTTTTAGCATGAAAAAGGCCCAAATTTTTTATTTAGTATGAAGAAAGTGCTAATTTTTAAGATTTGTGCAGAGACTCCAAATTAATTGAGCCGGCCCTGAGTCCGCCTATATATATTTATTTATTTTTTGAATGTCCAAAAAAAAATAAACGTTTAATATGAGTGCATCGTTTGGTAGAGAGAATTTAAACACGAAAAACAATAGTTTAAAAGCTTTAAATAAACCAAATCGTAAGCCAATTCATCATCAATCTTTTCGTTTTTTTTTTTGAATTTAAAGTTAAATTATATTCAAAAGAAAAATAAACGTTTTATACAACTTAATGCGATGCAATTCGAAGCATTTTTAAGACATTAGAAAGAAAACTGAGTCTTCTCTAGAGCCTTGCTGCAAACCAAGTTTGGAGTCCGCTTGAAGCTCCTCTCCCTTCCATTGTGCTCAACCGATTACGGACATTTTTATCAATTAACTTGACGAGTATCTCTGTTGGTAAAGGCTGTTCACCGTGTCTCCTCCTTCTGTTCCTCTCATTCCATATTGAGTGAATAGAGTTTTGAAACGTGTACCTTAGCAAGAAAGTCTTTGTCTTGCCAAAGCCCTCCCCTTTAAGAAGCTTCATGATCTCTTGCTAATGTTCTGAGAACTTATCCAACAGTAGCCCCAGAACCAATTCTTCCCAAACTGTCTTCGAGTACGGGCACATGAAAAACAGATGCTCTCTTGTTTCTATAGGTACCCCACAGAACACACAACTTGAATTTGCATTCTGCTTCCAAGTCAACATTCTCTCCCTTGTTGCTACTCTGTTTTTAACCACTAGCCATGTGATAAAAGCATATTTTGGAGTTGCAGCTTTGAACCATATCTCTTTGAATCCCTCCATCATTGGTGTCGAAGTGCGGATCTGCGCCCATGTTTCTTTGGTCGAGAAACTGTTGCGGTAGCTACTGTTTTTCCCTTTCCATAGGGCCACATCTACCTCATTCCCTCTCAGCTGCATTCTTGCGTTTTTAATTGCTGCTTCAACACTGTTTAGCGCTGCCTGGCGATGTTTTCTCCTTCTAGACATTGCCATCACTTCTCTTTTCGTTTTTTCTTCACCGAATCTTTTTTATTGGTCGTTTCCTTGTTATTCTCCACTTCTTCCCCCTCTTTTTGGGCCTTGGCTTGTTCGTTCTTAATCTTTTTAACTTCCAAAAACTCAATCAAACCTTCAAGAATCTTATCAACAGAGTCATTCCTCATAAGTTGTTCAGCTACCTCTGCTGGAGTAACCTCTGTCGCCTCAATACCTTCCTCGACCTTGCTAAAAAGGCAGTGCTCTTTGTTCTCTAGATAGTTTGAAGCAAGAACCTTGAAAGTACTTGGCGTGCAATACGACATGTGAATGTGCATATCCATACGTCCTGGTCTTAACAAGGCCGGGTCGAGTTTGTCTTTGTAATTTGTTGTGAATATTATGATTCGTTCTTCCCCGCAGCTTGACCATAGACCATCTATGAAATTTAGCAGTCCAGAGAGTGTCACCTTTTCTTTCGTGATTTCTCAGGAGGTTCATCTTCATCAGTACTTGTCCTATTATTTAGTTTGATAGAGCAGTCAATATCTTCCACAACAAGAATCGAACGATTAGCAGTGGCAATCAATAATTGCCTGAGTTCAGAATTGTTGTTAACGGCAGTTAACTCTAGGTCGTAAATATCAAAGTTGAGATGATTGGCCATGGCTGCAATCAAACTTGACTTCCCTGTGCCTGGTGGACCGTACAACAAGTAACCTCTCTTCCAAGCTTTACCTACCCTCTTATAGTAATCGCTCCGCTTTACGAATTTGTCTAGATCTTCCATCACACTTGTCTTGACATCTGAATCCATCGCTAGCGTCTTGAAAGTAGAAGGATGGTCAAGAGTAACTGAGGTCCACCTGTTTGAGTACCATTCTGTGTCGAGAGTGAAGATCTTAAGCTTTTTCTTTTCTTGCTTCATCAATGTGGCTCTTTTCACCATGAATGGCAAGTAAGATTCAAGAGCTATGCCCTTGTATTGTTTGTGGAAGTTGAGCTCGAATGATCGGACCTCGGATTTGGCTTTGGAGTTTTGATTCTTGGACTCAACATGGCAACAACGGAGGACCCACCGGAACTGGACGCCATTGAAAGTGTCCACAACTTCCTCATCACGTTCCACGGTGACGTTGTAGCTTTTTTCTTTCTGGTGTTTACTCACTTTAATTTTTTTGTTAGAAGGAGAGATTTTGGTGGCTAGATAGGCCTTTGCAGCTTCAAAGACTTGATTGTGAACAAATCCATCAAATTCTTCGATGGTTATTGTCATTTGAGTGGAAAAGTAAAGCAAGAAGCGGCCGCGAAAGTAGCTACGAAAGCCTTCAGAGATATAGATTTTCACCTCGTCAGGCAAATAATCTCGGAATACCGATCGAGCTAGCATTGCGGTATTAGCCATCGAAGCTGCGGTGGTGAGAACTGTTGGAATCACTGAAGCCGCAGTGGTGAAAACTGTTGGAATTCGTACTAGTTCAATTTCAGGATTGTGTAAATATAATAAATTGAACGTATATATAATGGGATTTGAATATACCTAGATATTTTGCAGCAGAACAATGAATCGCAACAATTTGAGGTTGTTTTCGTTTTCCAAGTGTTCTGCCTCCATCGGTGTTCATACGCATACAAACTAGATAAGAACGAGATGTTTGCGCCATTGAGATCAGATCTCAAAAACTTAACAAACGAATGAACGAGTTGGTCTCTCTAGGTTACTTAAGCTACTTCTCTAGGGCTTTGAGATTGCTTGCATGAGAAGAAAAGCAGTTACGAACTTAAGTTAAAGCAATCACGTTTCTTGAGAAGGAAGAACCAGAGCAGATAATTAAAAAGAAAAATCGAGAAGAGAACTCGGAAATCAAAACCTAAAAATTATTTCACTTTGCTTCGATACGATATTAGAACTTGAGCGAAAAGATTACACCTATATAATACAAGTGACAACGAGGTCTAAAGAAATTAGAAAACAAACATATTTTTTCATTCAAAGAGGAAGATTTCTTTTTTTTTGATAAAAATATTTGTTTTTCTAAGATTTACTTTTCTAGCAATTCCTTTTCTCCAAAGCACACCTTTGATTCTTTGAACAAGAACGTGTTCTCGTCTCTGTATCTCTTGGGAGCCAAAACCTTTTTGGTAATAATTATTTTTCTCTTGTCTCTTTGACTCTTTAATTTGACTCTTTTACAATTTCACTAAGACCCCAATGAATTGGTTACAAGATGTTATTTTATGGCTGGGCTATAAAATCAACTGCCATAATCTCTTACTAATAAAAGGTGTTCATTGAAGCCTCTCAGCCTATCCACATCAGATTTTAAAAATTCATCTACGTTGTGCCACGTCAGCTATCTCTTTTGCAAATAAGGTAAACCCTCGAAAATTAGCCACGTCATCCAAATCAATCGGCATCTTGCATAATAGCAAAAACAAATATCTTCTACAATAAGAATCGAACGATTAGCAGTGGCAATCAATAATCGCCGGAGCTCAGAATTGTTGTTAACCGCGGTCAACTCTAGGTCGTAAATATCAAAGTTGAGATGATTGGCCATGGCTGCGATCAAGCTTGACTTCCCTGTGCCCGGTGGACCGTACAGCAAGTAACCTCTCTTCCAAGCTTTACCAACCCTTTTATAGAAGTCTCTTCGCTTTACGAATTTGTCTAGATCTTCCATCACACTTGTCTTGACATCTGCATCCATTGCTAGAGTTTTGAAGGTAGAAGGATGGTCAAGAGAAACAGAGGTCCACGCGTCAGAGTAGTTCCCATACATGTTTTCTGGGGAGAGAGTGAAGATCTTGAGTGTTTTCTTCTCTTGCTTCATTAACGTTGCTCTTTTCACCATGAATGGCAAGTAAGATTCAAGAGCTATGTCTTTGAATTTCTTGTGGAAGTTGAGCTCGAATGATCGGACCTCAGATCTCATTGTCGAGTTTAGATCCCGTGGGTTGTGGAAGTTCTTGGACTCAACATGGCGACAATGGAGGATCCACTGGAATTTGACGCCATTGTAGGTGTCAACAACTTCTTCGTCACGCTCCACGGTGACATTGTAGTTGTTTTCTTTCTCGTGTTTACTCACTTTGATTCTTTTATTAGAAGGAGAGATCTTGGTGGCTAGATAGGCCTCTGCAGCCTCAAAGACTTCATTGTGAGCAAAACCTTCAAATTCTTCGATGATTATTGTCATTTGGGAGGAGAAGTAACCAAAGATGGAACGGAATCCATAGGAAATATAGTCGTGCACCTCGTCAGGCAAATAATCTTGGAGTAAAGATCGAGCCAGCATTGCGGTTGCAGCCACCGAAGCCGCGGTGGTGAGAACCGTCTTAGCCGTGGCTAGACGGGATTCCGCGGAAGAAGAGTCAGAGGAGCTCATCTTGTTTTGGATGTTTTTGTGTTTTTGAGTAAACCCAAACACTCTGAATTTATAATTGGTGGGGAAGTGGGAACCGGAGTGGAGACTAATGGACGCAAGGAAGTAGCTTGGATACTTCCTTTGTTACAACGTGGAAGTTTCTAAGTAATATAATAACAAACAAGAAAGAACAAAGAAAAATAGAGTTAAAGTGGGCTCCAATGACTTGTTCATGAGGTTTATTTTACTTATCGAAAAGAATCAAAGATCATGCGTCAAACAGAAACAAGAAAAGAATTAGTAAACAAAGACTGACTTAACGTGTGGGTCACTCTTCTTGTAAAAGCAGTTTTAGAAAGAATTAGTAAACAAAAGACTCACTTAACATGTGGGTATACATTTGTTTTCTTTTGATTTTCTTAGAGATTCGTTTTTAAGAAATATATATTTTAAGGCTTTTCTGGTAGAAGAATCTCTGTTTTTTAGTAAAAGTATTAAAGGTTAGCTTTTTTTTTTATAGAAATATACACATTTTAAATCAGCTAATATAATGTATATTTTGCATGACTGTAAATGTATATTTTTGTACATCTGTACGTTAAAATTAAATGTGTTATAAGAATCACATTATGTATTTCTTTTTATTTAAAATATCAAATATAACTTCGGTAGTATACTCATAAATAACATTGCAAATAATAGCAAATAGTGAAAATTGGATATTTTGCTAATTGTAAATAGTGAATGTTCTAGTTTTATAATTATGTTTGAAAAAACTGACTATTTTGCAACTTATCCCATTTTTTTTAATTTTGTTGACTTGTCAAATTTTGCCATAAACCTCACTAGACGTACGGTCGAAGCTTGTTAGTGGTGGTGATGCAGATGGATGTTGGCCAATAATACAGTCAAAACCTGTACTCACCTCATTTGATAACCTTGTTTATGTAGGTCCGATAATATATACTTTTATAGCCCTCTTAGAGATTTGAATGCGTCCAAAAGCAAGCAAGCTTACTTGTGTGCTTGCGTCAAGATAGAGAGGACATTCACATTATGGTGTATGCTTGTGTTTTGCCTTTTCTTCTGAAAAGGATTCACCGATGGTGGGGGACTGGTGAGAGGCATACATGAGTGTTGTTCATACTCTTTTCGTTTTGGTTTTTGTGGACTCACAAAATGTTTTTTTTTTCTTCCTCGAAGCTTAAAGAATTGAAAGCTCCTTCTGATGATATTGATTGTGAGATAAAGTAAAAGTGCATATATATATATATATATATATATATATTCATCTCTAGCTCTTGTATCATTGGACGCGTGGAATTGTCATTCTATAGCTAGAGTTGGTATAGGCTCTTTATTAAAACATGAGTTTATGTCTTTCTTAAGACAACTGGTTGTTCAAACAAATTCAGAAACTAGTACCTTGGGATCACTGATCAAGAGTCAAGTGGCCTAAACAGAGTTACCGGAGAATGGATGACGAGGGGCCTAAAACCTTTTGGACAGCGTTTAGTATATATCTCATGCAGTCATGCATCAATATCTGCTTCTTCCGTGGAAAGAACAACACTCACTGATGTTACATGATTTTCTGAATTAAAATTCTAGATATTTTTGTTTGTTTCAAAGCTCGACATTTCTCTATTATTGTTTTAAACTATTTAAGCTATAAAATAGAATCTATGCATCACATACATAATATTTTCTCATGCTATATATTATAAAATTTGGAACAATACTTGTGGTACATTATAAATTCTCTTAGAAACTTGACATACTCAATATAAATAGAGAATAATCTTTTACATCACATCACCGACTTTTGATGGCCGATAAGGTAATTTGATTTATGGATGTAGACTCAGTGACCGACGATGAGGAGGCAATCTCACCACGAATTAATCTAGCGTAGAAGTAATTAGGTTTCTTTGGTAGAGGTATTTCCATTTTCGAGGTTGACAGCATTAAAGCGACGGATTCTGTGCTTGGTCTGTCGTCTTCATCATTTTGTACGCACAGTAGACCCACTTGTATAGTTCTCCATAACTCCTCTTCTACCAATGAAGAGTCTACAAAGTTCGGATCAACAACATGTAAAATGTTCCCCTCATCAAAGTGCCTCCATACCTTTCACAAAATAAATTAATAAAACATTTTCAGTTTTTGTAACCTTTTTATGAAAACATATAAAATTAATTAGGTTGAGAATTTACGTAGTCAAGAAGACTATCACCGCGATAATAATTGCAATACTCAATATTGCGTTTTCCAGTAACAATTTCAAGAAGCGTGACCCCAAAGCTGAATATATCTGATCTTTCCGACAATTTTCCATGTAACGCGTATTCTTCAGACATGTAACCTCTATGTAGTGCAAATACAAAAAATCAAAATTCATGAGTGTTATGAATTTTTAAAAATATTATTTATGACAAAATCTTTAAAACCATTGTGATGTAATTTTGATTACGTACCGCGTTCCAACAGCCTTACCCGTCGTAGATTGTATCTCGTCATTTTCCAAAAGTTTGGCCATCCCAAAATCTGATATTTTTGGGATCATATCTTTACCAAGTAATATGTTACTTGGCTTTAGATCTCTATGAATAATGGAAGGTGTTGCGTAATTGTGCAGATAGGATAACCCTTGAACAATACCCTTGATAATGCAAAATCTTTTCTCCCAGTTTAGCAATGAACTTTGGGTTTCATCTACCGATCCATCATTAAAACATGTATTAAGTTAATTTATTTGATTCAACAATAGAAACAAAATTCAGGCCCAGTTTCTAAATAAGGCCCAAATTCTAAGTTTGTTTTTGAATGTATAGAATAAGATATTGTTTTTGAGCTGGGTCTATTCAAATGTTTATTAAAAATTTATATAACTAAATAGCTCATGGTTATCCAAAATTGTTAATTTTTATATACAAGTTTATATTTTCAACAAATTTTTAAATTTTATTAAAGATATGAAAAGTCAGTTTTCAAACAAACGAAAAAACAAGGATAGTTTTCAAATATCATTTTTTTTTTTTTGACGGCTTGTAAATAGGGTATTTTAAATTAATTCATTTCAAAAAGATTAAATTTACAATAAAAAAAGAATACTAACCGAAAATATAGTAATTGAGGCTCGAGTTTTCCATGTATTCGTAGATTAAGAGTTGTTCTCTATCTTCCCAGCAATAACCATGCAGTCGCACAAGATTTATATGCAACACACTTGAGATTGTTTGAACTTCATTCTTAAATTCATTAAAACCCTGTGATGAAGTTATTGCCAATCTTTTCACCGCCACCGTATTTCCGTTAGGCAGTGTTCCCTATTATCACATAATGTAGTCAGATTTATTGATAGTTGTATTATAAGTACGTACTAGACTACTAGTTATCAATAATGAAAGATTGTAAAATTCTTAACCTTGTAAACCACACCGAAACCACCTTCTCCAAGCTTATTGGCTTCAGAGAAATCATTTGTTGCTTCAGCAACATGTACCAAATTCATGAATTCACATCTGGTTTGTCGGGCTATCTCGTTCATAATCATTGTCTTGCTTGGTCCTCCTAATAAGCATTAAAAAAAATAAGTTAGAAAAAAAGAAGATAAAAACTAAAACTATAGTGTTACGTATCGGTATATATTTACCATGAGTTATTATGGTTCGACGATTGTGCTGTTTCCAATAGTAGTAGGTGGCGAATGTAGCCAGTGCCACTACCACGACTCCGATAATAATGATGACTGTAACCTCCAACGTGCGGCCCATACCCTTATTTTTTGTATTTTTGGTCGTAATCGTCTGATTCGTCTCATCCCCTAATAAAAATACAAATGAAAAAAATTAATCGAAGTTTGTCCATATAATAGTTTTGTATTTCCCATGATCAATTAGGTAATTTCATAACTAGATTACTATATGATTTAATAATAATAATATCCACAACCCTCTCATAAATTGGTTTGGGCCTAAAGTAAACATATATTTTGGGTTTTATACTAATGGGCCAGGATTAGCCCAAAGATAATAAACGTTGAATTGATGCACTCACCGTGATCTATAGCAGCAGCCACTTTGACATACAGGTCTCGACCGCCGACACTGTAGTTTTGGAAGTCGTTGAGTGCTCCGGTCCACATGACACAACCTGCATGTCCTTTAAGGATAGTGACATAAGCGTACGCTGTACAATCACAATCCCGAAGACACCGCTTCTCGCAATTTTTCTTTCCAATTACCATATCCACGGTTACATCTTTAGTATCGGGCAACTTCATGTTCTTTAACTGTAAAAAATGATCTCCGGTACAGTTAAGTCGCGTCGTCCTCTCACACCCACCTCGCCAATCCCTCAACGACCAGTTCTCATGGAAAGCTGGATCGAATCCTTTAATACAAGTACATACTGAAAACGTAGTCGTTCTCGAAGAGTAACTATTAGGCCCACATATCTGATACTTACTGTAAAAATCTAAAGGATGCCAAGACAAGCTCCACATCATTCTTTCTGGTTCCCAGGTTAATATCTGAGGTAAACGGCCTTCCATTGTCAATATCGAGTTGTTGTTTTGGCCGGTCATTAGGAACGTGAAGTTGGAGTCTTCAACGTTCCTCGTCCAATTTGGGCTTACGTAGTTAAGTGAAAAATCAAGCGGTATGTCACCAAAGCGTCTTCCATCCCACGGATCGCTCCGGTAGAAGCACTTTGAAGTGTCTTGCCCACATACAGAAAGCTCAAAGAGCCCCGCTTGGTTTTTGACTTGCAAGGAGTAACCAATTCTTGACGGATCATCTGGATGCCATGATGTAAGGACTTTGTTGATTCCTGTTTTCTTATCCCTTCCCAGTTTCATCTCCGGTAATAAAGTATCCGTGGGATAATCGAAGGTCTGCCACAAAACTTCATCATTATTGGAATCCTTCACCACGAAGTTGCCGTTGTCAAGAAGCTCTGCCACCATTGGAGACCTCACGCCTCCTCTGTTCATATTGGCCGACCAGACATGAGAGTTATCCTTATCTGAAAGAACGAGGTTGTTTTCGGAGAATTTGAGTGTTCCGGTTGATATGGAGAAGGGCTTATCTCTGTTGGCGACCCATATAAATTGTTTAAAAATATCTTCCTTGTGCCATATCCCGAGATACCAATTCAGATCAGTTGGCAACAATCCAAGCTCATAAACGTTACCAGGAGACACAATCGTCTCGTTGAATGAGACAGTTCGCTTTTCTGATGTGGATACTGAACTATACGTTGAACTCGAAGAAGAAACCTCAAGGAATACTAGAAATATTAAGAACGTATTATAACCATAATTACTTGTTCTCATATCTCTCCGTTTTAATTATGGTATTTGGTGCTCTTGCTTTTCGTTTATCAAAGGATGATGATGTACATACTACTATTTATCGAATTTTCCTTACATTTAATACATTCAAATTTTCAACATTTTTCCTTATCCAAGAAACATTACATTTGCTGGGTACCTAATTGCAACTAACTTTTTATATATATATATATTAATTTTTCAACAACATGTCATTACATATATTATATAATTAAAACTTTGTGCCTAAATTTATTTTTGAATGAATTCTAAAGTGGTTACTAATATTCAAATCACAAATATCAAATTTTTTACACTTTTACTTATATTTTCCCGCTACACTAGAAAAATATCATCTAATTTTAATTTAAAACTAGATCATGACCCGCACGTACGTGCGGGGTTTCATATTTTAAAATTTTTTTAACAAAATTTAATTCAATATAGATTATTTTGTTGTTTTATAATATATATTTTAGTGTATTAGATCTGGATCCACGTACGTGTAGAAATATTTTTATAGAAATTGTTATATAGATTTTAAAAATATAAAATATTTTGTTGTATTAGTGAACTTCGTAATAATATAAATATTATAAAGTTAGAGTAATGAACAAAAAATTCAGTTGTGTGCATAATTATATTTTAAGATCTAGACTAACTTAGTTGCAAAAGTTAAATAGTGTTATATTTTTATTTTCTTAACTAATCAAAACAGTTCTAACAGTTTGATTACATATGTTAAATAGGATATGAATTCGGTTTTAGTTTGAGTTATTTAATGTATATTAGCAAGGCATAACTATTTTGGAACAGAAACATATCCTGTCCGGTATCTGTCATAAATTCTTTGTCCCATAACCTGTCACGTACACGTAAAATAAAAATATTACGGTCCCATATCTGTCATAAATAGAGTATGTGTAACTGAAAACGTATGTACATGGTTATGTGTAAACAAATTTATTTTATATAGTGTTCATAACCCGAACTCATACCAGCTGGGTATTTAGTTTGATTTTTAATATATGTTCCCCTTCCATCTCGTCTCGTAATTTCTATTTCCATTTTATTCCATTAAAATTATGTTCCAAAGTCTTGCTTGCTTACCTTTAAATATCATACAATATTACAATATATACTGTGAGTTTTGCGGATTAATATGTATGCTGTTAAAGTTATAAATATATTTTAACAAATTTATTAATGTTTCTAGCTAAATTTTGCATATTTTTCTTTTTATTGTTTAATCATAATTAATTCGATTTTTTAGACTAAAACTAAAATTTGAGACATATCTATAAAAGTGATATGCTATTGCTGCATAATTTGTTTTCAATGCAAAAAATATAATTAGTTCACATTATTTCAAAAACTGTGTGCAATATATTATGGATTGGTTTAAGGAAGATCCGGTTGAGAAAGAAAAAAAAGAAACACAAAATATTTCGAAATTAATATGTACAATCTATTGTTTAGAATCTTTAGATATTTCCGAAACTTGCTCTAAATGAATGCCCAATATCGTTTTTTTTTTAAATTGTGAAATAAAATTTTGTTTTATATTTCAAAATTTGTGAAAATATTATAACAAAACTGAGTCTTAAATATTTTAATTTAATTTTTTTACGAAATTTCAAATTCAATCTTAAAATCCTCCATTAATAAAAAAATTTTAAACTATAGTGTTTTTAATTTTGAATTAAAATGGTATTATTTTTTATTTTTTTGATATAGAATAGTTTATTAGGATTGGTTTAGATAAAATTATAGTTGGATATCAAATCTTAGTTTTTCAATTCTCATTGGTTAACAACTTTTTAGAATTTTTTTTTAAATTTTCGTCCACAATTAATAAGAGAGAGAAAGTGAGTTTAATTTTTTGGAAACTAAACCAAATTTTTTTAAATTTTTTTATTATTTTTTATTTAAATATATTATTTTGTGATTACTATTGTTTTTTTTTTTGGTAAGATTGTGATTACTATTGTTGTTATTGATTCCTTTACTTCTAATTTGATATCTGAAAACTCCAAATCTTTCAAGCAAAGTTGTTACTTCATGGATTCCAAGATCAAAAACTAAAGTGAAACCTCTATACCATTGTGTAGGAGGACATTCACCGGTTACAAACCAGAAATTCCACCGGCAAACGCCGGACATAAACCTGCCAAATGGGAGGACATAACTATTCTTTCAAATCGACATGGAATAGAAGCCAACGGATACAACGCTTGTCAAAGTCGGATCCGAAACTCCCAAGAAAATCTAGGTGTAATTGTTAACATTCAAAAATATGAGTGTAAACAACTTGCTCTACCTAAAATTAATGATTTGGATGTTATAAATTTTATAGTTTTGGATTTAAAATTTTATATTTAGAAAAAACTCATTTGACAATAAATAAAAAAATCTTATAAATGAATTCACTATTCAATTGATATACATTTTCAAATTTATGATTAATGACCTCTGCTATCGTATTTTAACACTCTCTAAGACTAATAAAATAAAATGGATACATATTCAAAAATTGAAAACTTACAAGATAAATTATCTATTTTTATGAAGAAGTTATAAATGATACTACAATATGATAGTTTAAAACACAATATAAATATTTTTTATACAATAAAAGTTAGAGCTAACGAAAATTCATTTTATATTAGAAAAACCCATATATTATCTATTATCTTATATATGTAAATATGTGTATATATATATACATATGTAAATTTCTATGATTATTAAATTATGATATTATTGGAACCATATAATTACATAAGAATTATAAAAACAAAAAAAGAAGGGCCATTGACAAAAATAGCACAAAAAAGTTCATTTTCCAAAATTAGCACCACATTTCTAAAATTCCAAAAATAGCATTCTAAACTTAACTAAATCGAAAATGAGAGAAAACACTAATTTAATATTAAATTAAATAAAAGAAAATTAAATAGTAGAAATATATACCCTAAATTAGAAATAGGAAACCCAAATATAATACCACAAACTAATATAAAATGAATCAAAATCTCTTTTAAATGGTAGAAATATATATCCTACATTAGAAATAAGGAACCCAAACATAATAACACAAATTCAATATTAAAATGAATCAATATCTCTTTTAAATGGTAGAAATATATATCCTACATTAGAAATAAGGAACCCAAACATAATAACACAAATTCAATATTAAAATAAATCAATATCTCTTTTAAATGGTGGAAATATATATCCTAAATTATAAATAGAGAATCCAAATATAATATTTAGAATTTATTTTGGTTGAATAGTTTTAATATGAAAATTATGGTATTATTGAAAAAAATAAACTAGTGATAATACTATTGAAACAAAAACTTAATAGTGAGTCAACTAATGCTATTTTTGGAAGTTTATTGAATGTGTGTTATATTTGTCCATAAAACTTGTTTTAGTGCTATTTTAGAGAATTTCTCAAAAAAAAAGATTATTGTGAATGTCGGATTTACACACTCAAGTATTTATATTATTCGTAGGCTAAAGCTCTCAAGATCAAAATACAAGACAAATTGCATATAGTAAATAGCATGAAAATGTAAGCAAAATGTAGAGATAGAATAATATAGGATTAGCTTTGCAGCAAGAATTCGATGTGTAAGAAAAGAAATCTACTATACATTTTTGCAGCAGTTTTTGGGGTACCCAAATCGGGTCAAATTTGTTTAATTTTGACCCGGAAATCTTCAATCGGATCTTTTCTTAAATTTTGGCAAAATTAAAAAACGAAAATAATTAATAAAATCTAAAATATATATACTTTCTCAACTAATTACTATATTTAAACGCTTTATTTATGGTATATTCTCCATAATTTTTATAGATAAAAAAATCAAATATGATGATTTAATGCTAATATAACAAATTTGCACTAATTTCCTAAAACCTCTCTACCTAATTTAAACATAAATATATGATTCTTATTTCACTTTTATTTGATCTTATATTTATATTATTTTAAATTATTATAAAATATATAAATAGTTAGTAAATTTTAGTTTTTTTTTTCTGCATATGTTACAATTCAAATTTTTTAAAACGGACATATATTACTCAATCGATGAATAAAAATATGTGTGTAATCTATATTAACATTTTTAAGAACAAATTGAGCATTTAATCATGTCGTTATTTTATTCAGACCCGAAATTGAGTCATTCGGATCTTTCTTTAATTTTTACAATTATCTAAAATGGGACAGTATATCACGGGTGAAATCCTAATTAGTATTTTAAGATACAATTATAAATTGTTTTTACGGGTTGGTCCAAAAACACACACTAATTAAAAAATATACATGGAAACTATTTGAAAGCAACTTTCAAATTAACTCGAATTATATTACATTTAAATAAAAGTGTTATTAAAAAAATTATAAAATGATGTTTAATTTCATTTTAGATTATATGGTTGGACGGGTTTGGGTCAATATTAATACGAGACAATATACCACAGGTGAAATCCTATAAATAACAAATCAAAATACAATTATACAATCTTAAACACTAAACAAAACAAATACAACTTAAAATTTTTTATTTTAGATACAACGCATGTGATCCGCGGTATACAACAAAAAATATTATACACAATAAATTCATCAATTTATAAAAACAAAAAAATCAAATAATTAACCCGCGGTGTACCGCGGGTTATATCCTAGTAGTATACAGTATAATTATTGGAAAAAAACAATGTTTATGTCTAAAATTGTGGAGAAAAAAGTAGAAGATGGAGTCTCCTTTCTTGGAGTCTTCACTTTCATCCAAGGATGTCTTTATTTGGCTATTAATTTCAGAATGAACTTACAAAATAACTCTCATAATCAATTCATAAACTTGAATGACAAATTTAATCCTATGACCATAATAATTAATTCATAAATTGAATCACACTAATGTCAAGATTTGACCACCTCCTTTGTGCAATATGGGCCTCTTTGTTTTGTAAGTTGTTGGCTCGCCTTCTCTAAAAATGATCCAGGGTGCGGGATCCAATAACAACAATTATCTTATTATTTTATCGAAATTTGTTAATTTTAACACTACCCGATTCATGACCAGAGAATTTACGAGTAAATTTATAAAGGTTTCACTCTATAGACAACAATTCAGACCTCAATTTTTTTTTTGAGGAAGTATGAAAAACTACGAAAATGCCACATAAACAAAATTAATTTACATACAATATCTATTCTTTGTTTAGTATGGGGAAAATGATAGATAGCTACACCAACTATAGGCCACAACTTAGTTATACATCTCAATTTTTATTGATGTATAGTAAACTACAACAATTAAATGTATTGCATATCCACATATACCAACTAACATACGACATGTTGTCAGTATCCATAATTCGGTACATTGTTCATTAAAATCCGATAAAAAAACCATTTAATTTTCAAAAGTATCTAATTTTAATTTTTTAGATAAAAAACTATAAATAACATTAAAAATTAGGAGAACTAAATAATACATCGGGTTTATAGTTTCTATCATCGTCGAACTTGCACGGTTTATTTTTCCACAGACAATGGCAATTATTGAACATGGATTTTAACAAAGTATGAGATAGTCAAAATCAATTAGGGGATTCAAACAATTTCCTATAATAAAGTTTAAGCTCGTAGATTATAAAGAAAAGTTAAGTCATCCAGACAGAACAGACGAAATGTGCTTTTATTTAGTTTATAGGCGTGCCTCGTAAAAAACTACATACGTAGCCAATCATAGTTTAAATTATATTGGTATGTGAGCTCGGTCGACTATCTCAATAAAACAGAATATATACGAACTAATAAATTAAAAGTCGGAGAGTTTGTAGCAATCAATCTCTTAGGTTTCGTCTGTGAGTTTTTCTATCTGGTTTCAATAAATTGTTCTTCTACTTATATGCATGCTAAGTATGTTTACTTTGATTGTTTTTTTTTTCCCTCTTTTGTCCGTAGTCGACAACTTTCCTTTTTTCTTGTAGTTTAGTTGATGATTTTCCCTTTTTCTTGTATGTCGGTGACTATATTATGGGTCGAGTTTCATGGGCTTTCTCAGCTGTTAAATAAGTTTAATATTGATTCGAATCGAGTTTCAGTGAGGTTGTGCATCCCATCTCCAATAAAAAGAGACGGCGAAGGTGGTTTCTAATATTTAAGTCTCTCGAAATCATTTCTTTGTTTAGCCACAAACTTTTTTGTTTTGTTCAATTCATTTCTTTGTATTTATTTTGATCTGGTCAATTATGAACTTGAATATTCATAATTAGCATTAAAACAAAAAAAAAGGAATTTTTGTAAGAATTTCTAAAAATAAACGACTAATTTTGTTGTTCAATTGGTTTTAGCCTTTCTTTTTATCCTCATTTTTGTGTGGATATAGATTAAATTTAGGGAGTTCGCTTATATTTATTTTGAATGTTGACAACAAAAGGGAAAACAGAATTGTTACAACAATTATGAAGTATGTTACTTTGTTCACGGTTTCTTATATATTCGTATCAATATTCGTTTTCACTCACATTCAAGGTAATATATAAATAATGATTTCTTTTATTTTGGATTGGTTTCTTATAAATTTTAAATGTATTGATTATAGTACTAATCATAAAAATGGTTTGGTTATAAAAAGGAAAAGAAGGAGAAAATAAAAACTGTGAAAGGCTTAATTAACAATAATTTTTTTGTGTTACCATTTGTTTGTGTACAAAATTTTGATCTAAAATTTTTTTTCTATGGTTGATATAAAGTATTAGATGTGGAAGCTCGCAAGATCTGTAGAATCGCGAAGGAGTACACTGGCAACCATTGCCGCGATGGAAACGATTGCCTTTCAAAATCAACCATTCATTATAAAGCTCCCAATCTACCTAAACCATTTGAATGCGCTTGCCATAATTATAGGGATGATACGCCAAGTCTTAATAATGATACGCCAAGTCTTAATAATGATACGCCAAGTCCTAATAAAACGTATATATTTCATCATTGCATCTGTTCCTTTTATTGCTAAGTCTTAATAAACAAAATAGTAACTATATTTAAGAGTTTGTGGTATTGACACTTTAGACAAAAAAATTAAAACCGTATATGACACTCTATTGCTTATTTTGTAATATTTGACCGTTTTGTATTTATGTAAATCAATAAAATTGTTTTTCACATAATTACATTTTAAAAGTAGCTAAGCTCATGTCTTAGTCATTTTTATTGTGCTCAACTGTGTCTTCTTCCCCTTTGGAAAAAACATCGACTTTATCTTATTTTTGAAGAATGTATGTAGTGATAATAATCACTAAACTATTAAAATAAAACGAAAAAACTAATAGTATATAGTAGTAGTTTAGGAGTGTCAAAATGGGTGAAGATTCATGGATCATCTAAACTCAACTCAACCCATAAATTTTAATGAGTTGATAATTTTTACTCAAATGAGTTGATGGATCAAATTAAATGAGTTATTGGATTAAATGGGTGGATGGATGAAATGAGTTAGGTTGTAATGAGTCAATGGATTCAATAGTTTACTCATTTTACCTATCATTTTTTGTTAAATTGAATCAAACCAACTCAAATCTTTAAACCGATATCAATTTGAGTCTAAACAAAACTAAAACAAAAAAAACCATAATTATTATCTAGGGTTGAATATAACCATGATGCTATCATCATCATAAATCCATCATTTTTCCGCCAAAAATGTGAATTTTTTTATTTTTCCCGCCAAAAATGTGAATACACCATTTTTCCGCCAAAGACGTAAATCTGCAATTTTTCCACCAAAGACGTAAATCCATAATTTTTCCGCAAAAAATATTTACAGTTTTTGACCAAAAACGTAAATTTCCACCACAAAACATATTATTATTATTATTATTATTATTATTATTATTATTATTATTATTATTATTATTATTATTTTATATTAATTATTAATTAATTTATTACATTAATGGATCAATTTTTTAAACTATTTAACCCATCAAACTAAGGAAAAATTTCCTAAAAACCTCCGATCTATTTTAACGGCGTTTACGATTTCATCAAGGGCTGTTAACGGCGTTACGACGCTGGAAAAAAAACGAAGAAAAAAAATATGTCAGGTTTTTAAATTCAACTCAAAATAAGTTGGGTTTTATTCTGGCAACGAAAAAAGTTTGGGAAGGTTTCTGGCAAATTTTAAATAATTAAAATTTTTGTAGGGAATTTTCCCATCAAACTTAATGAGTTCATGAATTCACGTCAACTCATGAACTCATTTAATTCTATATACATTGGGTAATGAGTTAAGTTGGATTGAGTTTACTATTTTGACACTCCTATATATTAGGATCCCTAAATGTATCTGATATGGGCATTGCCATTTAGACAATTAATTTGTATCTTTTTGTCGACCGCTGATATAAATGTGGGCCAAAATGTCGATAAACTATACTACAATTCATAGACTAAATATTGATTTACGTCAACATGATCCTTTATCTTTCTTGCAATACTTTGGAATTTTTTTTTTCTTTTTCTAATAAGACTGTTATAGGCCTATAGTTAAAACATCTTATATTTCGAAAGAGGAAAAGTATAATTTGAAACATATGGGATCTATAGGCTCATACATTTGTATCATTGTTTCCAGGGGCGGACCCAGATTTTTTTTTAACCCAGGTCATAATAAGAAAGAAAGGTAAAAAATATAACAAAAGATGTCCAATTGGGAATCGAACTAGTGTTTGGGGGGGTCATTTAATGACAGATTTGCCAACTCAGCTGCAGTTTCTTTATGGAATCTTTTACCGAAAAATATTTATATGATTATTTTACCAGGTCAGTTGACCTTCCTCTCTTCTTAGTAGGTCCGCCCCTGATTGTTTCTAGAGAGACATACCCTTGAGGATTTATGATTGTGCGATGAGAGGCCACGATAATCTCTAATGCATCTCGCCATTTCGATGACCGCTAGTTGGGGTTCGATCTCTACATATGGTCGGCTTTCTGACATGTTTTTTTTTTCTAATCAAAATTTTTGAAAAATGAAACACATAGTATATTACGGGTCTTGGTGAAAAAGAGAGTCACTTTTTATGTTAATTTTTCTGCGTGAGAGCATGTGCAGTGGGAGGTTCTCTCAAAGTCTCTCAAAATATATTATTATAATATACATAAATTAGTTTAATTGTATAATTAAATTTTAAATAATAATTTTTTTAAAAACCAATTACATGTTGTCATGTGTGACATGAGTCTCTCAAGAGGTTCTCAAAAGTTTTCATATGAGAACTCATGCTCATGTCTCTCTCTTACTTTTTATTATTTTCATTTTTTATATTCTTGAGAACACTTATGAGAATCTCCCACTGCACATGCTCTGAGTGTCTGCATAAAAGTGCATTTTTAAATACTTTTGCAATTCAATATTATTGCACTATGATTAGTACTGCTAAGACGTAGCCACCGGACACTCTGCGACTGCGGCATAAGCAATTAACGTTTCAACTTTGAAGAAAAAATTATATAGGATGACAGATGACTTATTTTATTGCATAAAGTTGGACAATATATATACTCATGTCAAAACGCTAATGAGTCAATACTAAAATCTAATGATCAAATAAGTAAATAGATTTTCATTTCAAATCCACACCAAAAAAAAAAAAAAAAATGAAATTGGTTTCTTGGATTGCACTAAAACCAAAAGTAATATTGATCATTGCCATAATATCATCACAAAACATAATAGTCTCTACTTCAAATTTGTATTATTATCACTTCAGGGAAGTGACACTCGCTTAAAACAACAGCAAAAAATATCTAATTTTCGAAAGAAAGAAGAAAAAGAACAAATACAAAATAATAACCACAAAAATCGAGTTATATAATTTCATCCGAATCTTTTTAGAAATTTTTTTTTTTTGAGCTAAAGCTTGTTTTCATTCCATTAAGGTAGAACCCAAGTACAAAGATTAAAGGAATCTGAGATCCCAAAGTTTAAATTACAAAAGATAGGGCATTTCCCCAAAGCCAACATAAAGTAGGTAAAAAGATAGATAAGGTTAATCGATAATAACTTCTTGAGAGCTTTGAGCCAAAAGCTTTGAAGCTTTTTGGTACATGTGAGATCAAAAATAATCGACGAGTCTTCCAAGAGCGAGTCAACGGAGGACAAAGTAGCCACTGTCAAGAGACGAAGTAGCGTTGGTGAATGGGCCAAAGTCGAGGTTCTCGCCGGCACGAGAAGAACTACACGAGGTAGTGCTTTGACAAGGTTTCGAGCAAGGATGAAGGTGCTATGATGTTTGAGGTTGTTTGCTAAAGTTGTAACGGAGTGAGAGTTGAGCTTAAACAAACCGTAGCATGTGGGACTGGTGTGGAGAGCGTGTTGCTTGAAATTGTCATAAAAGCATGAAGGAGAGTGATCAATGGACAAGTTCAAGAACCTAAAGGAAGCTTTAACAACCAAGAATCGCAATAGATAGGTCCAAGACCGTAACAGAACAGGTGGGTCCTCTCTCACATGAAGTCCTTGGCGGCCATGGAGATTAAGGAATTCCACACAAAGTTTGTAGTCGGTTTGCCACAAGAAGTAAAAAAATCCAGAACTGAGTATCAAGCTTTTAAATGGATGAAAGTCTTCCCTAAAGTAGCTAATCTGCACATAAATGGTTTCGGAAAATAGGGGGAGTGGATAAATGGGCCTGAAGAAGCTTCGGTAATCACCGCTCCTTGGATGCGGGATCATAATGCCGTTCTTCTTCAAACAATTCAATACATGAGAAGTAATCCTAGATGATTCTAAAGGCAAGGTTCTCAAATAACTTGGAGTTGGGCACATAAAACCTTTCTTAGTGAAATATAAATTCTCATGGTCAACAATCCTAGGTGAAGCTAGAGGCAGGGAATTCTTGTACAACCATAGCAATAAAGGTGCGTTACGTTCCAAATGACGTCCTTGATCAAAGGATTCCGTAAAACGACATCTAAATTGACTAAGGGTGGACAAAGAAAAGATTACAAACCTGGGCTTTAGTAAAACACAGCTTGGGTCACCATTGAACGGATTGGACTTCAGAAAGCTTAACGGGCCGAATATGAATAGGCCCACAAGTTGGAAACCTAGTTTCCTTTTGGCTGGTGGGAAATGGCTTGACGAGCGGCGGCCGTCGTCTAGAGATGGAGGAGAATTTATCGGTGAAGCAAGCATCTTCGGTGGAGGTAGTTTCTTTGTTTGATGGTTCAGCCCGAGAATCGAGGCATAGAAGGAGAACCAGAGGTTAATCGAAGCCTCAGATCTAGAGTTTGGTGGTTCTATCAAAGGTGATTTGGGCAAAGCTGATGCATGAAGAGGGTGAAGGATGGAGATCGCCGGACACCACCTTCCTCCTTTATTGTTGATTGTTGAAGTTCTCATCAAGAGCCTTGGATTAGGTAGGGTTCGAAAGGGATTCAAAAGGGGAAATAAAAACACTGACAAAACAAAAAATCCAAGAAAATCAAAAGGATGAAGAGTCGAGTTAGCAAAATAAAGCTCCCGACGCCAGTGAGTCGGAGCTCCACCGGCGCCGGAGGTCGTCGTCAGGATGAGGGCTTCGGTAATAGTGCCTGGGAGCTTTCACGGGTTTTTTTTTTTTTTTGTTAAGTTGAGTCCAGATTTTAATTTCTTTATCTTTTTAGAAATTTTGATTCGTAAACATTAAATAAAATCATCCACAGTAGTGTTACTATTTTTTTTTGTTTTTTTTTAATAATCTAACTTGCAAAACTTTGTTCGTTGATAAGAGGATTACATACAACATTTAAATATATACTTTTTTTTAGATCTTGTTATGTATAACGACGGCGAGAGATTTCCGGCGTCGGAATATCAACTGTTTTGCTATAAATGCTTCGATTGTTTTTTGAAACTCTTCATTTGTCATGTGATCCTCCGGAATGATCTCGTCAACCGGACTTTCGTTGCACGATTCGATGATTTTCCGGCATTTTTCCGTCACCGATCGCCGGAGTGAATGTTTCATCACTGTTTCTATACTCTGTTTCGCTGAAATTTCCGATTTGCTTCGTCGATAAGCCTTTGTAGGATGATCTGTAACGGAATTTGAGTCTTTATCAGATTCGTGATCTACACGCGCTACCGTGGGATTTGAATTTGAGTCTTTCTCAGATTCGTGATCTACACGCGCCACCGTGGGATTTGAGTTTGAATCTGTTTCAGCGGTGGTGATCATCTGTTTATCATCGAAGACGATGATCTCTTCTTCCGTTAGATCTCCGTCGGACGAATTAACGCGATTGTCTCCTGATCTGATAAACGCTTCGTAGATATCAGTCTCAGAGATTGAACGACCGGCGACGGTGGATTTGGTGGTGAGAAGAGCGACGACGATGGAGTTACCAAGGAAGAACATGAAGAGAGGAGTGGAAATGAAGCAAGCGAGACGACGGAAAAACTCGCCGGAAATTTTAACGGCGAAAGGAAGACAAGTGAATATCCAACAGACGAAGAGAAGAGCGACGCAGATCTCCGTCGCACGGAAGAAGAAACCGACGCTTCGGAAACGATGCAACGACGCCTTTGATTTTTCTGTTTTCACGTTTTCGTCGAAATCGATTGAATCCATTGTTGTTGATTTTTGAGAGTTTTTGAAATCGGAGAAGAAGAGAACAAGTAAGAGACCCATGTTTTTCCATAAGCGTCACTTTATATATATAGACTCTTTTTTTTTTTTGCTTTTTCAAATAATTGAGCTTTTTTCAAAAACATTAAAAATAAAAATTACTTTTTCTACTTATATTTGTTGGGTCTAAATTAGATATATGTAATTTGAAGTGGTGTTGGTTTGGGTCGAGGCAGAAACGGAAGCGATCCAATAGGCAGTTATTATGTCCAAGGAGGAATTAAGGTTACAAGAATGGTGTTTTTTGATTCAAGAATGTAACTTTTAAATCTTCAAGTTTGATATATATACAGTATATTCTTGAATAACTTTTTTTAGCAACTAAATTCTTTAATAACTTCTCTTTACCAAATTTTTGACGAATCATCGGTATTTTATAAAGGAGCGGATGGCATAGCTAATCAAACAATATGTGTGTTTTGAAACCTATGTATGCTTCATGGTTAAATAGTCGTATTCTGAATTGGTTATACGGGACAACACATAAACCAGAGATGCAATGTCTTTTCTTGACATATGAATGAATCTATGTTGGATGATAATCAAAAAATGGGTGACGCTTTTTGAAGTGCACGATCACTTTAATATATTGCACGACAAAATAAATAAAAGAAGACTCACAAAATTGGAAAAGTGTACGTAAGAAAGGAATCAGGTTTTCACGTGAGCCGTATGGAATCCGTATAACCACCGCTCACTCTTCTTTAGTTACCACTTGCATGCTTTCTTTCTTTCTTTCTTTACCAAAACTGATACTATATATCTCTCTCTCTCTCTCTCTTTATATAGCAAGATCGTAAGAAAACTATATCCAAAAAAATGCAAGATCGTAAACATGATAGTGGTCATTCAAATTTATAGACGATCATGTTTTCATGAGAGCAGTCAAAAGCTCAAGTTTTGCAAGCTCTTTTAGCCAAGTCCGAACAATAGATCAAACATATATATTTGCTCTAAAAATAAATAAATATATATATATATATATATATATTTGATCTATCAAAAAAATAAAACAACTGTGACTGTGTGACTTTAATGACTGACGGATATCCTAAATTAACAACACAACTAGTGGTATTTAATATTTAGATTTTAGAGGACTTTTTGTTTTTAGCTCAAAGCCTAGTTTTTCTGCTTCATGCATATTTCCATAATCTCCTCATAATTATCACATGTGCATGAATTTAGAACCATCTTCTATTTGAATAAATTTGATTTTATGATTAGCTTACATGTAATATCACAGTTAATACGGTCACATGGTTTCAAGAAAGATTCTACAGATAATTAAACTGCCATAAATCAGATGTGTATAGTATATTAAAACATCTCTATTGGGAGTGTCATTGAGAAAAACTCTCTATTAAAATAAACAAAAGAAATAGAAAAAGAATGAGAGATGTCTGGTTTGAGAAACTCTAGACACCCATCTCTACCGATGTTTCATGTTAATTGGTTCAAATAAATAAAAAATAATTAAATAATTAAACGATTACAAAATTAGTATTATTTTATTTTTCAGACACTCAGGGGGGTGTATTCAATAAAGGATTTGAAATGATTTGTATTAAAAAGATAAATCTTATGTTATTCAAACATGAAATTTAAAAATCTTTTTAAAATCAAGTGTTATTGGATTAGTGATTTTAAAATCTACAATCAAATCCACTGTTATTGGAAACATTTTAAGTTGTGGATTTGAAATGACTTAGTGATTTTTGGTGGGATTTCAGAGAGCATCTTAGTTAAAAATTTAAATATCCAAATCCCATGGTTTTAGGTGGGATTTGGGAGAGTTTTGATATCAAATTTCCTAATTCACCAAAATTCACCAAAATCATCTCAAAACTCATTAAAACTCAAATCACTCCAAATTCTTTCTTCAATACACCCCCCCTCAATTGAAGTGTTAACGGATGAAGGTGTTTCTTACAATGTCTCTGTAACGACGGGCTTTTCTCAAAGCCCATTGGCTATATTCTTCTCTACGTTCCATTTTAAATTGATTTTACCCAAAGCCAAAACCTTCAAAAAAAAATTCTTTTACGAAGCAATTAACTCATTTTTCGTTCTCCAGACCTATACTTGTTAGTTGAATGAACCTCTAATTATATTCGAATTGTTTTCATATATTCGAATAATCGAATCTCTTGCATTTTTCACTATTTGTTCATTCATCTTTTGGAATTGAAATATATAGACTGCGGCAAAAGCAAGTTCACGGAACACCGAAATTGTAAGTTGTCAGACACGCAATAGTTTATATCCGAATTTATTCGCACCTAACACTTTCGTTTTTTTCTTTTTTTTCTTTTCATATAGTATTTTTTTTTCATTTACAATCCAATTACAGAAAAGGGAACAAAAAGTATATATTTTATACACGACTGATTAGTGATTACATATTAATATATAACCTATATTAAAAAAAAGGCGTACACATCGTTAACAAAGAAAAATAGACAGACAGTTCCATTGGTTGGCATGAAATAATATAACTGTGGGAGGCCAAATTTAAAGATATTCGGCTAAAAGTTCCAAAGAATGTTTTGAATCGCTTAAATTTATAATTTCGAAGCCAAACTGATAAAAATGGAAAAATAGTTAGTGGATTATAAAGATTGGTCGACCCATTGTTTTTAATTATGAAGTGTTTCCTTTAACTTCTGCCCATAATTCCACTTAAATGCGTTATTATTTGTTCATTCAAAACACACACATGCATGCACGACTAGAATTGTATACATTTACATTGTATAGACCCCCTAATTATATGGATTTGGCAGTACTTTGTACATTAACGTATCACAAAATCGTGTGGAGAAATAAATATTAAAAATTGAGACATTTTTTACTATTGTAATTTACATAACAAATGCAAGTTAGTGTATATTATTTTTTTGTCAAAATTTAGTGTATATTAAATGCAAGTAAATTTAAAAAAAGGATACACCGATATCGTTTACTTGTTTCTTTGGAGTCCTGATTCAAACTTTGACCAATACTCTATATTGACATAGATAGCTACATTGATTTGATTCTAGACCACACAGGAAGAACATCATCATGATATTCAAGAACGATTTGACATAAAACAACATCGGGTTATCCCCATACATTTCCGAACTTCAGCCTTCAGAGCTTAGGATTCGAATGGTAACAGCGTATTTGGTTGTGCAGAAAAAGCAGTTTTATAGTGCGGTACGGTTTAACTGCGGTACATGCGGGAGAAATCTATTTGCGGAACAAGTGCGGTTTTTATAGAATAAGCGGTACAAAATAATGTTTGATTGGTGAAAAAATTATTTGCGTTACACAGTAAAATGTGTGAATAATAAAAAAAAAAAAGGGGTACAAATTACATATTAAAATACATATATCAGAAAAATATTATTATATTAATATTTGTATTATTTTAGTGAATACATCAAAAATTAATAGTTTATTTTTAAAAAAAAAATTGTTTTATTATTCAATAGATAGAGAATTGTGTGATTTTTAGTGAATACAACAAAAATTAATGGTTTATTTAAAAAAAAATTGTTTTATTATTCAGTGGATATGTGGTTTTGCTTGTACCGCTGGGTTTTACATCCATTGCAAACTGAAGTACGTTATTTCGTTTATTGAGTACTGAAGTTGTCTCGAAAAGTATGAACGGTTTTTTAAAAGAAAATGCAAATATATGTAGTTAAGTGTGATTGGTGATAACAAAGTGTTTTTAAAATAAATCTTGAAATACGTCCCGTGTTGCCATTACCTTAATGTTTTATTTTTAAAAAACTTATTTAGGTCATCGTCAAAGTCTGCCAAAAGTGTTCTTGGAAGATTGAGTTTGACAGAGTGATGGACGCATCTTGCTCTTGATTTCTAAAAACGACACACAGTTTTCATCTCCAATGATAAGACGCCATGGCGTGAGTCAATCGTCACTAACTCACTATGCCCATTGTATCCACTTTGACCCATTCTCCTATCTTTTAACCACACTTCCAACATATACTATTTTTATTTTGCTTTTCATGTTCTAACTATTTTTATTTTGTGGAAATACTTGGCTAAATAAATGCAAATCTTTCGTATTGATTTTAAACTTGATGTGACCACGGTATTTTCCATAGCTTGTGAGTTGTGACCATAGATTTCAAACGCCGATAGATCTAATTCAGATATTAAAAAAAAAAAAAAGAGATATGATTCTTTACACAAAACGGTAACAAAGTAATGGTAGAAACGGTAAAATATAATGAAATAGTTAAAAGTAGTATAAATACTTAAATAGTGGTCAAAATAACGGGGCAAAAATAGTAGGCTATATTATCTTTGATATCGTTAATTTTGTTTTGTTTTTGTGATTGATAACAAAAAAATAGTGATACTCGTTAATTTTGTTCTGTTTTTGTGATTGATAAAAAAAAAAAAAAAGAAGTGATACATTGTTTATCATCGAAATAAAATGTTACTAGCTAAAAGCCCAAAACTAATATGAAAAGAGAAAACAAAGTGGAATTTTAAAGAGAAGATACCGAAAATATTCTTGTGGGGTGAACCATATTCCTAAAGGCTATATTTTTATATGGTAAAAATAATGAGTCTAAATGGTAACATCAAAAAAACATTCAGCTGGATTCAGGCCGATTCAGCAATTTTGCAGTTACCATTTGCATAAAACTAAATTCAGCTGAATTCAGCCAGATTTAACAGTTTTTTTTCAATACCAACAGATATGTAGATACACTCATTTCTAGTAAAAATTTGGATAATAACGTGTACACACATCGAATTAATATATTTTGGATTATCAAAAATTACACATCAAATTTATATTTTAAAATAAATCAGATTATAGAGATGCGATATATGAATAATTGAAATACATAAAACCACTAATAAAATAGGCAAGAAGCGAATTCATGTTCGGATAACTATAGATGATTTTGGATAATTTTATTAATTTTTAGATAATTTAAAATAATTTAAAAAATTTCATAAAAACAACTCACACCTATGCTAAAATATTATTTAAAATAGATTTTTTTAATAATTTTTTTAATTTTACAGGTCATATTATTGATTAAACTACTAGATAACAATAAAAAAAAACACAATTATATAATCTTATTATATTATCATGTTAATTTTTAAATTAATCTTCCAATAATGCTTTGACAAAACTTCTTTCATTAATTATTTACATATTTTTAATAGTTCAAAAATTATTTATATTTGTAATAAGTTTAGATAATTTAGTATTTATTTATTAGTATAACAATTAATTAGACCATGTGATGATTTTATTTATTTTATTTATATATCTTCTTTGGTACTCTATTAATATTCATAATTATTTGATGATATTTTTTAGTTAAAGTCTTAATTATTCTGACAGATGGTATCAAAAATCACAAAAAAATTCAGTTAGATTCAGCAGTTACCATTTAGAAATGTAAAAATTCAGCCAGATTCAGCTGAAAATCACTAAAAATTCAGCCAAATTCAGTAATTCAGCTGAATTCAGCCAGATTCCTCGGTTACCATTTAGACCCAATATAACCCGTTGTTATTGTTTGATCAAATTTGAACGCCTTCTAGAAAAAAAATTCAGTATAGTGACATCTATATAATCGGATGCGCTGTCAAAAATATATATATATATAAATATATATTCGGATGCGTGGTATATAATAATATAAACTCATAAAGTCATAATAATTAAACTACATATATTTTTTCTGACGTACAAATTAATTAAAACTAAATTTACATGACTGATATTTTTTCATCCGTCGAAAATAAAACCTAGAAAAACGACTACTTAACTATTATTGTTTTCTTTATCAGTTTAAAAAAGAAGTATATGTAGTAAATAAATATATGGTGAAAGTTTAATTGGAGATATAATGCATTATGCATGTCGACAGAACCATAGTATATATGTGTGATATTAATAACAATTCAAAGTTTTAAGCGAGAAGAATCATACTACACATAAACATGAATATTTGCAATGCTAAAAAGAGATGGACAATAATCTAATCTGAAAGCATACGTAAAGTAGTTTAATATGATGACAATTAGTCAACATATAAAGAGCACTCTCCTTTTTGTCATTACATTAGCTTTATCCCATAAAAAAAAAAGCTTTACCCCAAATCTTAAAAAAAAAAAACTCCTTTTTTTATTAACAAAACATAAACAAGAATAGTCAAAACAGTAAAAAAAAAAACATTTTAAAAATTTCCCTTTTTTGGGCATAGAACCCTCTTTCTCCATGAATGTCTTTCATTAGGGTAAGAATAGAGCATCTGACCGGAATCTTCTTTCCCTAAACCGCAATTCACTGTTTTTCTGAAAATCTCAGCTTGTTTTTTAGCTTATCTTCATCAAACCACCGACGTGTTCTTGCTTTTCTCGCCGTTTCTTCTAGCTTCTAAGAGTCTACGGGTTCACTTCGCCTTCCCGTCTCTCTCAGTGCTTTTCCCTCTCTTCGGTGTGGTTCATTTGGGTTTTAGGATTGTGAAGTGTGTTTGTCTCAAAGCTTTTCAAGGTCCGTTTTTAATGTCGTCTGCTATGGATAGAGCTTTGATGGAGGATAAAGATGAGCCTTTTGATATGCCGGATCTGCCGGATTTCTTATCATGTGAAAGAAACAAGCTCAGTCTAATTGGAAGGGTTTTGAACCCGGATTGTCAGCAGATGAAGCATCTGATTCGGAATATGCCAAGGAAGTGGCAGAAAGAAGGTCGAGTAAAAGGTCTAGCTCTCACTAGTGAGAAATTTCAATTCATCTTCGATTCCGAGCATGATTTGGAAGATGTTCTAGCCAAAGGAGTTCATACCTTCAATGAGTGGACGATTGTGGTTGATCGGTGGTATGAAAATCCTCCGGATGATTATTTAAGGTTCATGTTCTTGTGGGTTCAGATTTGGAACATCCCAGTTAACTACTACACGGTTAAAGCGATCACTGCTTTGGGTGATCTTATTGGAGAGGTTAAGGAAGTTGTCTTTGATCCGGATTTGCCTCAGGTTCAAGAGTTTATTCGGGTGAAAGTGTTATTTGATGTTTCAAGACCTTTAAGAAGATCCAAGGTGGTCAATCTCAAAAATGGTGAGATTGCGACTGTCAATTTTCATTATGAAAGGGTACAAAAAAGATGCTACGAATGCCAAAGGCTAACTCACGAGAAGGAGTTTTGTCCCATCTTGATTAAGGCTCGCCAAGATCAGGTTGATGCTCGCCGCAAAGGCCAACCAATTCACAAACCTCCTCCGCCTTCGGTTTTAAAAGAGTCTGATCCACTGTTCGGGGTTCTAAAGGAGAGTCAAGTTGGTCTAGATCCTAACACAGGAAGACCAAGAATAGCTCCGGTTGTTTTAGAGGGTATGAGACAATACCTCAGGGTGGCCAATGAAGAAGAAAGGTCCATCAGAGTGGATAGAGTTATTCAATCAGTAAGTGAAGCTGAAAAAGATCCTTTCACTCAGAAATCTGTTCTGAGATTGGAGTCTATACCAATTATCCACCAAGACCTTTCCAAGGAAAAAGGAGTTGTCTTTGGTTATGAACAGGAAACATCCTCAAGCAGAAGTGTTAGAAGTGCTCAGAAAGATCCCTCTGCTTTGTCGGAAGTAATGAAGCCTTCTGAAGCAAGAGACTAGCTTATGGAGCCGGTTATTCCGTTTTCAATCAGTGATGCTGGCAACTTCCTTGCTCTCTCTCAGCCCTTTACTGATAGTTCAACAGTTTATAGACCGGGTCTCTTTGAGGCTGGTTCATCCGGGACTATTCAGAAAAAAGACTAAACAGAAAGGCATACCTCCAAAGCATGTAAGAAAGACTAAACCAAATGATCTTCTCAGCAGCTCTCTGAGAAAAAAAAAAAAAAAAAGCATACCCAAATCTTAATTCATATGTCCACAGAAAGCAACATTGTTCTAAAACGCTGAAAATGAAACATTTAAAATATTCTTCCGAATAAAACGACGTGTACACAGCCAGGCTCGGCTCTAGGGTAGTGCCATGGGTGCCAAGGCACAGGGTCCTCATATTTTTCTTAATTTTTAGTGTTCTAATTTGTAGATTTTTTTTTGTTTAGAAAAAAACTAGAAAAAACGGCGAGCAAAATAATAGGTTTAATAGTAAACACATGTCAAGTGAGGTTATTTTTTTAGATTTAAATATTTAAAGAGTAGCATAGGGTCCAATAAAACATTGAGCCGGGCCTGTACACAGCATTGTTACCGTTGATATATTATTTACTTAATATTCGAATTTTCACGTATTATAACTTTCACCTTTTCATGACAACATTTACAAGAGAAGCATTTTAAAAAAAAAAAAAAAAAATTCCTCTCGGCAACCATATGCTTTTTAAGTTTTACACGAACAAATATCTCATGAAGCCACTCTGGATAACCTAATGCTACATAAAACAGAGAACGGTTCGATTTTGTTATCCTTTTAGCAATGATAAGATATTAAGATCCTCTGATGGTTGCTCCGGATTCCTTAACCACTTTCAATCCAAAAATGAATCAAAGACCTAGATATTTCATATTTGACGGAGACGGTCAACCTTTTTGGTCTATTTACCGAATTAACCAACTCAAGTGCTTCCGAACCAACGATCACTATACTTATTCTGCGAATGTGCATATGCTTTCTGCAGCCCAAAAAATACTGACCATCCAAACTTCAGACTCTGCATAGTTTCACCTTTTCATGTCAACATAACATACATGAATATATGAATATAATGGGCCAGTAGTTTTGATATATGGGCCTCAGCTGAGGAATCGTAAGCCCATTAATTTGCTTCAATATTGGTTTACCCGTTGATTCCACAATGTGTCACGTGGAAGAAGATGAATGGATACGATATTATAAAATGCGTCAAAGTAACAAACAACAACAAACTCGTTTTCGAGCAAAACTTTTGAAGATTGATTTGGAGAAGAAAGCTCTCTCTCAGGTTATTGTTCTCAACCAGACATTGATTTCTTCAATTTGCATATGTCCCTTCTTCGTCTTACGAATTTCATCATAAGTTTCTTACGAATTTTACTTCCTTAGCGATGAATTTAATACTACGTTGACTTTTATCTTCCTTTTGGAAATGGCATCGTCGTCGTCTTCTCTTCTTCTTCACTATCCCACCTGCAATTTCTACTTTGGCTCTTCCTCATACCTTAAAAGACCGAGACTTTCGAGCTATAGTTCGATTATCTCTCGTGGGTCTCCTTTGTTTGTCTCTGGCTTTGGATCTATGACCGTTAAAAGATTCTCTAGCAGAGGCGGAGGTAGCAGCAATGACGGTAACGAACAATTTGGAGCTGCGGAGAAAGAATCTTTCATCAATAATTCGTCGGAAATCCGGAAAGACTTGGTCGCCGGCGGTGGGATTGAAGCTATTGTTAATCGTCTGGTTAGTTTATGGAATCTCATTGATGCACGCAATGTGTTCGATGAAATGCTTCTTCAGTATTAATTTGTGTTTCTGACCGGTTTTAATTGATGATGACAGAGCAAATGGGTTGTGTCTGCTCTGTTTGGTTCAATCATTCTTCTAAGGCATGATGGTGCAGCCTTGTGGGCAGTCATTGGATCGATTTCGAATTCCGCTCTCTCTGTAGTTCTGAAACGTATACTTAACCAAGAAAGGCCTGCTACAACATTGCGCTCCGATCCCGGGATGCCATCTTCTCACGCTCAATCCATTTCTTTCATATCTGTCTTTGCTGTTTTATCCTGTAAGCAGCTTAAACTGTCACTACTCATCGTTCACTATCGCAGAACTGTTAAACAACGGATTCACCCGAGTCGTGTTTTCTGCAGTTATGGAATGGCTTGGAACCAACGGAGTGTCTTTGTTTCTTAGCGGCTTAATCCTCGCATTGGGTTCGTACTTTGTAAGTCTGTTATAACATCATGTTTCAGCAACTAATCATCTAACTGATTCAGGCTTTTCATTCATATATGAAATCATTTAGTTGCCATTGATCTCACTCTCTCTGCACTTTCACAGATACGGTTAAGGGTTTCTCAGAAACTACACACAAGCAGTCAAGTGGTGGTGGGTGCCATTGTTGGTTCTGTTTTCTGCATCTTGTGGTACACAATGTGGAACTCACTTCTTCGTGAAGCCTTTGAGTCATCTCTACTAGTCCAAATATCTGTATTTCTGTTTGCAGCTACATTTGCACTAGCTTTCGCAGCGTACGTTGTACTTAACTGGTTCAAAGACGACAGATAAGCAAAACAAAGCTTTACTTACCAAAGCTTAAAATTGTATCCCTCAATTTCTTTTCAAATTATCAATTCTGAGCCCGTTTGTGGAAATCAAGATTCAAAAAATAAGGTTACTTTAAGATGTAAGCAAGGCAAGCACCTTACACTAGAGCTAACATCGAATGTTAATAGGAACCAAATATTAGTGACTGTGGCTGCCACTCATCAGTATGCCACCGCAAGAAAAAAAGTGTTTGCAGCTACTCGGAGCTATACATCCTCTTGAGAACAGTTAAACAATAACCAAATATGTATATATTTCTATTCACAAGGCGTAAGCTAAACGTCCTGTATCTTTATTTCTCTTGCTCGCATCAAACCCATCACGTATACAAGAGACTTACTTAATCATTCATCCTTAAGAGGTTGTGATACTTCAGATGATGGTTTCGATGCAGGAATGTAAGACCATGCCAATGCCGCGCTTCCTAGAGTAATGGTTGCTGCAATTGATCCCCAAATCCATCTCTGCCTCTTCTTTCTCTTCTGCCTCTCTCGTCGTGCCACCTCTGGTATCAACAAAGATGGGAGATTAGATTTTTGTTATAAGATAGAAATGACAAAGGATAATTTGGTGAATGAGAGTGAATTTCTTGTACCTATGGCCTCTTGGTTTCGTTGAGACATTTCTCTGTTCACAGCCTCATAGTAGTGTAGACGGTCAGACAACCGTGTTATTTCAAAGTTCTTAGTTTCGAGCATAGATTCCATCTCCATCTCTACCTCCACTTTCGCCATACCTCTGCCTAAAGAGTCAGAGACAAACCTGGCAACCTCGAGTTGGCAGCGTAGTTCTTCTGATAGATTCATGTTGTTGGTGGAGGTGGTAGGATCAATGGGAACGAACAGACCCACCTGAGCCAACTGCTCACGGAGTCTCTGCCAGTGAATTTGCATCTGCTCCAGAGCCTCCTCTGTCTGTTTTCTCTTCTCGATTTCCATTACTAAACTCAGCCTTATCTCCCTTAATTCAGATTCGATGTTGTTTCCTGAACTCTGCATTCCACTGTCTGTTGATAGTTCTGAAAAACCAAAAAATTTAGATGGATTACAAAACAGCTCCGAATCATATCGTCAAGTTAGAGCTTAACGTTTTGGGATACTTGCAGATACGTGGGAAATGAATAATGCATTAATCCTCATGATTTGGAGAGTTTACTCATCACTTTCAAATTTCAATATATCCGAAAGCACACATAATTCCAATTTCCAAAACAAGAAAAGGCTACTACTGCACATTAAAGAAACGGTACTAGTATATCCCCAAATGCTCAAAAGATAAAGAGAAGGGACTCTAAAAATGTGACTAATCATACTATCCTGGGAACGTTAAGAACTTAAGATCATAAGCATTGACAGCCATCTCAAAAGGAAATACTTAATAAGGTAATAAGATTTAGATAAGTACCATCCCAAGCATCATAAAATTCTCCAACAGGTGTGGCAAGTCTATGTGAACCTTCGTCTCCTGCATCACCCTCTACGTCTGTGTTACTTGTGAAGCTTGCTGATTCACCTGGGTCATAGAAATCTTCAGACTCACTCTCCTTGTCTGTTTTGATAGTGACAGGCTCAGTCAGAACATTTTCCCGTTCTAAACCATTAGCAGCATTATCCAACTCTGACTTTCCATTCCCAATTTTACCGTCAAGTGAACTCCAATGCCCAACAGGACCATCAACAATACCATCGAAATTATAATTTCCAACCGGACGAGCATGGACTCCATTGGAATAATCGTCTTCAGTAGCCTCACTGATAGGAAACGAGAAAGAGGTGGACCTCCTCCGAGGGGAAACCTTTACATCTGTTCCAGCAGTAATAGTTTCCTCTGCCAGAGTCTTCTGGTGGGAAGAAGACACAACATTAGCCTCAGAAGAGCTTTTAAGAAGACGTGGAGGTCCACGTGATTTGTGGTTGATGATATAAGGCGATGGTGGGAAAGAAGACGGCGAATTGGGAAGCGGAATTGCATCAGGTGTGGCGTAGAGAGCAGGGGACATCAGAGGACGAGTAACTGTCCTCTCACTAGGTAATTTACCTTTACCTTTCTCCAGTTTTGATATTGGTGGCTTAGAATAAAACGAATTTGTTGAGCTTGGAACACTCTCAACAGACGTGGAAGCCCCTGGCTCTAGCATTCTATCCAAAGCAATAGCAGAAAAAGTAGGCATGGCTCTGCAATCATTCAAGTATCAAATTAGTAAAAAATCCGAAACCACGAGAGCGTTTCTTCATTTCAATCGAATCAGTAACGAAAACAAAACTATTACGAAATGCAAAACACAAATTAATCAACAATTGTCATCTGAACCAACCAACGAATAAGTGAAAATTAGCTATTCGGAAGGTACAAAGCAAACAACGCATGCTAAAATCACAATCATCGCTATACCTAAACAAAACTTGATTCAATTCTCACGAAATTTGGAGCACGAAATAACCTAAAACCGAGAAGAAGCTAGCAAAATCAAACCACAAATCGATAATCTAGAAGCTAACAACAGGTCAAGCCGATAAAAATCAATCGAATCTCTCGAGATTCAGACCTACGATAACGAAATTTCCAGAAATTTCACCGAAAAATCAAACAGAGAAACGTAAAAACATCAAATCCGGAGTCGTAAGAGAAGGATTACCTCGAGCGCGAAGGAGATCTCCACGGAAGAAAGCTGAAAAAGATTCAACGGTAGGTAGAGATCGAGGTTAAACGGAAGCGAGACAACGGCGGAGAAGATAAGAAGAAGCGTGATACGACATCGTATAAGAGGAGAGGAGGGAAGAAGAAGAAGAAGAAAACCTCTTCTCCAAGGCTTTTTTTTTTATCTCTTCTTCTCAGCTTTGTATCTCCGCAAATATTTGAAACGCTCTTTTTTTTTTTTCTTCTTTGCTTCTTCCTCTATTCTTGGCGACCCATTTTCTGATTTTCTTAACAAATTCGTTTATTTTTATTTTTTTAAACGTGTATATTTGGGAGAGATTTTAAAAAGACGGATATAACCTTTGAAGGTAAGAGTTACGAGCATGGACGGCGCGATAACGAAGGGGTATTTTAAGTAAATACTTAGACGGTAGGGTTTCGTGAAATGGTCGAAACGACGTCGTCCAAGGGATCTTATTAAGTGGGTCATATCTCGAATATTCATTTAACGTCATTAAAACGGTGACGTGGCAACATCGTGTCCTAAAAAGCAAATTAACCAATGGCCCAATTTTTTGTCTGTTCACGAATCTGTAAAGCCCATTTTGAAAACGATTTTAAAAGTCTTTTTTTATTTTTTTGTCTTCGTCAAATCTAGAAATTTGATATTTTTTAGAGCCAATTTCCTAAACGTGTTACGTAACCCATGTGAACACGCTTTTAATTAGAGTCAGTATTCAAAATTGGCTAACAATATAATATTATACTAGTTTTTAAAATATCTGGTCTTCACAAGAAAAATGAGACTATCATATCTATTTTTTCTCCTTGATATAATTAATATTTTTGAAGAAAAGAACAAATCTAATGTGCATCTGTTACTGAAATTTGAAATGTTCTTCATTTTATTTTGAATGTTTAAAATAAAAGCTAAAGGTTGGAAATGAAGAATATAGAACCTGATTCAAAGCTATCACATCTCTGGGACCGCTTCTATATCAGGAACTAGTAATTGATTCGATTCACATAAACATATCTTTGTAATTGTAACTAAGAAAACCAAAACCAAATTTTTGATCATATAATAAGGTCAAGACCTTGAATTTTTTCTTATTCTTTAAGTCTCCATGAAAGTGTACAAAACACTCATCAATTCGTACAAAAATGACAAATACTTTGTTTGATCCATCTTTCCGAATCGAATCTTGATTTTCTCATAGATTATATATATTAAAAAAAAAACGATATACAAATCTTTATTCATTTTCCTTGACGAATCTATCTGTAATGAATCGCAGGTGCGTTAGAACTCGGATCCCACACACCTCCTTCCTTCACATACTCCATATACCTAGCAAACTCCGGTTTCGCCGTCGCTAAACTCTTTTTCTTCGTCGTCTTCTTCTTCTTCCGTTGAAAATGAACGTCAAAGAAACTCAACAAAGGATGAACAGAACCACCGGTTGGTTTCACCGTCGGTGTCTTCTTCAACTCTTGAACAGGGTTTCTTGATTGACCATAAACACTCGCTGGAACGCTAGAGACCCTCTTCAGTCTCGCTTCTTCGTCGCCGAGCTTTTCGTAGCCACCGTGGATTTTCCTAGTGCTCATGGCTCTAAACATGGTGCGGTATGGTGTGGAAAAAAGTGGAGTTCCTTTTTTTGTGTGTTAGGTGTGTTCTTGAATCTTTCTCTTGATGGTGTTTATTTAAGTAGTAGGCCAAGTTTGCTTTGTGATATGAAAAGGAAATAATAGTAGATCTGTTGACTTTTAGTTTAATTTTTTTTGTGCGTGAGATCTCCAACTAACTAAATTAAATTTTTGTATATGTAATTAATAAAGCATGTGTTAGTGTTACACCCACATGATGTATACATCTTGGTCCCTATTCAATCGCCGGTCAAATGTGTTTTATGCTGACTATTACATCTTTTAGACAATTCAAATGGACAATGGCTTAAGTGTTTAGACAAACTTCTTTGTCTGATCCATATCTAACAATATATTAATCTTGGAAAAATCTTGTATTTGTCGAGCTTAAAAGGAAAAAAAAAAGAAGAAGAAGGAAATCTCTCAGAAATCATTAGCAAAGAATTATCAAAATCACTTACTTTAAAATTTACACAAAAGGGAAGTTGAACTGAATTGATCATGCAATTATATTTTCGGTCTTGTTTAGAACCTTTTCTTAGCTTAGTCCAAGTTCTTTGTGTGTGTGTTTTTTCTTCATAATCTTCTGACGGATTAATTAGGAGATAGAAACCCAATTCCTGTGCATGTCAATAGCTATTGAAGTGATGAGAGATATCATTGGAAAAAATTATAGGGACATTCACTAACATAAGAAAGAAGGTCAGAGTTATATACATTTACGTTAAAAAAACAGTAACATAATTATTTTAATATAATCACATTAAAATATATATAACCAGGATTGGTGACTGGTCCAAACTATTTTGATCGCATGTTTACCAGTTACCACTATGCCACAAGCTAACTTTTGAAATGATGCCTTTAACTCTTATATATATATATATATATATATATATATATATATATATATATATATATATATATATATCTGTAATGTCTAAAAATTGTAAGTTTGTAAAACTCAAGAAAATATAAAACTCAACAAATCATTGTAAGTTTGTAACAACCAATTTCGATAGATCCGCTTGTTGCTTTTTAACCAACAGATGTTGCATTTGGGGTCTCATCCAATTGTTTTGCTATGAGCCTACCTTATCTCAAATTCTTTCTTCATAAAAACCACTTGATTCCTAATCATAAAGAATATAATGAACATAATACAGAACGCTAAATGTGGTCCTTACAATGTTTTAGCATCGGACTAATCTGGTTATTATGTATGTTACATGATTATTAAACAGATTTTATAAAGAGCCATTTGTTATATGAAAAAAAAAAAGACGCTAGAAGGAGGGGTCGAACCTCCGACCTTGTGGTTAACAGCCACACGCTCTAACCAACTGAGCTATTCCAGCCAATTGTTCAAATTACACATTTAAATTTATTTATTGTTAAACATTTTCCCCCTTTTTATTTGGAGATCCAATTTTATCACTTTGTTCAACCACAAATTAACAAAAGAATAATAATCCCTGACATATATAACAATCAAAAACATATAAGATTGCACATATTCATACTCAAGATTTTGAATAATTTGAATGGAAAAAATTATATATAAAAACAAAACAGGATTGTAAATTTTGTTTCCACTTTTGCATATCATCACTATTCACTAATGTTACTGTTTCTCTTCATTGCTTGCTTGTTATTATGCATCCAAACCTTAAAAACCTGTCTCCTTAGATTCACCATCCTACAAAACTTATCAATCTCTTCTTCATCTTTCTTCTGCATCCTCCACCCTAACCTCTCTGCAAATTCCTTCATCTTCTCTTTTTGTTCTTCACTGATCTTTGTCCTCACTCTCTTCTTCTTCCTCATCATCATCATCATCAAACCTTTCCCATCAATGTTCTGGTTACGATGACTCAGAATCTTCTTCATATCCTCGCTTGACGAAGATGTCCGCCGTCCAATCTCACCCGTTGGATGCATTCCACGTGTCTGCATCGCCTTGTACGAGCTGTTACTGCTGTAAAACGCCGGAGTTATTATCAGCTGATCTTGTTTACTGCTCATGTGTCCGTACACTTCTTTCCGGTGGAAACTCCGGTGACAGTTACAGGCGGCGCATTTTACAGCTTCGAGCGTTCCTTCTTCTCCGCCGGCCATGAATTCACAGCATCCGTCCACCACGTGTCCTCCGGTTGAGGCCGCGTGGTTCTTCTGGCATTCCCGGTACTTAGCTGCTTGGTCGACACGTGTCTTTGGTTTTTGGTTTTCTTTCTTGATCGGGAATAAAGCCATGGATGGATCTGAGTCCGGTTTGGCTTCTTCCGGATCCGGGTACGGTTTGGTATGTGGCTTTACTTCTGTTGAGATCATTGTTGTAGAAGTAATTGCATTACATTTTCCTCCAAGCTCCATTGTGAATCTGACCCAAAACAACAAAACTTTGTCAAAATTTAATACTTATAAGAATCATTCACTAATGCATGCACAAAAAACTCTCCTTTAATAGTTAAGAGATGACTTTTGGACTTACCTTACGGATTATAGAGATGCTTATTGTTATAGGGAAGAGTAGTGGAAGATGAGATTGATATTGATGAAGAAGGAAGGAGAAATAGAAATTAAGGGTGATGATGACGTATGTGTGTTTGTTTCCTATCACCCATCAAGTTTTATTTCACATGAAAATCCAACAAAAAAAATTGATTTTAAAAACACAAACCTACTAGAGAGAGAGTGTGTGTGTCTGTGTGGTGGTGCCTCTTAATTTCGAGACATTGTCATATGTTTGTTATCTTTCACCACCTGCACTTTGGTCCATCTCCCATTATTGCATTTATCTCTCTCACTCTATTTTCTTTTATGATGATTATTGATGGTGTTACTAATTAATGTGTGTCTGCAAAAAACCCTAGCTTAGTCAAACTATTACCTACTAAGCAAAGACTTTAGGAGTGGAGAGAGAGATAAATGAGGGGAAACTTATGGGTGTATTTTGAATTTTCAAATATAAAGTATACATGTTTCCAATCTAACCAAATTATTTAAAATTATGTCTTATTAGTTACGATTTTTTGTTACAATGTTATAAAGTATGATTTTAAGTCCTAACATATCATTAAATAGACTAAAACTTAAAATAGCCATGTTTGTCAATCCAATAGACTTTATCAGATTTATTGTGATAATCAATGAGGAAATAATATCAATAATAAACGGTGGTTTATGGTGTTGGATTGGGTTTTGCATGGAATTAATATAGCTTCAATTTCCCATACAAATGGAATTAGGGTTTCTAATAGAGTTGTTTAATGAATACGCTTTAACAATCAGAGTTAATGATAGTCTTGAAAGAGAAGACATAATAAATTATTTTTCTGGTGGGGAGGGTTGAAGAATTAAAAGTGTGAAAGAATGAAAAGATGGTCCACATAAGCACAACAAAACCTGCACTTTTATTTATCTCCACATGCCTCATGTCTCATTTCAGATTCTTCGTTTCCCACAGCTGTGTAGCACTTCATGATGATCTTCATTGCTTACCAAATATTGAAATCAATCAATGGAAATAGATTTACCATATACTAAATTATAAGTCTTAGTTTTAGATTCGCTTTATATATGAGTAATTGTCTCCATAAAGAAAACTCCCTAAGTTAAAAAGAAGCATTCAGTTTTTACAAAATGTACATGTGACGTGACAAAATCAGATCCAGGCTTTCCCAGTACATGGCGGATATAAATAATTAAATATTTAGGAAAAATAAGCCATGTTTACATTTTACAACAATCACAGGAATACAGAATATCCGTGGAATACGGTTAAAATGCAAAATGGGTTTCTCTTACCTGCTCTAATTTACAAAGACAGCAAAAAACAACAACTCAGATTACCAGCAAGTGAAACTTGGAAGAGAAGTGATTGGCATGTAATAGCTTCTTCGTCGTCACAGGATCAGATTAGCTGTCCGACCAAGAACAACAGGGTCTTGAGTAATCATTACTGAAATAATTGATTACAACAAATCATAGCTACCAGATATAGAAGGTTCAGTGAGAAAGGATCCGTCATGTTACTTACTAGGATTGATGCTATTGCTAGAGAAACAAGATAACACTTTATGATGCTAGTTTAAGGATTTGAGAAATTTCTACTTCTAGAAAGCTTTCCAAAGGCCTCCAGAAACAAATCTAGAGAACTTAATGTCAAACAAATGTTACAGTAAGGGTCTCTTATCCTTTCTAATCATGTAACTGTTCAAATTTCCAAGTCAAGCACGAAATCTTCTATAAATAATCAAGATTGTCACCTATAGATCCTATCAACCTTAATTGTTTTCTTCAGATCAGAGCTAATCAATGACAAAGAGAGGGATTGTTAAATTATTACCAGTTAGGTGCTATTTGGTCTTACGAGCCTCGATTAGTCTCCACATGTACCATGAACCAACGGACCTATAAGGACGCCATTTCTCACAAAGCTGCTCCATTTGCAATGGACCTGGAAGATCTTTCAAACCATAAAGATCTTTCACACCATTCCTCACACCTAAATCTCCCACAGGTAACACATCAGGTCTATGCAAAGAGAAGATCATGAACATATGAACAGTCCACACTCCAATTCCTTTAACCAATGTTAATCTCTCAATCAACTCTTCATCACTCATTTTCATAATCAATTCATCGGAAAGCACACCGTTGTTATATTTCTCAGCTAAATCGTGAAGGTAACTCGCTTTTCTCCCGGAGACACCTATCTTACGAAGATCAACGGCGGAGAGAGAGATCACAGATTCAGGAACAACACCTGATTCTCCGCCGTTGAATAAAGAGATGAATCGATCGTAGATACATTTCGCTGCTTTTGTCGCGAGTTGTTGGTAGAGGATTGATCTCGCTAGGGAGAGAAACGGAGGATTGCTTGATTCGAACACTGGAGGATCGTTGTGCGATGTGATTATGGCTCCGAGGAGTTCGTCGGAGCTTTGTAAGTGACGGAGAGCGAGATCAACCGTCGATTTGGTTGATAAAGGAGGAGACGCGGTGATGATGATTCTCGGCGACGGATCTGACGAAACTTTCCGGATTTTACGAGGTCGAAACGTGATTCTAGAAGAAGAACCAGAGGCCTCTGAATCCGCCAGTTTAACGGCGACAATTGAAGAACCCGGCGACAACGAAGGTTGATTCACGGCGGTTAGGGTTTTACGGAGAGACATGACGACGGCGGAGTTGATCAAATTGTTGGAGTTTGGATTTTTATCACTCGCGACGATATTCATTATTGGGCCTTAAGGAATCTCTATAAGCCCATTATAAAGCCCAGTTATAGTTAAAAAATCTATGATCCATCACACACAAATATTATTTCTTTGTCGACGACGGAATTGAAAAATACTAACGTATATAATGGGAATTTTATTTAAGTTTTATTTATTCATATGATCGTGCAGAGATATATAGATTAAAAAGCTGGTAAAATTAGTACAGAACATGTTGCAGAATCGGTTCAGTAATAAAATCGGAAAACAAATAATTAAAAAGCAAGAAAAAATGAAAAATCGAAAATATTCTTGAGAGCACATATTGACACGAACAAAAGGTCAAGAAGGAGAGAGTGAGTAAAGGACAAAACGACGGTCAAAATATAAAGGAGGTAGAACAGAGCATAATACGACAAAAATAAGTTCATTAAATCACTACAATGCTCTGATCCAAACTGAAACACAACAGTACCAAAACCCACATTGGTACGATCAGAATCTAATCTCTCCCCAATTCGACGATCAGATTTCAATCTTCACTACCAAACACCCTAACCCCCAAATTTTATTTTTGTCTATTGTTTAAATTTTATTTTTCTCTATTTTTATTAACCAATAGTAAGAAAATAATAATAATTAAAGTCTCAGTTGTGAAATTCAGGGACTCAGGTGGAACTGAAACTTCTCCGTTCAACTCTAAACTATATACATTAAAAGAGTTATATCCTATGTCTATATTTTTGGTCTGTGTTTTTTTTTCTTATGCACATCTTTTCATATTATTTTTTTAATTTTTTTCCTTCCTAATGTTTTGATTATATCACTGTGTAATGTTTTATCACGAACACTGTGTAATCAACAGAAGAATCAAACTATAGTATTTATTTTATAGACTAAAAGCAGAGAAATTTTCCATAATAAGAAGGTTAAGTTTTATAATTAAAAATAGAAAATGATTTTAAAAATTGACCAGAACGGTACTTTATAGATAAACCATAAGTTAGACCGTCGCTATCAATAAACATCAACATCGTCTCTCGATATACACTTCTATTTTTTTTTTGGAAATATTTTCTTACGTTTTTTTTTTAAATTAGACATAATTAAACCACATGGAAATTTTAAGAATCTAACGTCGTTTTCTTTTTTTCCTTTCATCTGGTAAAGTCATGGACAAGACTTGCCCTATCCGCCACATTAAGCCTCCAAGAAAGGAACGGAACACCGCCGTGAGCACCGTCGGATTCACCGTTGTTTGCTACTCCACTGCCGTAATCATCCATGAACCTGATCTCGTTAGCCGGATAATTACACGGAACCCTCTGCGTCGAGTGATGATGAGCCCACGGAGTACCATTATTATTGTTGTTACCAGTGGCAGCATGGTAATTATTGTAGCCGGAGTTGTGATGTCCGTACTGGTCGGTTTGAACTGGTGCAGCTCCGACGACGGTGTTTCCTGAAGCCGCCGTGGTTCTTCTCTCTTCCTTCTTGAAACGAATGCCGCATGCATTGCATAGGGACTGCAAATTCCAAAACCATCCATATCATTTACCATCAATATCTCTGTATTTAATGTTGTTTCAATGCATAAAGCTCTATAGAAATGAAAATATTCAAAAAAAAGATATGAAATTAATGTCGTTTTTTGAAAATATCTGTTTTTCAAAAAAAAAAAACTAGATTTAAATGGTTTTTATTTAACCATCAAAATCACTATTTAATGTTTCTTTCAATAAACTAAGCTATAGAGAAAGGGATTTATTGGTTTTAGTGACAAAAAAAAAAACAGATAGGCAAATATTCAAAACAAAGCGATGAACTGTCTTTTTGGTTGTTGCAAATCTTACTTTTATTTGTTGATTATTATAAGTAGCAGCATTTTATTAAAATTGAAACAAAATTACTCACCTTGGGGCCTCTAGGACCATTCCTCCATAGTGGAGTAGAAGTAGTGTCACAGTTGGCACAGCGTCTGGCGAGAAGAGAATCACCTCCGCCACCGCCTCCTCCTCCACCACCACCCGCGGAACAAGCGCGAGTTGGCTTGTTAGTGGAGAAAGAAGGAACGTTATTGTACGGTGTCGGTTTTGAGTTGTTTTTGGTGTGAAGCAAGTCCCAGAAGTTGGAGATGCAAGAAGAAGCACCAGAGGAAGTAGAGCGTCTACGTTTCTCGTCTTCTTCACAAAGCCTCGTAGAAGGAGTTCCAAGAGACAGAGTACAGTCAACGACGGAGGAAGAGTGATGATAGTCCTCGCCGTTCTGCTCGTAAACGCCGCCGTTTTGCATGGAGAAGACCATCGAGTAAGAACCGGCGTTGGAGTTGTTGTTGTTATTGTAGCAGCAGCTTTGGCTATGGTGGTGGAACATTCCACAAGAATGACAATATTGCCCCTGCGTTGAAGTTGTGTACGGAGTCTGCATCATCGCTCACACACTTCTCTCTCTCTTTGTTTGAAAACCCTAAGTGTAAAATTAAGAGAAGCTAAAGAAAAATATGAAGAGAAATTAAGTTTGCAGGTTTCACGTTGGAGTGAAGTGAAGAATGGAGAAGAGGGTCTCACGCCTATATATAGAATCAGACATGTATATGTACGCTTATATGCAGGTTTATATTAAAACGAATATTTAAAATAAGTAGAATATGTGGGGACGCAGCTTTTTACGAAGTAATATTAATATCATTTACTCAATGGAGTACACAATATGATGAACGATGATATCAAGTTTCGTCAGACAGCCAAGTAAAAAAGATACTAATTACGTAGGTTATTTTCTAATTACATAACACATGCTTGGTCTATATAGAATCTTTGTGATTGTGTGAACTGTGAATAATTAATTCAATTAAAATATATAAGTACGTTATGGACCAAGGATGATAAGATATGGAATTGCACCGTACATTATAAAATATCAATATTCAAAATGTGATGGAAAATGTTACGAAACAAAACAAGAAGTCGAAACTATGTGAAAAAGATATTGGTTAGAGAAAGCTAAGCGTCTGAATTAGTCGATGGACACCAAACTTTAAAATGTGAATGCCAATCTAAAGATGATCGGTAACATATGCTAAAACAAAATCATTCATCGCGTGCTTCCAAATATTATAGATTGAAGTTTGGTTTTAGTAGATATGGTAAATCTTATTGTGATGGTGAAAAACATACGACTTTTGGACCATCAAACATACAAATCCTGTTAATTCGTTACTTCTTTTTAAAGCAATTATTATGTCACTCACACACGAATGTTTACTTAACTAGATCTATGATATTATATGAAGGATTTTAAATTATCGATTTTGTGGAGGAAATTTAACAGAACAAAAAAACGTAGAAGAAGAAGAAGAGAGTGTGATGTGATGTTGATGGTCATTGGAGAAGGGTGGTCAAAATTTAGCCCACGTGACAAGGGGGAGAGAAGAGGAAGAAGAGTACAGTCATCACTGCAAAAATCTCCGATCACGAGGCTCAGATTTTTATTTTTATTCGTTCTCTTTCAATATAATGCTATAAACCTCTGTCTCTTTCCGTATCTCTGGTCTAAAACCCTGAATCTCACGCGCTCCTGATCAGTTGCGCGTGGCCTCGTCCTTTACTTCTCCACATCGCAATCACACGTTCGATATCTGCTCAGCCTCATGTGGTTAATGATGATCCATGATGATGTAAGTAAAAAAATGACTTAGATTTGGTTATTAGATTTCTTCAAAACTTGCAGCTAGCTAGAGTCTACTCTACTCTTGTCTTCAACGAATACTAGTCTTCGTCCCTATAAAGGGTTATTTTATTTTTTTTGGATTACGTATGTTAAATGCTTTAACTACCCTTACAAAAAGGGTGAATGAAATATATATACATGGAAGAGTAGTTTATTAGTTTTATAGCATTAGAAATTTAGAAATTAAGAAAGTAGGAAAGAGAAAATAAAAATAAATCATAAATATCTTTCTTATTTAGCTTAATTACACAAATGCCATTGTCATGATAAACTTTTTTCCACCGTAATATGTCGGTGGTACTGTTCATAAACCGCTCGACGACACTGTTTATTTGTGATCGAGAACACTATTCATCAGATGATATAATAAAACATATTGTGATTTAAGTATATAACTATTTGTTTAACATGCTAAAAAATATGATATCGCGATAAGCTTACATATTATGTGTTAAATAAATGTTTATCGATTTAAAATTATAAATCAATATTTTTTATTTATGTATATATCAGTACAATAAAAAAGAATTAGACTTTTTTTTAGGTAATTAACATGATAACAATTACAACAACATGTTATATGAAATAATAACGTGCTAACATATTAAATATCTGAATAATATTTGTATGAACACGGTAAGATAGTCGATATATGCATAATATTTATATTAACGTGTAACTTATACATAATATTCACCAATAATAATCAATAACAAGGTTAATATGATAATAATAAAAATATCTAGCAATGAAAAATAACAAATTTTGTTCTAGATCTGCTCACCAACGAGATAGACGGAGAAGACGGCGACACTTATAAAACTCTTTAGCCCTCGCACCTTCTCCGACACCATCACCATAAAATCGTTTAGCTTACCGCACCATTCTGACGCCATCTCAATCTACGATTCCATTCATGTCACCTTCTTTTTTCTCAAACTCACCACCACCGATAATATAATCATCACCACTATCATTGTAAATACTATCTACACCATCGTTAAAAACCCCATTATTTTAAATAGGAATAACCACCACTTACAATCACCACCGCTACAGCCGGCACTGAATCAAAATAAGAGCCACCACATCACCACGATTCACGATCAAAATCATAACCCTCTCAAAACCATGGTTGCATTTACTGTCACAAATAAATGAAACAATTTTATTGAAATTTGAAATCTCACAATTTGATGAATTTTGTGAGAAAATTTTAGTTTCCTGAAACAAAATTTGATCGGAGAAGAAGGATGAGGAGAGAGAGAATATGAAAAATAAAATAAATAAATAAGGGTAGCAACGTAATATCATTTACAAAAGTGTTGTCCAAATAGTGTCTCACTCTTCCACTTAATTTTTGAGTCTTCTAGGGTCATTCTTTCATATTACCCTTACAAAAACACCTATTTTTATAATCAAAACATGGGGTCTAAATGGTAACCGAAGAATCTGGCTGAATCCAGCTGAATCCGTCTGAATTACTGAATCTGGCTGAATTTTTAGTGATTTTTAGCTGAATCTGGCTGAATTTTTACATTTTCAAATGGTAACCGCTGAATCTAGCTGAATTTTTTTGTGCTTTTCAGCAGAATCTGTCAAAATAATTAAGACTTTAACTGAAATATCGTCAAATAATTACAAATATTAATAGAATAACTAAGGAAAAATATCTAAATAAAATAGATAAAATTATCTAATAGTCTAATTAACTCTTATACCAATAAATAAATACTAGAATTAATACCTTTTTAGCAAAATTGAGTTGTTCTTCCAAATCTAATTTTTGAACTATTAAAAAGATATTATTAATTAATAGAAAGCTTTGTCAAAGTTTTATTGAAAAATTAATTTAAAATAAACATGATAATATAGTATAGATTTTCTTATTGATTTTTCATTGTTCTCTAGTAGTTTAAAACCTTAATATGATTAGGATGATTAACAATTTTTTTTTAATTTGATATTTTAAATATTATTTTAGCATAAGTATGAGTTATTTTTGCAAAAAATTGGAAAATTATATTTAAGTATCTAAAATTTATTAAAATTATCTAAAATTATCTAATGATATCTTAACATAAATATGTCTCTTGTCTATTCTGGTAATGATTTTATGTGTATGAATTATTCATATATCGTATTTGTATGATCTAACTTATTTTAAAATATAAATTTGATGTGTAATTTTTAATAGCCAAAAATATTTTAATTCGAGTTGTGAATCGCTACAATCCAAATTTTTATCTGAAATGAACATACTATATATCTGTTGATGTTGGAAAAACTGTTGAATCTGGCTGAATTTAGTTTAATGCAAATGGTAACTGCGGAATTGCTGAATCTGGCTGAATATTTTTTTTATGTTACCATTTACACTCATGGATTCTCATTTGGTAGAAGTAGATTTATTTTAACCGTAACACAATATTTTAAAAAAAATTGGTAAAGAAAAAAATTAAAAGAAAATTATCGAAATAGTATATGTTTGTACGTTATGAAAACCGATCAAGATGATGAAATCACAATCTCTGTTGGTTGTTTTGTGATGCTTTCTTGTTGTGTTTTCTCTTGTATTCGTTGATCTTTTAGTTGTAATTTTTGGTTGTTATGTGTTATTCGTTTTCTCTGTAATCGCTGTCGTAAAACTGAAATTGGTATAAATACTTAACATTGTTACAAAAAAAAAAAAAGTGATAACTAACACTTCATATAGGGACGCGGTTACCGAGTACTTGGATATCTTGTAGTTGTAGACAATGCCTATGTTGTATTATTCTCTTCACTGTTTTACATATCAATTGTACTTAAATACATATTGGGCATGTTATCAAGATTATTAATTACTCTATTTTTTCTTTTTTTTTTGGTAACGTCCGTTCCAATTTAATCGAATGTCTCCGTTGGAACGATTAAATACTCTACTATTGATGTTTATGTCATCTATTTCGACAAACAATTTATATATGGTAATTTAAAAAAACACAAAAGAGTTACTATATCAACACTAAAACTGGATAAAACTCAATAAGTTCAAGACACATAAAAACCTTAACCATATTTTGATTCGTGATTAATCCATAAAGACCAATGCCAACTTCATTTTCTACGAGTAAGCTTTCCAATTCATTAGTGATCAGATAAATAATCTAGATTGAATAGACTTGGCGTTTAACTTTCATAAAATTATCTTAGTTTTATGTTAAGTTACACATTATTTTGTTTGTAATCGTCTAGATATGTATTTTGTTCACGTGATGAAATGATGGTTTACCTAAAACATTTTTAAAAAATTACACACGAATGTTTTTAAAAAATAACAGTTATACTACAAGAGAATTTTGTCACATTTTTAGAGTATTTTACTAGTTATAAAATATTATTTATGTCATGTATTCGATCAAATTTTCGTTTTACGAACAAAAAAAAAGCAAACGAGGCGGTGTTATGTACTTATCGAAATATTCTGTATAATTGATTAGATATAAAAAGTTAAGATAAAAATTATAGATAAACATCTTTAATTGTCTCAAGTTAAATATAAACATTAAGCCCAAAATAATCCTCCATTTGTCTCGTTAGAATCACCCATATAGTCGTAGTATGGCTGAGTAACGTATCGAAAACCATGAGAATCCAATTCCTATTGGGGTTTTTAATAAAGAGAAACGAATTTGGAATCATAATGATATGAGAATATCCACGAAGATTTGGAAGAGTTTTTAGAGTAACAAGAAAAATATTGCATGAAAAGAAAAGCTAATAGATTAGATTGTGAAGAACCCAAAAGATAAAGGGAAGAATCCCCTCTATGCAAGTGAAGTACCTTCCTACAATCATCAAAGCAACACCCCCAATTAACCAATGCATACACATGTATGAACTATATTACTCATTCTGTTTAAAAATATTTTTTCCACTTTTCATTTTTTCTTAGCTTAGCAAGAGAGAGATTCTTCTCTTGAATCTTGATGGGTCAAAGAAGGACTCTCTAAAAAGGAAAGGTCAAAGAACTAATAATACTCCCCATAAATATGATCTTGAACTAGTGAAAAGAAACAAAGGAAAAGCTATTGGACCCACCTCTTAAATCATCATACCTAATAGTAATACCACATGATAACTTTTTTTTGTTCTCTATAGCCAAATTATAATGATATGGTACATCTATATGTCTCGATGGATAGATAATCACGGGGTTTTATAATTCATCGAAAAATCTGTGTTGTATATATATATATATATATATATATATATATTGACAAAAAATTTCATGCAATTGAGTTTGAAAAATACAACAAAGGGCCAGACAATACTTGATTATTTATGCATTCAAATACTTCATCATTTTGTAGTATTATGTATAAGAATCATATATACCTAAGAAATCCTTAAAATGTATGTATGAAAACTTATTGGTTGTTACATTTTATTCACAATTAAAGAAATTTCAATTTTTAAAATATATATGGATTGATATGGTTAATCATTTAACAAAAATAAAAATTTAACTGTGGGAAGTACTATAATTATTTCTTTTAGATAATCCAGAATAATCCGATTAATATCATGCATATGCAACCATCTCGAGCACACATATATCATACTCTTTCCGTTTTATAATATAAGTCGTTTTAGGTAAAATCATGACGATTAAGAAGATCTACTTTTAAAAAGTTCAATCAATCATAAAAGAGACTACATAATATAAATAATCATAAATTATTAAAATAATACTCCCTCCGTTTCGTTTTAAGACTTAAATTTTGTTTCATTTTAGTTGTCGTTTTAGGTTTTCAATGCAAATGTTTGGTAAAAATTTCAGTATTATCCATATTGTTTTAATGTTGTGGCAAATGAATTCTTTTATAAAATATATTAATAAAGAGTAAAACAAAAAATTTAATGTTTTTCTTAATTTGTGTGAAAATCTTAAACGACAACTAAAACGAAGTATATAATTTGAATAGAAACTCGAAAACGATTTATATTATGAAAAAAAAATCTTTATCTTAAACGCATTATATTATAAAACGGAGAGAGTATTAAAGTTTCGGACTTGAAAACCGAGATCTCTGCAATAAACATCAAAACATGCATGAAAGCTATCTCATTGTTTCGAAAGTTTTTTTTATTTAGTTTATGTTAAAGTTGTTTCGCAATTGCAAGTTACCTATCAATTCCTAACATTTATTTATATTTTGAAAAATATATATATATATATATATATATATATATAAAAGGTGAAAATCAGATCGTCTTGAGATTGCCGAAACTTACTTAGTTTTCGACTAATGGGACGACCACCACTTTCCAAAAGATGCTCTGTCGAACGTTTATATTTATACTACAATTTATAACTCTAACTATTGTACGTAATCTATATTTATAGTAATTTGATAAACTCGAAACATAAAACCGTGATTACCCCGAGACACAAAGCGTTACGTTTCGCCACTACATGCAAAGCTACTATTATCTCACACGCGACCTAACCACCCGTGACTAATACGCTCCCATCGACCTACCGTTCTAAAACTCTCACAGGCTTAAATGGCGCGTGGTTGTATAGTGATTTGAATAAACCATGGTACAAGATCGGCTTTCTGTAACTATACACCGGGATTTGCTTTACATTGAAATTTAAATTATTTTCAGTCTATTTCAAGTTCAAATATCACAAAATATTTCACCTAATACGTATTTGTAGATGAAATGACAACCCATAAACTAAACTACTACATTCTCCTTTTTTTTGAAGTTGTTTTTAGAACACAAACTTTGTTATTAAATATTATGGATGAAAAGAAACTCCTTAACTATAGTATTTCATTATCTAAGGACTACAATTTTGTATGGGTTGTCTAACCGGTTGCAAGAGAAAAACAAGCATGGAGGAAAATAAATGGGCTCAGGAGCAATTCTCATCGGCAATAACCATGTAATTGCCAATACCCAATAATATATAAATCTTGAAGTAAAACTATTTTTTTCTGAGAGATATTCACAATCTTAAAATGTCATTTCGACGAGTACATTTCTATATCTATTTTTTATAAACATATTTAAATAATTTGACAGCAAGAAAACTAACTAGTTCATAGTATATGCAAATAATTAGATGAATACTCAAAGATAAGTATCTTGACGTTTGTGTGGAAAAGAGTATTTACTAGTCCAAAAATGAAAAACCAAACGGCTATACGCAAAACAAAAAGAAGACCGGCTCGTAGTCCAGAACGAGAGCAATAAAACTACACGATGTTTGATAGATGATGCAAATGCAAATGATGATGATGTTGGCTTCGGTGGATTCGGTGGGAACCACAACGTTCCCCAAAAAAGTATCGCGAGTTCCAAGACAGAGATCGTGTTTTTGGTGACGACGATTACTTGAGATAATCCGTTTGTCGTTAATCAGGGTCGCCACGTGGACAGAAGCCGCGAGATTTAATTCTCCGCATGCATGCATGTTAAAGCGATCTAATGATATGTCATTAAACAACAATTAATTTATTTTTAACTGTTTGATTTTTTTTTATAAAAAAAACTACTGCTAATAGAATATAGTATGTGTGTTGGTTTAGGAGTCGTCTTGGTCACATTAATTAAAAATTCGGGACATTCCTCAAAAGTTACAAAACACGACTGGAATGTTTTCTCATCTCTGCCCTTTTGATGGATTCTGCTTTCTCTTTATTTTTTTCATTTTTTTTTGAAAATTCTGTTTGTATGGTATGCCTTCTTAAAAATTGTAAAATCATTATAGGGGCTAACTAAGAATGCCTTCTGCTTTTAAATTATTATACACACTAAATATAGTGTGACAATATACACACCAATTTACTAATTTAGAATTATTATACACAATATAGTTGTCATTTACAATGATCCCCTATTAATTAAGATGTTTGCAAATAAATGATACAATTATTTGATTGTATTTTATTAAAAGAATATTACACCTATGGATTTTAGAAGTCTATTTGCACAATATAAAACGTGTCCCTCGGTTACTTATGATTTTCTTTCAAATTAGCCCCTTAATTTTTCGTTAAACGGTTTTAAGTGTATTAGTACATTATAAATACTCCATCTGTTTCACAAAGAGTGTTATTCTAGCATTTTTCACACAAATTGAAAAAAGTAAATAAATTTCATTTCTACCATTTATTAATACACTAAATAATACCCTCTCTCTAATTAATACACTAAAATAGTGAGGTTAAAAAAATGAATTCGTCTTTAAAACTGCATTGAAAACTCAAAACGACACTTTCTGTGAAACGAAATTAAAACCTAAAAACGACACTCTTTGTGAAACGGAGGGAGTATAAGAGTACAAACTCCAGCTGTCATATGTTATTATGTTAAAGATCAGTTTTTTTTTTTTTGTCTATTGTTCATATAACTTCATGCTGTCCCCTCGAAAGCGTCTCTTCACATTTCCTAAAGATTTATGTTATGAACTGTTCCGTATATTTTTAAAAGACTTCAGCTACAGTTTTTTTGTATTCGGTAAACTAGTACATATATGGTTTGACTGTGTAATACAGGTGGTAGCTCCAGTTTTGCTTAAAAATCAAATAACGATTGATCAAATATAACGATTTTCGTTTTTGTATGACATAATAACTTTACACTAATAATAAACTGTTATATTTGAAAATCTCAGGGGTAATACACATTTTCATTGGTTTAATAATTTATGTAATGGATGAATTAATCAATGAATCAAAGGAGATAAATATAGGAAGAAGCAAAAAAAAAAAAAAGAGAAACAAATTTGGGAGTGGTCCAACGTAAGTGAAAAGGGCAAAAGTGGAAAAAGAAAAATTGTTGGACCAACTAGAGGAATGCCCCAAGATTGGGAGAGGTATCAATCATGATATACAAAAAAACATAAGAAATGCACATATAAATATGATCAAAGGTGGTCACTTTGGTCCATGGTACATCTTTGCTAGCTTGACCAATTCTTCTAGGGCACAAATGTATATTGGATTTGTTGTATCATCTTTATCCAACAAGTTTCTTTCTTTATATATGTGTTTCGCTCTTAACGTTTCCCAATTAAATCACTCCACTTTGAATCTTCCACATATATTCTTTTGTCTTCAACACAACACAACATTTCCAACTTTTTTTCTTGTTCTTGTAGCCCAATAGATTTTGGAGCATAAAGAGGGAAACATTCCATCTTAATTCGGATAATCGTCGATTTTCTCTAAATAGAAATTTTTATTATAATTACTTTAAACTTCAAAGATTCAATATCCACTCTTATTATAATTACTTAAACTTCACTCAATATCCACTCTCAAAATGGCCAAACAATTAACTTAGATGTTTCGTATTCGTATTATCCTCATATTATCTATTCATAATTCATCGTATATTCGTATAAGTAATTATACACTAATAATAATGAAAATCTCAAGAGCAATGAAACGTGTATATTTACTATTGGTTAGCCTATATAGCCACTAGAAACTTTCAAATCACATAAACCCACATATGTATCTATCAATCTATTGGGTACTAAAAAGGTCAAAAAGCTGGTACTGGAAAACACAGAGATGGATCATAAGAATTTCAAAAGGTAAAATGATAATTGGATATGAATTGGCACTTCAAACATTTTCGAATCTTCAGTCTTCTCCCATCGAATTCCGTTTTTGACTCTTTATCACAACGCACGCCGTTCGGCGATTTCGTACTACTTCCTATATTTTACCTTGTAGCTCCCTATACTTTTCTATTCTAGTTTTATTACCCCACAACATAATCTGATTTTGGACATCAATTCACGTTTATAGATCTTAACTTCTCGTCGTTTTTGTTACATTCTCAAATAGCATGTAGTTCCCTTCTCCCAATTACAATTCTCAGGCCCATGTTAGACCACTGAGCCCATCCACGCAACATTTCACGCTCACTAAACAAACATGTTTGGATCAAGACTTGGATAAACTTTTGTTACATGTTTTGTTGACTTGTTGTTATCTTTCACGGTTCAGGCAAGTTTTTTCCAAGCTAACGGCCACGCCACCCGGAAACAGACTTGGGGACAAGTGAAATCGAATTTGAGGCAGCTTCTAATCTGCACAATGCTCGAAATTGCAACTGTTTATTTCCGCACCACAAATGCAAAATACAGGAGGGAGATTAAGAGAGGAGGAGGAGGGAACTACTTTGATATTTCTTCAACAGCCTTGATGACTTCGGCGGAACTAGTTTCCAATACCTGTCCTCCAAATACAATCTCGTCTAACACCGCGTGCATCTGCAAACATGCGAATGAAATAAAGAAGAAGACATAAAAAAAGCTATTACTATTACGCTTTTGTTTCATGTAGTTATCTAAAGTGATCAAACCAATCTGCAGCAGCAGCAGCTTTAAAATATAATATCAAGTATCTTATGGGACGAACTATTCTTTGTAATACCAACCTTGCTGTAATTGAACACAATGTCGAGTTCGCAGACATTGCTGAAGCATTTGTCAAGTGTTTCAACAAGAACTGCCCACGCAAGAAACTGACTTTAGATCATCATACAATGAAAGATACCTTTTGCAAAGCTTTAAGCAGAAAGAACCAACGAGCAGAGGAATAGGCAATGATTGATATTTAAAAACACTCTGTGACATGCTAAGTCGACTCAAGCCAGTGTACTCACCCCAATACCAATCCTAAAATACTCAACACCCAGATCGCTTTTAAATACATCCTATACAGACCAACTGAACTGGCACACTACTCTTATACATTTGTACAAGTTTACTACTCAGGACTCTGATTCCAAATTCTATCTTTCTATATTATTAAGCCAATGGCTCAAGATATTCAAAACAAGTTACAAATATCATTCCAAAACACGCAAACATCAAGTTATATTGGAATCTATTGAGAGACAAACAGATTATAGAAAAAAAAGCGCACCTTGAATGAGATCAAGCATAGCAAGCTCATTTTCTGAACCATCAAATACAAGAACAAAATAGAGTGTAGCATAGTGCTTGTATACAAGCCGAGAATCCTGCAAAACATAGTAAGCTATAATAAGTCACCAAAATAACGTTTTTTTTTTTTATGAGAAACTAAGCACAAACAATGAAGAAGCCATTACCGGGCCAAACAATGAATCGATCTCCAGAAAATTGCTTACGTTCTCAGGTCTACTGCACAATACTGTTAAGTCATTACAAAATCAGAATTGCAGCCTCTAACGATCATAAGAAAAAAAAAAAACACATTCCCAGTCAGCCCCGGCTCAATATATTTGAGAGCCTTAGGGCAAAAAAAAATTTTTTGGCCTATTATTATATACAAAGAGAAAATTTACTTAATTTTTAAAAATTTTGCGGAGTTTTTATAGTAAAAATTGTTATTTTAAAAATTTTGGGCCTTTTTATACATTTTCTTATAAATAATTAGGCCTCTTAAAATATAATTCTCATATTAATAATATTTTTAAAAAATATTTGGGCCTTTTTTATATGTAAATTTTTTTATAAAAAAAAAAGCCCCGGGCCGTCGCACTTCCGCCCTACCCATCTGAGCCGGGGCTGTTCCCAGTGATCGACCCAGATCTTAGAAATACAGACTATGAAATTGTTATGCATAAAGTGATTGATCACCTGAAAACACGCCGCGGATTAGCTCCTGCTGCTTCTCTACAGGCTATAAACCAAAATTCCCAATATCAAAACAAAAACCAAATTTGAGAAAATCGGTCAATAAATTGATCGAAGAAACCAAAATTGAAAACATATCTCAACAAGAATCGCGTACCATGTAATCGTAGAATTTAGCTAGCCGTGGTTTGCCTTGTGTATTCAACATCATCACTGCCTTTATCATCTTTCTTCAACTCTCTCTTTCTCCGTTTCTCTCGCTGACGAACTCTCAAACTCCGATCTCACATACACTACCTCTACCTGTAAGGCTGTAACCCTCTGTCTAACTTAGAGGTTCTTCAATTTACATTTGAAGACGTCATTACCAATAAGAAACCTCCACGTGTAATCAAATTTGAGTGACCTACTAAAATATTAGCGACGCCGTCGAGAGGATTGGTCAAATCAATGGCTTTCCGAGAAGACGACGACGATGTTAACCTCACGAAAATGGGGCTGCTTCAAATCGGAGAAAACGAAGAGCCCAGTGAGATTATCTCCTCCGGTGAGTCGGAGTTTCATATGAACCGGATCAATTCGATCGAATCAACGGTTGTGATTCGTCAATTACCGTCACAAGGCATCGCCTTCAAGCTTTGGTTACCTGCAACAACTCTCGTCACGCTTCTCGATAACTACCGTCGTGACCCAAACACCAGCCCACTCACTCGCACCTTCTCGAGTTTTCAATCCGACGGTTCAGATTCTTCTTCTCCGATAAACATCTTCGAGCTCGGATCTGGAACTGGAATCGTAGGAATCGCGGCGGCTGCGACGTTAGGTGCTAATGTCACGGTGACGGATCTCCCAAACGTAATCGAGAATCTCAAATTCAACGTCGACGCGAACGCTGAAGTCGTGGCTAGATTCGGTGGGAAAGTCCACGTGGCGTCTCTTCGTTGGGGTGAAATCAATGACGTGGAGGTTTTGGGTCAAAACGTTGACCTGATTTTAGCGTCTGACGTGGTTTACCACGAGCGTCTTTATGATCCTCTCCTTAAAACGCTGCGTTTTTTGCTCTTAGAAGGGTCCAAGAGAGAGTTTCTTATGGCTCACCTCAAGAGATGGAAGAAAGAATCAATTTTTTTCAAGAAAGCTCGGAGATTCTTCGATGTTGATGTTATACATTGTGATGATCCTCAAGAAGGTTCTAGAATTGGAGTTGTAGTTTACCGTTTTGCACCGAAAAATCAAACCTTTAAGAAGATGATGTCAAATGTATAAAAGAAATTTGTTTCTTTGTTAAATAATGGAAATGGAAGACTTTGTGAGCCAATCATAACTCATACGAAACACTTTATGAGAAACATTTAAATATGTCCACTTTATCCATAATGGAGCTTCGAACCCGTGACCTTTGTAAGCAGAGCACTCACTACTAATCAATCAATTAGGTCGTGTCTAAACAGAGAAGGAAGGTTGAGGAAAGAAGAAATGACTCTGGGACTGATAAACGCGAATCCAGTTGTGCAAGCTAAGAAGGAACGGCTTGTTCGTAGAGAAGATCAATATAGAGATGATGGTGTTGATCCTCTTGAAATCTATGATATCCTTTTTCTATTTTGAGTTTGGTTTAATTAGATCAATTTTGTTTCTGCTATGTGTTTTGGATTTTTGCTCTTTTTGGGGGGTTTAATGTATATTTTTGGAATCTTTGACGGAAATGGACAAAGTATGTAAGAGATATAAGAGATCCAGAACATCCTTATACTTTGGAGCAGCTAAGTGTTCTCTCTGAAGAATCTGTTACTGTCGATGAAAAGCTTGATCGCATCCTGTGAGTTAATATCAAACTTCAGTCTCTGTTATATATTCATTGTTCCATTGATTTTTAGAGACTATCAGAGGAAAGTTCCAATTTTTATATCTGTATTGGTAACAAATGTTGAGGCCTTTTTTTGTGTTTACTTACATGATCTTTAACAATAAGCTGGTTTGGGTTATGTGATGAACTCAGGATAATGTTTACACCGACGATTCAGCATTGTAGTATGGCAAATATAATTGGTCTGTGTTTGAGAGCTAAGCTTAAAGAATGTTTGCCACTTCATTACAAGGTCATCTTTGCTTTTAAAAAAGTCTTTTCTGATAAAGACAAATTCTCAAAGATCACTAGTTACATATGTGTGATTGCTTCTGTTTTGTTTTACTTATGTTTAGGTTGATATCAGAGTGTCACCTGGCTCTCACGCTGATGAAGTTTCAGGTGAGGAAGTCCTATGTTACTAGACCATCTCTTCATTCACAATGGTTGAGCTTGCAAATAAAATGAATGTTATATGGAAATTATAAACTTTGCTCTTGTCCTTGGTTTCATAGATTTCAGCTTCTAATCTAACATCACTGCAAAATCTGGTTTTCTATCTTTGTATTGGGGAAAAGTTGATGTCTTTTGCTCTGAACTTTGAAACTCATTGGGATCATCTTTATATTGCAGTGAATAAACAACTGAATGATAAAGAAAGGGTGGCTGCCGCATTGGAGAATCCTAATCTCCGTCAGCTCGTGGATGAATGTATCTACTCCGCTGAGATATGATCAGATCATTTACTTCTAGTCTCTTGTACATGCTTCGTATCCTGGGTTCTATAATGTCTTAGAGAGCCCTCTTTAATCTCAGAATACACATTTTACGGTGTTCGAATGTTGTATACTACTCAATAAGACAATAATGATACATAACCTTTTGTCAAGGTAACTGCAGTTTGAAGTTACCAGCACAACTAGAAAAGACATTGCGATAGATGGTTCGATCAGGTGATGAAACCAATGTAATTTTTCGTTGTGCTTGACTTTTTTTAATTACAGTTTTGAGGATGGATAAGAGTTTGTAAGATATAAATCAGCTCTATCGGGTGGCTTTACATGACTATATATCAGCCATGTTTATCTGTCATTTACTTGTAACCTTAAATATGAATCTAGTCCATAGTAGTTAAAAGACTAATTGCTAGAATTTTGCAATTAATAAACACTACTAAAGCCAATATAGGGTTTGTCAACAATGGACCAATCTTGATGTTCTGCAGACTTCTTTATAAATTTGTTTAAAACAGGGCAGTGTACACATTATAACCATAGATTTTAGATGCTGAGAAAAATATCAGTGTCATGTCTGCATTAATCACACACATCTCTGTAACCGTAGATTTTTGTTTATATCATTGGAGGCTACTTTGGTAGTTGGGTAAAACATTCAGTTCACCATTTGTTTCTGTAGCAATGTCTTATTAAATCTTATGAACGAGTTAGTATACTATATGTTCTTCTTCTTCTGCAACTAAAAACTACTAATGCCAATATAGTGTGGTCAACAATGGACCAAATGTTGATGTTGTGCAAACTTCTTTGTGAAGCTGTTAAAAACAGGCAATGTACAAGGCAAACTCTTTCGACCATAGATTTTATATTCTGACATAAATATCAATGTCTTGTCTGCATTAATCATACATATCCCTGTCCTGGTCATGTAGATTTTGTTTTGTATCACCGAGGCTACTTTGGTGGTTGGGGTAAAAACATTCAGTTGGCAGTTTGTTTATGTGGCAATGTCTTGATTAAATCAACGAGTAGGTTTGATTAAACCAATGGTTAGTGTAATTCTTTGTCATCTAACGAATGAGCTCAACATTTGTAAGGTTAACTCTCTCAAATGAATTTTCACACAAATTGTAGCATGCATAGAGATAACTCAAAAAAGGGTTGATAGAAAGAAGAAGAAATGAATGACTTTGAAAGCATGATTGATTTTGATACCTTCATATATCTTAAATGATATTATTGTTATGTCCCAACAAATTTTCAAAGCATGATTGAGGCATTTTAAATCATCATTATATATACATAGAAAAAAATAATAAATTTTGGGCCACCGTGTCTTTGCTATCCGCATTAAAACCATAATTGGTTGAAGATTTTTATAGTGTTTTTTCATAAAAAAATATTCGAACCAAAGATTAGTTAGAATCATTATGCATTCACAAATAGAAGTTTAGAAAGCAAAATTTGGAGGGAGTTTATTAACAAATGAGTGCGACTTTGCCTCTTTTCAATGCCCAATTTCTTGAGATTCTGGCTATTCTGCACAAATATTAAACAATCAATTCCTTTTATAAAAAGCAAAAGACAGAAATATTTATTATTAAGCTAAAGAATTGATCAAAAAACTCGATTCACTTTTCTCAAAAACCCGAATATAACCATTCCCAATTGCTTCCACTTCCATCGAGAGATTTTGCTTTCATTTTTCTGTGATTTTCTATTTTCCTCCAATGGCTAACTCCAAGAAGCAAGCATGGTGAAGAAGAACAAAACGCACAATTATTTCAATAGTAATGTTTTCATATTCAAATACTTATAAAATCGTTATCTCTTGTGTAGGTTTTTTTATACCACAGGCTTACCAAGTGACATCGAAATCGAAGTTGATGATATAACATTTCATCTTCATAAGGTCTCAAGATTTCATCATCTTCTTCTCTGTTTTTCTTTTCTTTTCAGACTTATCTTAAAAACTAAAACTGATATACTTGTGTTCTTTCTTTCAGTTTCATCTGATGTCAAAAAGCAGAAAACTTCACCAACTAATAACAGAGCAAGAACAGAGATTAGAACAGAGTAAAGTTTATCCTCACATCAAGCTCGAGAATTTTCCGGGAGGTTCAGAGATTTTCGAGATGGTGATAAAGATAAGCTACGGTTTCAAAGTCGACATCTTTGTTTCCACAGCTGTTCCACTACGTTGCGCCGCCGAGTATCTCGAAATGACAGAAGATTACTCACCGGAGAATCTCATTTCAAAAACAGAGAGGTTTCTTTCACAGTTTGTCTTCACTAACGTACGAGAATCCATTAAAGCGTTGAAAGCTTGCGAATCAGTCTCGTCTTTAGCTGAATCTCTCGGTGTAACGGAACAGTGTATAGACTCCATCGTCTCCAAAGCTTCCTTAACCGATCCGTCGTCGTTTTACGGTTGGCCAATGAACAATGGAGGTATCTTCGCCGTCGATCGGAAGAAACAGAGCAAAGATTCGAAAACAGAGCTTTGGTTTGAAGATTTAACGGATTTGAGTTTTCCGATCTTCAGACGTGTGATCTTAACCATGAAATCGAGAGATCTAAATCCTGAGATTGTAGAGAGATCTCTAATTTCTTACGCGAAGAAACACATTCATAGAATTACGCGTTCATCGTCACCATCTTCATCTTCTTCCACTATAGCTTCCGAGAATCAACAAAGAGAATTACTAGAGACAATAACCTCAGATCTTCTTCCGTTAAACAACTTCTCCATAACCGAAACAACAACGAGATCTCTCTTCGGATTATTACGATCAGCGATCATCCTCAACACCTCAGAGAATTGCAGGAAGTTTCTGGAGAAGAAAATTGGTTCGAATCTTGAGAAAGCTACGCTTGATGATCTTCTAATTCCAAGTTACTCGTATCTCAACGAAACGTTATACGATGTTGATTTGGTGGAGAGACTCTTACGCCGTTTTCTTGAAAACGCCGCCGTGTCGTCTTCGTCATTGACGGTGGTTGGGAGACTTATCGACGGAGTTCTCGGTGAAATTGCATCGGACGCTAATCTTAAACCGGAAAAGTTTTATTATCTGGCGGTTTTGCTTCCGGCTCAAGCACGGGTTTACGATGATGGACTTTACAGAGCCGTCGATATATATTTCAAGGTGAGTGATTGGATTAGACCATCTTCAATGGTGAGAGCCCTCACCATTTTTTTAAGATTAAAATTTTCAAATTTATAAGATGAGAGCTTTTGTTAATTTTGCAACGTCCAATGGTAGGCTCTCTTTGTGGAGTTCTCAGGAAAAAATTAAATTATTTTTAATTATTTTATTTCATAAATCTGAAAAATATTATAATTCATAACATATTAAAGATACAATAATTTCATACATTTGAAAATAAATTTGAAAAAAAAAAAACGATTAGTTATTCTGCTGATTGTTGCGAAATTTTCTCCATATATGCTCAACCAAATCACTTTTCAATTGTTGATGCATATTTTGATCACGAAGTTGATTTCGCATGCCCATCATATTCTCGATATTTGGAGGCATACCTGTAGAATACGATAAATCGACTTGTGAAGTTTGGTTTCCTTCAACTTGTAGGAATTCTGAAACATCAAACTGAGTGTTGTACCCATCTCGTTCGTCTTCGACTATCATATTGTGCAGTATGATACATGCTTTCATAATATTTCCAATTTTTTCCTTATCCCAAACAAGAGCTGGGTATTTAATAATGTGAAAGCGAGCTTGCAATACTCCAAATGCACGTTCGACATCTTTACGGGCCGCTTCTTGATGTGTAGCAAATAAAGTGTCTTTCCGAGTTTGTGGTAGTCGAATAGATTGGATAAAAGTCGACCATTTCGGATAAATACCATCTGTGAGATAGTAAGCTAAATGATACTCCCGGCCATTGACTTTGTAATTCACATTCGGAGCTCGACCTTGTAATATATCATCAAAAATTGGTGATCGATCAAGAATATTTATATCGTTTAAGGTACCTGGAGGTCCAAAAAATGCGTGCCAAATCCAGAGATCTTGTGATGCGACCGCCTCTAAAACGATGGTTGGTTTTCCAGAGCCACGTGTATACTGGCCTTTCCAAGCGGTGGGACAATTCTTCCACTCCCAGTGCATACAATCGAGACTTCCTATCATCCCGGGAAATCCGCGTATCTTTCCAATATTGAGTAGTCTTCTCAGATCTGTGGCTGTAGGTGCTCTTAGATATTCATCTCCGAAGAAAGAAATAATTCCCTCTGTAAAATTCTCCAAGCAAGACATCGCAGTGCTTTCACCCATACGGAGGTATTCGTCAACCGCATCAGACGCATAACCATAAGCAAGCAAACGAATGGCTGCCGTACATTTTTGTATTGGAGAGTGTCCAAACCTTCCTGTGGCATCTCTTCGATGTTGAAAGAACGGGATTTCACTGGAGAGTCGCTCAACAATACGCAAGAACAACGGCTTGTTCATTCGAAAACGGCGGCGAAAAGTTTGAGGTGGAAACATCGCATTATCACTAAAATAATCGTTCCATAAAAGGACGTGCCCTTCTTCGCGTTTTCTATCAAAATAAGCTCGTTTCCTATTTTTCTTTGCAACCTCTTCGCCATTAGACAATTCGACGAACATATTCTCGAATTGTTGATCAAGTGGTTGAGAGTAGCTTTCTTCCATGGCGTCGTCGAATGGAGTACGGGATGAAGAGGCCATATTGTTTGGTAGGTTTAAGTATTAAACAATATAGATATATATAAAAGCTTTGGTGATTGATTGTTTTGTGGTAAAAGCAAAGAAACATTAAGGGAAAAATAATTTTTGTAGTTGAAGCAAAGAACAATATTAGAAAAGCTTGAGTTGTGAGACATCTACAAACGATGGATATTATTTATAGCAAAGGCAAAACATAAAGAATAAAGTTTGTGGTACACAAAGAATAAGCTCGTTTGTAGTACAAATTTGCTAGAATAAAGTTCGTGGTTCACAAAAAACATACAAATTATTTGTGGTACATATTGATCTCTTTGGCATCAGACATTGAACCACTTGCACACATTGCTCTCTTTGGCATCTAGCAAAAAAACAAGACAAGTTAAAACATGATACATGATACACAACAAGACATATCATACATTACAAAGCAATATCATACAAGACAAATTACAAAGCTTTAGAGTACATAGACTTAAACTAGAACTTTAAACAATATCATACATGAGACATAATACTAGAACTTACAAAGCAATATCATACATGAGACAAAAAAACTAAAAAGCATCTGATGCTTAGCTTAAAACTTAGGACCAAACTAAAACTTTAAAACTTAGGACCAAACTAAAACTTTAAAACTTAGGACCAAAGCTCCGTGATTAGCTTATTTTTTAGGAACAAGTCAATGTCCGAAAGAGGCTCAGTTCTTGAAAGTAGACTTTCAAGCATCTGATACTTGCTTTGCTTCTCTTTGCGATCCCAATCCTTCTCCTTTAGTTCCCACAAATTCTGAAAATGTTCCACAGACTGGCCTGCTTCTCCTTTACCCGTGGCTGGCTTCTTTCCTTCGTTAACAGTGGCTGACTTCCTTCCTTTCGCTTTGGCTGCCTTCACACCCGGAGGTCGAGTCATGACTGAATCATCTTCAACATTGATAGGCTGGGAACTTGCATTACCATCCCCACACTTCCTTCTTTTAGCATTATCCTTTCCTCCCCGAGTAGTTTGATCACACCATTTCTGATCAAACTTTAACTCTCTCCATGCATGATCTAAAGTGAAATTCTTCTTGGTATCATTGTAGTAGATCTCGTGAGCCAGCTTCATAACATCATCCTCTGACTGACCACTAGTTTTATGAGTTGTTGCTGTCTTATGACAACCCACAAACTTGGTGACAATTTTATTGACCTTTGCCCACCTTTGTTTACATTGAGCATGCTCTCTCTTTGGCATTCCGTCGAGGGAAGGACTAGCAGCAACATATGCTGCAATCCTCTTCCAAAAGGATTGACCTTGTTGGTCATTACCAATCACCGGATCCTTGCTTGTATTAAGCCAAGCACTGACGAGAACAATATCTTCTTTTGCTGTCCATTTCTTTCGTGATATACTTTGCTTTGGTTTGACATCTGATGCTTCATTTCCTTCTTCTTCACTTCCTTCTTCAGACAGTTGACTACTAAATGCTGGGACTTCAGTTGATCCACTTGCAAACTGAGACATGTCTTCTTGTTGACTTTGCAATAGGTTCATGAAACCCGATGAGTGATAAAATGGATTCATATCATCCATTTTTTAGATAAGAAAGTGAATGTGATTGTGTTTTGTGTTAGGCTGAAGGTTAAAGGAAGTGAAAGTGATTGTTTTAAAGGAAGTGATTGTGTTTTAAAGAAGAAGATTGAAACTTATTGAAGAATTAGCAATGAATGCCAAAGTAAAGACACTAATTGTCTTTACCTAAAATACTCCAACTAGAAAGCATTTATTTCAAATAACAGAGAAAGCATTTACAAAAGCAAAAACTGTCCTAATCAAACACAAAGAAAGCATTAATCACAGCACAAACTGTACCTTGATTTAGAGGCTGTTAAATCGATGCCTTCTGCCTTCTCCACTTGTGAGATTTGTAGTTTCAACCACTCCAATTAACCTCACCAAAACAGAGAAAGAAGAAAGAAATATTAACATAACATTAAAAATTCAAAATGATTCAAGTAATTACTAAGACAGAGACAGATAATTACCTTTTTCATTATTGTTCTTCTCCTCTAGTTTCTTAAGTTGCTGCTCCTTCAAGTACTTATTTCGAGGATCCTCTTTTGCTTCATAAAGATCTATAAAACGATGGTAATTAGAAGGATCATAATCATTCAACCTAATCTAAAGTTAACTTCTATCAGAACAAGTGAAAAATTAAGTCAAAAACTCTTAATCTCCAACAAGAAGCAGAAGAAAGTAATCAAAACCCATCAAGGTCATCATCACATATACACTAACTAGTGACAAGATATACTAAACAAACAAGTTCCTAAAGGTTTAACTTTTAAGTCAAGTATAAGACTTATCAAACTTGCAATGAAGTTAAAGCAAATACCTTCCCCATCAAGGTCTTTTCTTCGAAACACCAGCCCCATCACTCTCCTCATTAGCAGCAGCTTCAATTTTGCAATTTCCATGGATGATAGATGCAGCCCGAAAAAATAGTATCTGAAAATATATTATAGACTAGACAGAGTTAAAACGAAAAAGCTAGTCACAACGTCTCCTGCACTAAACTAACACAAAGTCTCCTCATTGATGAATGATGACAGTCATGTTCAGCAGCTATAACGTCTATGGTGACAAAAAGCAAAGCTTTTGAGTATCCAAAGATATATTCTATGGACAAATCAACTCACCTTCAAGGCATTTTTCACTTGAGTAGACTCAGGAATCAACCTAAATGCCACACCATTAACTTTTAACTGGAACACCTGCAACAACACACACACAAAAATCAAAACCAGTAAAGAGAACACAAATCGAGCTAATTGAGTTATTGATTCCTTATACCTTGATCATCCTCAAACCATTTACCACCATTAACAGGCTTACCACCATTTCTAGGTCTCACAAAGAACTTATTCGTCTCAACATAACCATTAGTTCCTGATCCTCTTGCGGTCTGTAACCCTATCCCGTTGTACATCTTTCAACTCTAAATCAAACCCTAAATCGAAAAAAGGGAAGAGATTTGGTTTCAGATTCAAAGCGGAAGAAACCCTTAAACGAAACCAAATCACAGTATCAAAGCAAACAGAAGCTAAAAGCAAAAGATCTTAGATTGAAGTCGAAAACAATCAAAACCAAAATTACCATAGATCTCCTTCAAAGCCTTCTCCTTTCTCACCTTCTTCTCCCTCTCCTCCTCCGTCAACTCCATAGATTCCACATCCACATCCACCTCCACCTCCATCCGTTGAATTTGGATATCCGATTTGCATATCTCTCTCACTCCCGATCGTGACATGCAGTGGGGAATCCGGCCTAATCGTCGCCGGCGGCCTCTCTATTCTTCCCTCAATCGTAGCCGGCGGCCTTAACCGTAACCTCAATCGTCGGAGAAAAGGCATCGCCATCGCCTTCGCAAAGAAACAGAGAGAAGAGTCGGGAAATGATAAAAAAAAAGGCATCGCCATCCCCTTTTTTTTACGCGTTTTTTTTTTTTTTTTGATCAAAAAAAATCGACGGATGAGAGAAGGCCACGTCGTCGGCTCTCATGGTGCTCAACATTTCTCTCAAGAGAGACAGCTCTCTTATTTTTTACCAGTTTTGATTTATTTTTCAAAAAAAATTTCAAGAGAACCTCCAAAGAGAACTTCATTTTGCACCCATTGGAGATGCTCTTATAAAATTTTTAAAAGTTATATAATTTGGTGCTGCCCAGGATCGAACTGGAGACCTTTTGCGTGTAAGGCAAACGTGATAACCACTACACCACAGCACCTGATGTTTGAATTCTGATTTTTTGTGTTTTATAGACGCATACATGGATATCGGAGGCAGACAAGGAGAAGATATGTAGTGTAATGGATTGCCGAAAACTAACTGTTGAAGGATGCATACACGCGGCACAAAACGAGCGTTTACCACTACGAGCCGTCGTACAAGTTCTGTTTTTGGAGCAATTACAGCTCCGGCAAGTAATCACCGGGACGTTACTGACGGAGGAAGACGGTGATGAAACCGTGGTGGACTTGGGGAGATGGAAGGATACGGTGAAGGAGAATCAGGTGCTTCGTTTGGATCTGGATTCGATGAGGACACGAGTGAACCAGCTAGAGAAAGAATGCTTGTACTTGAAGAAAGTGATCGTTAAGATCGACAAAGAAAGTTTGAAGGGGAACGATTGGCAGATCGAGTAAGTGGTCAATCGGTAAGAAGTTCGGATGTAAATTTACGACTCAGGTTTGTGATTCGCACGAGGCAACGATGGTCGATGGAAGATCACGACGTTTTCTTAGCTAGTACACAAATCAAAATCATCTTGTGCTTCTTGATTTTTTTCTTTCTTCTATATATATCTTAAGAAATGATTAATTCTTTAGATCGAATGAAACTGTAAACGCATGACTTGTTCACAATACTTTATACTGTTTACACCATGTATGGGTTAGCTATTCATAAAGTATAATGACTTGCAAATTATGAATGTAAATTTGTAAGATGTTTTCAAGTGGCGCAAGTAGAGTAGTGTGTTTTAATTTCTGGTAAAACAAAACTACATTGTTCATTGTTAGTATTACATAGTTTAATTATATTCTTCCGATGGAAATTAACAACATCATTATTTGTAGTAGGACAAAATCAAACATTTTTATAATAATCTTGTAATATAAACACCGATTTTTGTTTTTTAGTTAAATTATTTATTTGATTTTTTTCCGATTATCTGAAATAATTGAGGTTGTCTAAGAGAACAAAACAATTTTAAGATGATTCCACGCAGCTTAAATAACGCGCAACCGAATAATTGTTTTGCCACGTGGCGGTTTAATGTTCTCGACCATACTCCAACATTCAATCAGATAACGACACGTCACTAATCACAATCGGTTTGTGGCGATAAACCAGGAACGATTGAAGAGGAAAAAAAAAAAACTCAATTTGGAAGAAAAGCAGAAGTGTGAGAAGACGATCTAGATTCTGGATACAGCTGGAAGAGAATTATAAGAAAAACAAAATCTTCGAACGAAGATCGAATTGCTTCGAGTCTCTGAGGAAAGAAGAAATTATGGGACGTGTGGATTATCTAGCGATGAAGACCGACGACGTCGATACGGTGGCGGCGTTAGTCAATTCCGACATGGAAGAGCTCAAGGTCGCTGCAAAGAAACTCTTTAGCGATGTTTCGAAGCTTGGTGGATTAGGCTTCGGTGTTTCTTTTCTCAAATTCATCGCTTCTTTCGCTGCCATGTGAGTTTTTCAAAACTCCATCTCTAATTTTGCTTCTCGTCAATTTGTTTTGATTTTCTTGTGGGTTCTTCTATAATTCGACGAATTGGTAATTTTTGTGATTCGTACATGTCGAATTCGTAGAAGCTGATTTTGGGGTCAATTGAAACTGCGAAAAAATTCGAGATCGGATATTAGTGATTATGCAGGTGAATCTCTGATTGATCATTATCAACTGATTTTTACTCTGTTGTTATTGACACAGTAATCCAAGAAAATTCAATCCTACTGTTAGCAGAATTTAAAAGTGATTAATTTAGGCTTAATTTCTGTTTATTTCTGTTAACTTGTGGACATTTGCAATAATCCTACTGTATCTAGTATCTCTGATTGGTTGAATTTTTAAACTTATGTAATTGGTCAGTGACCACAATCCACAAACATGAAAAAGGGCGTTACTTCTGCTGCAATTTATAGAACTGTTCTGGTCATTCATGGTTTCCTTAACGTTTTTGTTTTGGTATTTTGATGCAGCTACTTGTTAATATTGGATCGTACCAATTGGAAAACCAAGATGCTTACATCACTCTTAATACCATACATCTTCCTTAGCCTTCCTAGTGTCATTTTTAACTTTCTCAGGTAACAACAATCTTTCTTTTGTTATCAATAGAAATCTTCCTATTTCACAATGCATTCTTAAAACTGGTTAAAGTGAAATTTTCCCTTTTTGTTATCAGTGGAGAAGTTGGGAAATGGATTGCTTTCGTTGCAGTTGTACTCAGACTTTTCTTCCCTAAGCATTTCCCAGGTGATGACATCTTCATATCTTTCTTGTTGTGGGCCTTCTTGATTTGTATCTTTGTATTGTTGTCATACAATCGCTGAAGATGTCTCGAGTATCGTAAAATGTACGCTTTGAGGCATACTTAAATTCAAGTCACTGTAATTGCTGAAATAAATTTCAAGTCTCACACTTTTATTGTTGTGGTTGTCAACATGGGCAGATTGGCTTGAGATGCCGGGTTCTCTAATCCTTCTACTGGTAGTTGCTCCACACTTCCTAGCTCACCATATACGTGGAACCTGGATTGGCACTGTAATCAGCCTTTTCATTGGCTGTTACCTTCTTCAAGAACATATCCGAGCATCGGGTGGGTTCAGGAATTCATTCACACAGCCCCGTGGAGTGTCAAACACTTTAGGGATCATCCTTCTTTTGGTCTACCCTGTTTGGGCTCTAATCGTCCGTGTCATGTAATCCACATTCCTATTCCATTCTCCAAGTTGTTTCTAGCTCGGCTGCTTCAATAAACTGCGTGAAACATCGAGAGCTGAGCAAGAATCTGTGGTGTTCCTTTCTTCTGATTATGTTGCATACCCAAATACTACCTCATGCTCAATCAATGTTCTATATATAAAAGAATCTCATTTTTCAAATATTTGTTTGTCCTACTGTATGAAAAAAGTTCTGAAATATGTTTCTATGTAAATTGCTTATGGATTCGTATATGCAGTCGTGGAATGTTTGTCGTTTTTGTTATTGCAGTAAGAGATTGAACGACACGCTGTTTTATAACTAGACTAGACTAAGGTCACATTTTAAACCAAACCAATCTAAAATTGATCACGGTGGTTACATCGTGGTTAAGCTTTTAACCAAAAAGATTTCTGGTCTTTGCTTAACCAAATTTTTTAAAATCCTGGATTAATGAGAAGGCCTTTACTAAACCAAACTTTGTGCACATCACAATTGCGACGTAACGTTAACAAAAATGGAATTTGAGTTTTCATTTTCTAAATGGGCGGTCTTTTCAACTTTTGAAATTTGAATTTTTCTTATATAACCGACTTAAAATTGGAGTCGTAGAGCAAATGAAATTAAAAGGCCGTTAAAAGAAGAAATGCGTCTACTACAAATCTCTCGCTAATATCTCTCATTAGGCCTGGGAATTCGAACCGAACCGATTTGTCCGAACCAAACCGAACCGAGGTTTGGGCAAATCGGTTCGGTTTCTGTTAATTAGGTTTAACCGATCGGAATGGTTTTAAATTTGGTTCGGTTAACCGAGATTTTCGGTTCGGTTCGCCCGAACCGAACGGTTAACCGAAAACCTAAAAACCCTAACCTAATATACTCCTAGCCGCCTACAACCCTTCTTCAATTCTTCTTTTTCTTCATCTTTCTCTTAGATCCCCTCTCTTCTTCTGCTATTCATCATCTTCTTCTTCTTCGATTAATCTCATCATCTTCTTCTTCGTCTTCGTTTCATCATCATCTTCTCTTGATTAATCTCATTATTCTTCTTTGATTCCTCATCTTCTTCTTCGATTCATCATTTTCTTCTTCGATTACACCAACATCATCTTTTTCTTCTTCTATACCGGAATCTTCGCCCATGAGATCTCGCCGCCGGTGTCTCCGATCAACGACTCCACTCCTCGATTCATCACTACGTCACTTTTTTCTCTCCCACCCCAAATTTTTTTTTTTTTTTCTTTTTGGGTCAAGAAACCAATTTTGTGGAAGCCCAAATAGAAAATAGCTTTTAGTCCAACAATTATGAACCGAAAAAACCGAAAAGCAAAAACCGAAATAACCGTGAAATAACCGAACCAAACCGAAATTGTTAGTCGGTTAGTTCGGTACAGAATTCATTTTCCGATTAAACCGGAAAACCGACTAACCGAAACCGAATAAACCGATCGGTTTAAATTCGCAGGCCTATCTCTCATATTTAGAAAACCCCAAATTCTCATTTTCGAAAAATGTCTGCGGAAGTTGAGAACCGGTGCTTTTGCGGCGGCGTTGCTTGGGTCACCGGCGATGATGATCCAGGAAGGGCGTTCTCTGAGTTCGGCTAGGTTAATCGATTATCTAAGGTTAGTTACACGATCGATCTCTGACTCCCAAATTCCAGATTCAGTCGAGCCGATTCCGATCAATCTGTTTCCGATTTGTGTTTCTCTGTTACTTGATTCGATTTTTGTTACTTTAATTTATCCCATTTGGTTCGTTAATCTTCTTGAATTTTATGAGTCTGGGTGGAGTGATTTTGTGATCTTATTGCTTTCAATATCTTCTCCGATGGTTTTTTCTGATTTGCGATTTGTTTGATTTGACAGATCATTAACGAACGCGAGACTGGGAAATTTTAAGGGACTAGGATTCGTGATTTTCAAAGATGAGAAATCAGTGAGGGATGTTAATGAATAGATGGATGGGAAAATGCTCGATGGCCTTAGTAGCATCACCGTGAACGATGAAGCGGTGGTGTATACGTTGGTTGATACGAAAGGCATACAACGGAGGCTATTCATTTGGATGCGGCGGTGGTGGTGGACGCTGAGAGGAAGGTTGTTATGGAGGCGGTGACGGAGGTCACAGAGGTGTTTTGCTTACATAGTTCATTTTGCTTACATAGTTCATTGAGCGTCTGTCAAGAAAAATTCCTTGTGGTCATTAATGTCGCTACCACAAAAAATATCTCTTTAGTGTATGTGGAATAACTGTTATCAAATAACTCACTGGAAAGACATATGTGGAATAAATGTCGCTGGTCAAGTTCTATGATCATTATTCTCTCTAATATTTTATTTGTTGGTTTTAATTGTCAGGGTTTGAGTGAGACCCTGACACAAGGTTTACTTGCAACATTCTTCTAAACTGCCTCATGGAATCTCTGGCACAAGGTTTGAATACCGTGTTTTTCCTTCAAAGTTCAACAGTTTGATGCGACGTCATAGTTTCTATTCCAAATCAGATAAGGTATAAATATTTTAACTCTGCTTGGATTAATATAAAGTCAGACCAACCGACCTAGACAAAGGTATTCTAGATATGGAACTCGTTTGATATAGATATTCTGCCTTTTGTTCCTCTGAATCACTCAGTTGATTTCTATCATTAATTTTGGTAACTAGACAGATAATTTTGTCATTTTTTTGTTCCAGAACAGAAAATCATCCAACGATTGTGACCATATTCCTGCTTTTGTTCCAGAAGAAGATTAAATAAACTCCATGGTTCTCTGTAAGTTTAGTTAGTTTGATAGCTGAATCTTAAAATCCTGTATATCTTTCTGGCACTGTGTACACTTAGGGAAAGTCAACCGTGCTGATTAATCTTGTCCTTGACTTATAAACTGCAGACAAAAATTGGCCCAAGTATTTTCATAAGTTCAAAGGAGGTCTGAACAAAAGATCCTATGATGATAGTTAACTTTTTAGTCTTCAGAAAGGTTCAAGGAGCTGACGGGATCAATATTTGCAGTGTGAGAATACCTTGAGATACCATGTTTGAGGAGCCTCATCACAAATTCATGAAAGACAAAGCTATCTACAAGGTTTAAAAGGTAAATTTATGTTTCCCTTTGGTTTAGTGTTCTCTCACTCTTAAGATCAGTAGTGTGTTTGGTATTTATTAAAGTTTTCTTTCATTAGCTAAGTGTTATACTACTAAAACTAATGAACATGTGTTTCTGCTTGGCAGACACCAATTTAAAGTTTGAGGAGGACATGGTGAGGTCTATATGCGATATGAGAAACTAAGTAAGCCAACAAACCCCTTATGAGACCACTGTTAATGAGATGGCACACGTACGCACTTCCCCTTGTAAAATAACATGTAGGGAAAAGGAAAACACAATGATATCCAAACAAGAGAGCTTCTGTACACAACATCTTGCTCAATTGGAATAACGCTGAAGAAAAAAGAAGCGGGTAAATAATAGCCTCACAGATATACACCTATCCTCTATTTTTTGTTATATGACAGAATGTGAAATCTCGGGGTGTAGAATGCCAAAAATTTCAGCATATTGAGGAAAACTCTTGGCTATTTTCTGGATGAGTGAAAGATTAACTTCGCTTCATTTGACTCTAAAGGTAAAGAAACATCTTACGTTGATCAGCTAGGCGTTTTTTTAAGTTAGTTCGAAACTATGTAGTCCAACAATTATCACTTGTCTACATTCTTTTAAAAGCCTATGACTTTGCTATCTTACTAGCTTTTCCCTTTCTTCAGTCGCTTTCATTACTTGGAATTTCATGAACATCTTGTCCTTTATGAATGGTTGTCTAGTTGTATGTCTCCAAAGTATCTTACATGCTTATTCAGCTTGCTGGTCATTGCATAAATTTCGTTTCAAAGTGAAGACAAATTGCTAACAAAAATAGTGTTAAATTTTCTGCAGACCAGTGGCTCAGTTTACAGAGCATTATATGGCTCAATTGTGGTTGTTAGCATTGCTCACATTATAGGTTGGTTTTGTTTCTTACTTTCTTCACCTGGTAGACAGAAATACTTAGCACTGTTTCAGTGAAATAAATTAAAGTTTGTGATTTATTAAATTTTGCAAGGAAGAAGAAAGGAGCTGATTTTGGCTGCAGTCTTGTTTTGTTAGAGCCCTTGTGACTGCACTAGCACCAATCTATTCCTTCTGATAATTGGACATGTTACTTATGGGGTGGTTAAACTGGTAAGTAAGACTGATCATGCTTTATTAGTGGCTGCCATCAAAATTCCCTTCAAAATATCATTTTTCACACAAAGAATTTGTTTTCCTTAAAACTGCAAAAATGAGAATTTACTTGATTTTCATTTTTGTTTTGTTTGATTGTGATATAAGATTTTGGAAGGTCCAGTTATCTCCAAGAGAAGAATATGGGTTCTGCCTCCTGGCATCTATTTTCCTTGGAACAAATTTCAGGTTGCAACTTGATATTTCTTATAGTTTATATTTGTTTCTCCTGCAGTAAGTAAAAAATCTCTGTGCTAAATATGGTGGGGAACTTCTGTTGTTTCTATTGGATTTCCTTAATAAGTTTTCAAGGTAGTGGGGATCAATACAACATTTAGCAGCAGAGAACGATGTGGTTTTAGTATGGGGAACATGAATGCATCAAGGTATCTAAATTTAATAATCTTGTTTCTACTATGATCTGGTCATTCATATTTTTGTATCTCGGATTTAGTTAATAAATGTGCATTTCAACAGGGAATTAGTACAAGAGAAGAGAATTTTCATTAAGTTCATGATCGGAACATATGCAGTTTCAGGTATATTTTTCCACTACAGTCTCAGAAGTAGATTGATGGTCACGACAATCTTGGTAAAACTTGTTTCTAGTCTTGTAGGTTGCACATGGACTTGAACATATTAATGTCTTTTGCTTTCAGGTAAATTTAATGTTCTTGTTCCGAATCTAATCCGATCGTTGACATTTAGCGTCTGAAGTTTAGTTAATATATGTGTGTTTTCCACAGGAAATAAGCTTGCAAAAATAGAACAAGAGAAGAGAGATGTCATCAAATTAGGTACTACTGCAAATATGAAGCTGCCAAGTTTGAGGAGCTTCATCTACAATGTTTAAAAGGTAAAACTTTCAGTTTTCCTTTAGTTTAGTCATCTCTCACTCTTAATATCAGTAGTGTGTTTGGACTTTGGTGGGATATTACTAAAACTAATGAACATGTGTTTCTGCTTGGCAGACACTATTTCCAAGTTTGAGGAGAACAAGGAGAGGCTCTATATGCGATATGAGCAACTATATAAGCCAATAAACCCCTAATGTGACCAGTTATTTGACTCAATTGTGGTTGTTAGTATTACTCACACTGTTTCAGTGTGAAAGAAATTAAAGTTTGTGATAAAATTTTGGAAGGAAGAAGAAAGGAGCCCTTGCCCTTGTGACTTCACTAGCACCATTCTATTCCGTTTGATAATTGGAAATGTTACTTACGTGGTTAAGCTGGAAAGTAAGACTAATCATGCTTTTTAAGTGTTTGCCATCAAAATTCCCTTCAAAATACCATTTTTCACACAATTGTTTTTTCCTTAACTGCAAAAGTGAGAATTTTTGTTTTGTTTTGTTTGACTGTGAAATATGATTTTGAAAGGTCCAGTTATCCCCATTTCTTTCACCCTCGCACTGTGAAAGACAAGGTCTCCAAGAGAAGAAATGGGCCCTGCTTCCTTCCATCTATTTTCCTTGGGACAATTTTCAACTCCAGGTTGCAACTTGATCTTTCTTAGAAATTTATCTTTGTTTCTCCTGCACTAAGTCAAAAATCTTGGTGATAAATATGGTGATGAACTTCTGTTGTTTCTATTGGATTTCCTTAATAAGTTTTCAAGGTATTGGGGATCAATACAACATTTAGCAGCAGAGAAGGACGTGGTTTTAGTATGAGGAACATGAATGCATCAAGGTATCTAAATTTAATCTTGTTTCTACTATGATCTGGTCATTCAAAATAAATGTGCATTTCAACAGGGAAGATGCTTGAAAATTAGTACAAGAGAAGAGAATTTTCATTAAGTTCATGATCGGAACATATGCAGTTTCAGGTATATTTTTCCACTAGAGTCGCAGAAGTATATTGATGGTCACGACAATCTTGGTATAACTTGTTTCTAGTCTTGTAGGTTGCACATGGACTTGAACATGTTAATGTCCTTTGCTTTCAGGTAAATTTAATGCTCTTGTTCCGATCGTTGACATTTCGCGTCGGGATTTTAGTTAATATATATGTGTGTTTCCACAGGGAATAATAAGCTTGCAAAAATATAACAAGAGAAGAGAGTTGTCATCAAATAAGGTACTATTGTTTAAACTCTTCTTGACCCACTAATTAGTGAGAGAAATCGAGGTAAACTAAACAGAATTTTATAAGTTTGTACATTTATTTTCTTGAACCTATAAGCAGTGCCAAAGCAAGAATCGTTTGAAGAACTTGCATCTCTAAATTATACGATCAACAAGCTGGCCATGAGTCGCGCTAAGCCTTTGCATCCCACTTGTAAGTTAAAATTCCTCTATTACTACATATTAGTGATTCGTTTATTCAATTTTCCTAATGTCGGTACTGGTGTGTCCTCTTTTCCGTTTAATCCGTGAAAACAAGACATGTAGTTACAGAGAGCTGCCAAGAACAGGAGCGATTCAAAAGAACTGTAAGTTATCTTCTAGTTTTATAAGTTTAATTATTTTCCCAGGTATGTCTTCAATCCTTTTTTCGGTTTAGTATGTCGATTTATCTCTTATAACTTGAAGTTATTGCCTCTTCTGTTCTTATATATTATCATAATTCATAACTAATAGACTTTTCAAATATCTATAGTGAGTGAGCAGGTACGTACCAGAAAAATCAGAGTTTACACTACATACGGAAACGAAGAGAATATATATATGGTTCCTTGAATAGCACGATCTAGGTTGATTTCTTGAATCTCCCAACACATTGTATACATGTATGCTTAGATTCTTACATTCATGCATATTTGCTTCCTTGATTCATTGCTTGATTCTTTACTTACATCATTAACTTGTTCACTTGCTATCTTTTTTGTTTCTTTTGCTTAACTTGCTTACATGCATTTACATGTGTACGTTTGGAGGACGGATGGACCAATGAGTCAAGAGCTTGATTCGGACACCGTGAATCAAGGAAGACGTTCGATCCCCAATCTATATCATGGTACTTAGCCAATGGGGTTGGTTGGTTGTATGACTAAGTAACGATAAAGATTGGTCCATCAATATATGATCGGATGCGAATCGATGTACGAATTAATAAAGCAACAAATGGATTAACAAAGAGGATCAATAGACGGATCGAAGAAGAAACAAATTCGCATGTTGGCCAAGGTATGTAAACCAAGGCCTGCAGATTTGGTTAACCGAACCAAACCGGGCCGGTTAATTTTGGTTTACGGTTTATTTTGGTTATTGAAATGTACATGCTGAAATTAACCGAATAAATAATCGGTTTGAATCTCAGTTTTTTCGGTTAATCAAATCCTACCGAAAATAACCAAAATTTTGGATTTCCTTGGTTAAAATTGGTTAATTTGGTTTTGTTTCGATAAATGGGCTTGCGAAAAAGAAGAATGTTTGGCCTGGACAAAGCCCAGTAAAGTTTAGAAAAAAACAAATGAAGCTTGACGAAGACCTAAAACAGACGAAGCTTGACGGCGGCCGATACAAAATCAGATGAAGCTTGACGGTGGTTGATACGAATAGCAGATCTGACAAAAGAAGAGGAAGAAGAAGAAGATCTCGGTTATGAGAACTGAACCGAAAATGTCGGTTAACCCAACAAAATTTACAAAGCTTCCGATTGGTTCAGCTCTCCTAACCGAAACTAAACCGAAACCAAAAATCTCGGTTCAGAACGGTTCGGAGTTCTCGGCCCGGTCATTTCTCGCAGGTCTATGTAAAAGAATCTAAGTTATTAGTTAAGCTAGACGTTGGGAATTGACCATTGGACAAGGATAAAAAATATGTAATCGTTAGACTTATATTGGTTAAGCGAACAATTTGCATAATTTGACTGAGTGAATGATCGATCTAAAGTATAAGGGACAAAGACGATTAAACCAGTACAATGGTTGATTGGAATTAGACCAAGGGTAGAAATACTTCTCTTGTGTAATAATAAATGGTTTATAGGATCAAGCTTCGTAAAGGAAATTCTTTGTTAAAATGCGAAAATACGGAGAGTCGGCTGGGAACACGATGTCACACTTGCTTCCTTGATGTGTTTACTACAAGAAAACATCTCATTTTCCAACCACCATTTTCGACGAATTTAATTACATATTTAATTATTAATTTCTAACGAAGACATAGAGACAAGTCTCTGTATGACCTAAGAGTGACTGATTCTAGTAAAGTTCCGGTGAAGTAATGAGTGATCGAAAGTTTTTGGAAACTCAGGAGAAAGTCGGATAGTACAATCTCAAAACGCGGGCAAAGCAGCTCACTAAGATATCATCAGAAAGTGACGACAACTGTAGGATTACAAATGGCTATTCGTTGTTCGTGGAGGTCGGAGATGTCAATGGAGACGACATTAACAGTTAAACTCGCCGATGAATATGTAAATAGGGTTTAGGGTTTTACTAAGTAAGACTCATGCCACTTTTTCAATTACCTTAACCTAAAAATTAGAACACAGTTATTTAAAATGAATTTGATCGTTCCCTTTCTTAAGTGATTGAAAAAAATATATAAAAAAATATAAGTATTAATTTGTAAAAATAAAAGGGAAAATTCCCCAAAAAAACCCAAAGTAATTTTTATTTGGACGTTTAATACCCAATTGTTTTGGATTGGAATAAAAATACCTCATTTAATAAAATTTAGTCTAAAAATTCCTTATGTTTGACTTGTTGGTGGATTCAAACCCGTGATTTAACGTCCGTTAACAGCCGTTACGGAATCAATAACCGGTGTTAAATTTTTCAATCCCTATGTTTATAAATATATATATGTCTGTGTACTAAGCTTACGATTATATTACTTTAGTCTTGTGGTTACTGGTGTGTTATGTCACCCATTGAACTCGGGTTCGATCCTCCTCATTACCCACCATTGATTTTTTTTTTTGTTCTCATCCACGATTTCTCCTTCCTCCACATTTAACCCAAATCTCCGTCGCAGTCCGTCGCCATCTCTTCTCACTTAAACCCACCATCGCGATTCACGTCGACTTGCTCGATTATTCTCTTAACTTTCTCCAATTTGCTTTCTCTAGTGGCCATATGTACATGAAAGTTTCAAACTTTTTCTCCAAAATTAGAGCACATAACAAAGGATTGATGATAAGGAAACAACGATCTAATTACAGAACACATAGATCTAGAATTCACAAAGTAAAAAAAAAAAAAAAACCCTAGATTTGCGTTGCAATGTTTAGCGGAAGAAGAAGGCGAGAAGCCGGGAAAAAAAAAAAAAAAAAAAGTTGGGAGAGGGGGAATCGAACCCGGACGCTAAGGATAACATAAAGGGCTAATCACCACCAGACTAGGCGAAAATATTTGTGGTAACATATAAAGAGATTGTATATATCTGTTTAAACACGCGGGGTTGAACTTTGACGGTATTTATGGATTCCGTAACGACTGTTAACGGATGTTAAATCACGCGTTTGAATCCACCAACAAGTCAAACATAAGGAATTTTTAGACTAGGTTTTATTAAATGAGGTATTTTTATTCCAATCCAAAACAATTGGGTATTAAACGTCCAAATAAAAATTACTTTGGGTTTTTTTTGGGAATTTTCCCAAAAATAAAATTAGCCTTCATGTTGTTTGTTTAGTGTAAAAAATTTACTCGTGACTTCCTTTTCGGGTATTCACATTCGCAATGGGTGGCGTTTCAAAATAGGAAGAAGACTACACGCTGTTTCAAAAATTGATAACTAAACTTCATGTCGTCTAAAAGTAAGGGGGGCGGCTTAAAACCCTAACCCTAGTTTGGCTCCTTATAAATACTCCTCTCTCCGCCGTTTATAATCATTAGTCCTCTCCGATCTCCGAGTTCAACCCAAATGTTAATCTTTGGCTCTCTTAATTCTTTTTGAAGTTTTGTTTATTTTTCAATCTGTTTTCGATTTGATATAATTAGTCTAGGATTTGTTCTGTTTTTTTTTTTTATGCTTGATCTTAGATTAACGAATTTTGAAGAAAAGGGTTTCTCAGTGATGAATACACAGATGACGAGTCCGATGAAATCCATTCATTAAATCATGGGGACAAACGAGGCATTTGTCTGAGAGGAATCCTTTTATTGTGTTCAATCTTATCAGATTTTTCTGGTAAATGTTTTTCAAAGTTATTTGATTTGTGATTTTGGAAAATTAAAGATTAAGGCATGATGAGGATTGTTTTATTGTCATCTGATTTTATGATGAATATATACCTCCTACTCATTCTGAGTGCCTTTTCTTATCATGAAATTCTTTGAGTCAATAATTTTGTTGGAGTTGAATAAGTCATCAAAGACTAAGTCACTATTAGTTAGTGATGTTGAGTCAATCAATAAGGCGTAATCGTAGGAACTAAGCCACGTTCAAATCTGTTTCCTTAGTTTTCTCATTTCAGTTGTTGTAAGGCTATTTAAAGGCCATTTCGATTTCTTTCTAATGCATCAGAGATTCTTTTCTCAAAACCTGCAACTCTTATTTTAACATTGTGGTATCAGAGCCCTCTCAAAAGGGATCTGACGGAGTGAGAAACGAGTGTGTATTTTGAGTGAGTGTGAGAAAAGAAATCGGTGTGAGAGATGGCAGCTGAATCAAGTAACTTCAATGCCCCGTGTGTGCCAAAATTCGATGGAGATTACGACCATTGGAGTTTACTAATGGAGAACCTGTTGCGTTCAAAGGAGTATTGGTGTGTGATTCAACCTGGTTTTAAGGAACCCGGAGAAGGAGAAGTGCTGTCCGCAGCACAACAGAAGGTGTTAGATGAAGCAAGGCTAAAGGACTTGAAGGCAAAGAACTATCTCTTCCAGTCCATTGACAAGTCGATCTTGAAGACCATCACTCAAAAGGAGACCGCTAAGCTTTTATGGGATTCCATGAAAATCAAGTATCAAGGCAATGAAAGGGTGAAACGTGCGCAGCTACAGAGACTTCGTAGAGTTTTCGAAACCTTAGAGATGAAGGTGGGAGAAACAGTGACAGATTATTTCGGGAGAGTCATGGTGACATCAAACGATATGCGGAACTGCGGAGAAAACATGGAAGATGTGAAGATCGTTGAAAAAATTCTTCGAACACTAACGGAGAATTTTAACTATGTCGTGTGCTCTATAGAAGAATCAAAGGACATTGACCAGATGACTGTCGACGGGCTACACAGCTCACTGCTTGTTCACGAACAGAAGATACGACGTAGGGGAGTCGAAGAGCAAGTACTAAAAGTTGAGTACGACAACTCTGGACGAGGAAGAGGTAGGGGCTACAATGGTAGAAGAGGAGGTAGCAACGTGTCAAGAGGAAGAGGAGGAACCAGACCAAGTTTCGACAAAGCTACCATTGAATGTTTTAGATGTCACAAACTGGGACATTTTCAATACGAGTGTCCAACCGCTGAAAAGGAAGCAAACTATGCTGAGTTCGATGAAGGAGAGGCATTGCTTCTAATGGCGCAAACAGAGACTCAAGAAACGAAGAAAAGTGGTCTGTGGTTTCTGGATTCGGGATGTTCCAATCACATGACGGGAAATAAAGAATGGTTCATGGAGATCGATGATAGTTTCAGGCATGCGGTGAGATTGGGCAACAGTTCAAGAATGGAGGTTGTGGGAAAAGGAGACGTCAAATTTGAGGTTGACGGAGTGACTCAAATTGTAAGTGACGTGTTCTTTGTTCCAAACCTGACTAATAATCTGTTGAGTGTTGGGCAATTACAAGAAAAGGGTGTGGATGTTCTGATTAGCAAAGGAGTGTGTAAGATCTATCATCCTCGCAGAGGTTTGATTGTGAGCACAAAAATGACTGCAAATCGCATGTTCATTGTGTCAGCTATTATGAAAACCGATCCCAATCAATGTCTGAAAATCGAAGAAGATGAAGTGGCGACCCTCTGGCACAAGCGTTACGGACATCTCAATAACACATCTATCCAGAGTATGCATGACAAGAAACTGGTAAATGGTCTACCTCCAATGAAAGAAATCCCTAAGGTTTGCGAAGTCTGTAACATCGGAAAGCAACACCGAGAAACTATACCAAAGAAGAGCCAATGGAGAGCTGCGGAGAAGCTAAAGCTCATTCATGCAGACTTATGCGGCCCTATTTCTCCAACCTCTCACAGTGGAAAAAGGTACATCTTCCTTTTGATTGATGACTTTAGCCGCAAAAGTTGGATCTACCTTCTCTCTGAAAAAAATGAGGCGTTTGATACTTTCAAGATTTTTAAAGCTCTTGTGGAGAAAGAATCAGGAACAGAAATTGGTTGTTTGAGGACTGATAGGGGAGGAGAGTTCACCTCAAATGTGTTCAATCAGTTTTGTGAAGAAAATGGGATTAAGAGACAGTTAACCGCAGCCTACACGCCACAACAAAATGGTGTCGCCGAAAGAAGAAATCGCACAATAATGAATATGGTCCGATGCTTGCTTACGGAGAAGAGTATGCCAAAGCGTTTTTGGCCTGAGGCTGCAAAGTGGACATGTCATGTGTTGAACAGAAGTGTGACAAGTGCGGTGAAAGACATGGTGCCTGAAGAATGCTGGAGTGGGATAAAACCGAGCGTGAATTATTTCAGAGTGTTCGGTTGCATCGGCCACGCACACGTACCAGAGCAGCGAAGAATAAAACTTGATAGCAGAAGCCGAAAATGCATTCTTCTTGGTGTAAGTGAGGAATCGAAAGCATATCGACTCTATGATCCAATCTCCAAAACAGTAGTCACTAGCCGAGATGTGATTTTTGAAGAGGAGGAGAAGTGGGATTGGAGCGCAGATGAGAAAGGTCTCAGTGATGTCTTAGATTGGGGAGAAGAAGAAGATCAAAACAGAGAAGATGGCGCAGA